TCCGTCCTCCGTCCTCCTCCTCCTCCTCCTCCTCCTCCTCCTCCTCCTCCTCCTCCTCCTCCTCCTCCTCCTCCTCCTCCTCCTCCTCCTCCTCCTCCTCCTCCTCCTCCTCCTCCTCCTCCTCCTCCTCCTCCTCCTCCTCCTCCTCCTCCTCCTCCTCCTCCTCCTCCTCCTCCTCCTCCTCCTCCTCCTCCTCCTCCTCCTCCTCCTCCTCCTCCTCTCCTCCTCCTCCTTGATCGAGCTTGCAGGAAACTGCCGACAACATCGCGCAACAGCTGTCGCGCGTGAGCGTCTCGGAGCTGATCAACAAGGTGGAAGTCAAGGACAAGATCGTTGAGCGCTCCTCCTCCTACGCCCGCGAGTACGAGGTCACCATCACCCTCGAGAAGCCTCACATGCTCCCGGCCTCCCTCCAGCGCTCCACCACTGCCCGCGAGGCCCTTCCCCAGACCCTCTCCGGCCGCTTCTGCCTGCAGATGCTGCTGGCCTTCGAGCGAGAAATCCTCAAGGACGCGAAGACGAGGGGGCTGGAGATTGTGTCGGGCATGTCTGAGACAAGCAAGCGAGGAGGAGAGGAGGAAGAGGGAGAGGGGGAGGAGAAGCAGGGGAGAGAAGACAAGGCGAGAGACGACTCGGAGGAATCTTCAGAGGAGGAGGAGGACGCGGAGAACACCAACGCCAAGGACGAGCAGAAGAAGAGCACGAGCAAGGGATACAGCGATGCAGACAAGGCGGACAGGAAAGCGATGAAATCAAGCAAGCAGTCAAGCAAGCTCACGACGGAGGAGGGCGACGAGGAGGGAGAGGACGACGACGAAGGGGAAGAGAAGGACGAGGGGACGACAGGGAGCATCACGCTGATGACGATGAATGAGCGGGAGAAGAACAAACTGGAGAACATGAAGAACAAGTACTCCGTCTCCACGCAGCTGCACAGCAGCGGCGACTTCGTCCTGCGCATGAGCGCGCCGGTCGGGAGAAAGCGCGTGATGCTCGTACAGCTCATCGAGGAGGTGGCGGCCCGCTGCATCATCCAGGAGCTGCCGGGGGTTCACAAGTGCCACGTCATCGGGCCGGCCAAGGACAGCAGCGACAAGCAGCACAGTATCATGACTGAGGGCGTAAACCTCGACCTCCTCGCCCTCTGGCAGCTCAACCGTCAGAAGTCCATCGGGGGGGCGCTGGACCTGAACCGGCTGCGGTGCAACGACATCACGCAAGTCCGCAACGTCTACGGGGTAGAGGCAGCGCGCAAGATGCTGCTGGATGAGATCAGCAGCGTCTTCGGGGCCTACGGCATCGGAGTTGACCTCCGACACCTCTCCCTCATCTCCGACGCTATGATGTACGCCGGAGAGCACAGGTTGGGTCCCTGCTCTTGCCCCAACTCTCTTCCCCTCCTATCTCGTCCTCCTTGCTACTTTCCCTCTCCTCCTCCCCTCCCTCCCTCCCTCCCTTACTGCATCTCTGTTCTCCCCTCGTCCTGTTCACCCAGCTCACTCTCGCTTCTCCTCAGGCCCCTGAACCGCATCGGCATGAAGTTCTCTGCCTCTCCTCTCCTCAAGATGTCCTTCGAGACTACCTGCACTTTCCTCACCGACGCCACCACCATGGCTGACTCGGACGACCTGCAATCTCCTTCAGCTCGCCTGATCCTCGGACGCCCGGTAAGTGTGGGCAAATGAAGAGGAATTGGGGAGAGAGGAGGAGAAGAAGAGAGAGGGGAAGTGGAAATGGAGGAGGAGGAGGAGGAGGAGGAGGAGGAGGGGGAGTGATGATGGTTTGCAGGTTAAGACAGGCACAGGTTACTTCGATGTCCGTCAGAGGATGCATTAATCAGTTAATGAAAACCACCAACCCGCGTCAACTCGCAAAATTCTTCTCCTCCTCAGTGTTGGTTTTCACTCCTGCCCTTCCTCCATCGCTCTGCTCACCCCCCATCGGTCGGTTCGGGTTGTTCTCGAGCATCCACGTCGCCAGGTACCGCAGCGGGTCCGCCGGCTTCGCTCTTGCGAGCTCCGTCAGGCCCTTCACCAGGAAGGGCTGCAGCCGCGACTTGATGTACTGATTCGCCTCCTGCGCGCTCGGAATGGCCTTGCGAGGGGGGCGGCCGCTCATATCCAAGGGGATGCGTCGAGCAAGAACAGCCTCTATCTCCTTGCTGATCTCCTCCCGGGCCCTCTGCCCATTGATCCTCCTGCCCACACACGAGAAGTAGGAGACAACCGTCGCCTCCACCTCGCGGTAAGTTTGCAGCCTCCTCAGCGTCCCCTCACGGCTGTCGGACGTCTGAGCCCTCAGTCGATGGACCAGATGGTGGGGAGGAGGATGGAAGGAGGTGTGGTAGATCTTTCCGGTCTGAGAGTCCACTCGCTTGCCCAGAGCGCGTTCGAGCACCACGGCGTCCGGCACCTCCAGGAGGAAGAAGAAGTCCGGGTCAAGCTCCATCTCCTTGAGCGCCTGGATCTGCCGGATGGTTCGTGGGAAACCATCGAGGATCCAACCACGTTGGCGCACGTCCAAGTGACTCATTCTCTCCTTTATGAGGGGTATAATGACGTCGTCCGAGAGCAGCGTGCCAGATGCCAGGCTGCTCCGCGCCTTCAACCCCACCTGAGTCTCGTTCTCGATGTGGAAGCGCAACAGGTCTCCGGTGCACACGTGGACGAGGCCGAGCTTCTTGGCCAGCTCAGTGGACTGGACGCTCTTGCCGGAAGCCGGAGGCCCGAAGATGACCACCTTGAGGGAGGGAGGAGCAGCGGAAGGGCCCACGTCCTCGAGGATGTCAGAGATCCTGCTCGAGAGCGAGTCCTTGTCGACAGTGCCGTCCAGTAGATGCAGCCTACCGCGGTAAAGAAACTTCATGTTTGACACCTCCACCTGGAACTGATGCATTCGATTCAGAACAGACCGCGAAGTGTCTTCGGCTCTCTGGAACAGGCGGTCAAGGACCTCCGGGTCCTCAGGCGGAGGGTCATACTTGAGGTGGTACATCTTGCCTGTGACCGGGTCCTTCCTCCTTCCCACGCATCGCTCTACCAGGATGTCCTCGGGGACGTCGAAGAGGAAGAAGTGACTAGGTTGAATCCCTGCTTCCTCAAGCATGATCGCCTGCGAGAAAGTCTTGGGAAAGTCGTGCAGCAGCCAACCCTGCTGCATACAGTCCGGCTTCGAAAGCCTCTCCTTGAGGATCCTTACCATCAGATCATCAGATACCAGGAGTCCTTGATCCATCCGTTGCTTCGCTGCCAATCCAAGTGCCGTGGAGTTGGAGATCGCGTTGCGAATCTCATCCATCATGGAGAGTTCCACAACCCCGAATTTGTCGACAACGCACTCCGCTTGAGATCTCTTGCCAGAACCTGGAGGACCCGCGATGATGATGCGCTTGGGGCCGTCGACGCTCGACATCTTACCCTTGAGGTACTTGTCAATCTTAGAACTGATAACTTTCTTCTCCTTCGTCCCGTCGATCTTCACGTGCAGATTCGAGTAGAAAGGCATGATCGCTCGCACGTTCTCGTGGTACGCCCCGATCCTCTTCTGCATCGCCTCCTCCGTGTCGTCCGCACGATGTACAAGCCGGCCCTGTACTTCCGGGTCCTCTGGTGGAGGATTGTACTTGAGATGGTAGATCTTCCCCGTCTCCGGGTCCGTCCTCCTCCCGACGCATCGCTCTACCAGGATGTCGTCCGGTACGTCAAGCAGAATGAAGTGGCTCGGCCTGATCCCTGCCGCCTCAAGCGCTTCTGCCTGTACTCCCGTGCGCGGAAAGCCGTCCAGCAGCCAGCCTCGCTCCTGACAGTCTGGCTCTGCCAGCCGCTCCTTCACGATGTTGATGATCAGCTCGTCCGGTACAAGCCCGCCGCTCTCCATGAAGCCCTTCGCCTGCTGCCCCAGCTCTGACCCCTTCGCAACCTCTGCTCGTAGGGCGTCGCCTGTCGAGATGTGCACAACGCCGAACTTCTCCACGATCATCTCGCATTGTGTGCCCTTCCCCGACGCTGGGGGGCCCGCGATAATGATGCGCTTGGGGGATTTAGATGGACAAGGCTTGCCCTGGAGGTAGTCCTCGATGTTCCCTGCTATCGCCTTCTTCTCTTGTGTCCCGTCGATCTTCACGTGCAGATTCGAGTAGAAAGGCATGATCGCTCGCACGTTCTCGTGGTACGCCCCGATCCTCTTCTGCATCGCCTCCTCCGTGTCGTCCGCACGATGTACAAGCCGGCCCTGTACTTCCGGGTCCTCTGGTGGAGGATTGTACTTGAGATGGTAGATCTTCCCCGTCTCCGGGTCCGTCCTCCTCCCGACGCATCGCTCTACCAGGATGTCGTCCGGTACGTCAAGCAGAATGAAGTGGCTCGGCCTGATCCCTGCCGCCTCAAGCGCTTCTGCCTGTACTCCCGTGCGCGGAAAGCCGTCCAGCAGCCAGCCTCGCTCCTGACAGTCTGGCTCTGCCAGCCGCTCCTTCACGATGTTGATGATCAGCTCGTCCGGTACAAGCCCGCCGCTCTCCATGAAGCCCTTCGCCTGCTGCCCCAGCTCTGACCCCTTCGCAACCTCTGCTCGTAGGGCGTCGCCTGTCGAGATGTGCACAACGCCGAACTTCTCCACGATCATCTCGCATTGTGTGCCCTTCCCCGACGCTGGGGGGCCCGCGATAATGATGCGCTTTGGCGAGCCTTTGCCTGACGACCCTCCTAGAAGATAACTCTCTATGCTCCCTGCTATCGCCTTCTTCTCTTGCGTCCCGTCGATCTTCACGTGCAGATTCGAGTAGAAAGGCATGATCGCTCGCACGTTCTCGTGGTACGCCCCGATCCTCTTCTGCATCGCCTCCTCCGTGTCGTCCGCACGATGTACAAGCCGGCCCTGTACTTCCGGGTCCTCTGGTGGAGGATTGTACTTGAGATGGTAGATCTTCCCCGTCTCCGGGTCCGTCCTCCTCCCGACGCATCGCTCTACCAGGATGTCGTCCGGTACGTCAAGCAGAATGAAGTGGCTCGGCCTGATCCCTGCCGCCTCAAGCGCTTCTGCCTGTACTCCCGTGCGCGGAAAGCCGTCCAGCAGCCAGCCTCGCTCCTGACAGTCTGGCTCTGCCAGCCGCTCCTTCACGATGTTGATGATCAGCTCGTCCGGTACAAGCCCGCCGCTCTCCATGAAGCCCTTCGCCTGCTGCCCCAGCTCTGACCCCTTCGTAACCTCTGCTCGTAGGGCGTCGCCTGTCGAGATGTGCACAACGCCGAACTTCTCCACGATCATCTCGCATTGTGTGCCCTTCCCCGACGCTGGGGGGCCCGCGATAATGATGCGCTTGGGGGATTTAGATGGACAAGGCTTGCCCTGGAGGTAGTCCTCGATGTTCCCTGCTATCGCCTTCTTCTCTTGTGTCCCGTCGATCTTCACGTGCAGATTCGAGTAGAAAGGCATGATCGCTCGCACGTTCTCGTGGTACGCCCCGATCCTCTTCTGCATCGCCTCCTCCGTGTCGTCCGCACGATGTACAAGCCGGCCCTGTACTTCCGGGTCCTCTGGTGGAGGATTGTACTTGAGATGGTAGATCTTCCCCGTCTCCGGGTCCGTCCTCCTCCCGACGCATCGCTCTACCAGGATGTCGTCCGGTACGTCAAGCAGAATGAAGTGGCTCGGCCTGATCCCTGCCGCCTCAAGCGCTTCTGCCTGTACTCCCGTGCGCGGAAAGCCGTCCAGCAGCCAGCCTCGCTCCTGACAGTCTGGCTCTGCCAGCCGCTCCTTCACGATGTTGATGATCAGCTCGTCCGGTACAAGCCCGCCGCTCTCCATGAAGCCCTTCGCCTGCTGCCCCAGCTCTGACCCCTTCGCAACCTCTGCCCGCAGGGCGTCGCCTGTCGAGATGTGCACAACGCCGAACTTCTCCACGATCATCTCGCATTGTGTGCCCTTCCCCGACGCTGGGGGGCCCGCGATAATGATGCGCTTTGGCGAGCCTTTGCCTGACGACCCTCCTAGAAGATAACTCTCTATGCTCCCTGCTATCGCCTTCTTCTCTTGTGTCCCGTCGATCTTCACGTGCAGATTCGAGTAGAAAGGCATGATCGCTCGCACGTTCTCGTGGTACGCCCCGATCCTCTTCTGCATCGCCTCCTCCGTGTCGTCCGCACGATGTACAAGCCGGCCCTGTACTTCCGGGTCCTCTGGTGGAGGATTGTACTTGAGATGGTAGATCTTCCCCGTCTCCGGGTCCGTCCTCCTCCCGACGCATCGCTCTACCAGGATGTCGTCCGGTACGTCAAGCAGAATGAAGTGGCTCGGCCTGATCCCTGCCGCCTCAAGCGCTTCTGCCTGTACTCCCGTGCGCGGAAAGCCGTCCAGCAGCCAGCCTCGCTCCTGACAGTCTGGCTCTGCCAGCCGCTCCTTCACGATGTTGATGATCAGCTCGTCCGGTACAAGCCCGCCGCTCTCCATGAAGCCCTTCGCCTGCTGCCCCAGCTCTGACCCCTTCGCAACCTCTGCCCGCAGGGCGTCGCCTGTCGAGATGTGCACAACGCCGAACTTCTCCACGATCATCTCGCATTGTGTGCCCTTCCCCGACGCTGGGGGACCAGCAATGATTATGTTTAGTTTATCTTTGGTTGACATGCTTTTCTTCTATATCACTTTCTTGTGTGCATATCCTGGAAATGAAAAGTTCCTGGAAACGGAAAGGTGTTAGGTCTTTTCTTGATTAGAATGTTATCAAGTTTTTTTGATAGCGGAGGAAGTCAGGGCTTCAAAACAACGCATGTTTGAAAATTTTTCCAACTATTTGACTTACTTGTTCAGGTGCTTTTGATAAAATATTTTACACCAAGGAAGCAATTTCACCACGACACTCTTGCAGTTGCAAAGATTCTTCTCCTTTGATCACCAACTACCCTTGAAGACTACTTACCACTGGATTGGGGTTTGGAACAAATTGTGCAACAACAAACAAAATGAGATCTTAAGTCAAGACTTTCAAAGAAGATAGACTGTCATACTAACACTACATTGCTGAAACATGCCATGTCCTTCTCCTGCTCCTCGCGTGCCTCTTCTCCCTAACGTCTCCCCTCCTCGTTCCTCGTCATCCCGCCATAACCGTTGGTGCTTGGAATTTTTTTCATCTACCCCTACCCCCTATTTTCCTGAGTCGTCCCTAGGGGAAAGTGGTGGTGGTTCCATTTTGAGCATTATGCGTTTATGATTGAAATTTTTTCATATAATTGCAAATATTGAGTAAAACCTAGACCATAATTATGAATTTTATGAGTCTGTTATGATATATTGCAATAGCATTGCGACAACCGACATATAACACTGAGTCTTCTTTACTCAAAGTTAAGTTAAAAATCAGTACGAGCTGCGAGGTACCAGTTTAATCATTACAGTGACTTAACCCGGGGTTCGGTGGCGCCGGGCCGTCCGATGAGTCCGATGATCGGATCATAGTACTTCGAGTCTTTCAATCACTAGGTGAGACGGCACTGCACCGTACCGGGGCCCGGCCCGGTGATTGGATCATCGAGTCGGATGCAAAGGCTAACTGCAATAGGCGGTCCGCCTCGGAGCCGCTGACTGAGTCCGGACGGGTCAGCCCCTCCGGCGTAACATGGCGAGTTTCACATGATTGATTTTTCACGTTTTGTGCGGCCCTGGCGCGCCGCGGCCGCACTGGCCACCGAGCGCCGGACTCTCCGGGAGCGCGGCTTGCCCCCTTCCCCCCCCCCGGCCCGGGCCCCGGCCCCCCGGCCCCCCCGCGGCCCGGCCTCCGAGGCTCCCGGGCCCCACGTGACGGCCCCCCGGTCCGGCGACAGGCGGCCGGGCCGGGCCCGCCGGCTACTAGGACTCGGTGACTCGGGATACGTACCAGTTCAATCTAAATTAAGTTAAAAAATCAGTGAGGACAATCAGGAGAGTAGAAAAGACAGCGATACTATGATAATCAAACCTAATCCTGCCGACTGCTGTCCCCTAACTTAGTAATAACGTACCCGTTTAATAATACACGATTGAGAGTTTTTGTGCAGCAAGGAGTCGAAATGGGAGGAGGGAGGAGCTGAAGAGAGGCATGGCGCGTGCTGGTGGAAGGATCAAGGGACGAGGATATCAACTCGCAGGAGGTCATGGGAGAGTGATAGAGGTTCCTATACGAAAAAGGGGCAAGGCAAAACTTCATAACGAGGACGGAGTGAGAGCAAGCATGTAGACAGAAGGGGACGTGAGCGAGTACAGCGATCATTCGTTAACTCGTATCGACCAAGTGCTGATCATGTTCCGCAGAGGGTCGAGAGCCTGCGCTGGATGTTTCAAGACTTTCCCTTCTGCAAGAAGGGGAGGCTCGTCCTGCATGACGGCAAGCGCATCGAGGAGAAGGATCTGATCGGAGCTGGGGAGTTTCTGAGGAAGAAGTCCGAGTTTCGCAGCAAGGAGGTGGAGCCCAAGAACTTTTCGAGGTATGTCATCTTCGCATCCCAAGGCTGTCCATGGGCACACCGATGCTGGATCACTCTCAGCCTGATGGACTTCCCTCTCAAGCACTACTTCACCCACTCTTTCAAGATCGCCCTCCCATTGTTCGGTCCTGTGTTGGAGATCCCGTTCCCGGCCATCAGCACGGAGGGATGGCGAGTCTGCGACCTTCCAGCACATGTCCTGGAAGGAGTAGGGCAAGAGGGGGAGGGAGGAAAGTCGAGCAAGTACCTGCGTGGCATCTGGGCTCCTCAGAACGACGGGGTTTGGCTAGGGAGGTTCTACCAGGTGTCGGAACCAAAGGTGACGGCTAGGGTTGTGGTTCCGATCTTGTGGGACTTGAAGGACAAGAAGATCGTCAACAACGACAGTGCGGACATCGTTCAGGTCCTCGACAGAAACTTCTGTCCCTCTGAGAGGACGAGAGCTGTCGAGCTGTGCCCCAGCAGCAAGTCCAAAGAGATCGAGGAGCTCATCGCTGAGATCTATGTGATCAACAACGGAGTCTACCGCTGCGGCTTCGCTGGCACCGAGGAACACAAACAAGCTGCTCGCGCGGAGGTCTACGATGCGCTGGAGACGCTCGAGGCTCGCTTGGCCTCGAGCCCACACAAGTACCTGCTGGGAGATGAGCTGACGCAGCCTGACATTCACCTCTTCACCACCATGATCCGCTTTGACACTGCCTACTGCATGGCATTCCGGGTAGGCCGAAAGAGCCTCAACGACTTTGTGCACATGAGGCGATACATCCGATCCATCTACGACCAGCCCAAGGTGAGGCGGACGTGCTTGCCCCTGATCTCCTACAGCTTGTTCTACTTCCAAGTGTGTCAATGGAGGGGCAAGGTGGTTGGAAACCTCCTCCGCCTGTCCCTTGCCTTCCTCCTCCAGCTCACTGGTGCCAACAAGCCAGATTGCTCCATGGCAAGCCGCGTCCTATATAAGTTGTTGTCCTTGCCAGCATGGACAGCAATCGATTTGTTCCATATCTGAGATCTAGACAAAATTTGTTGGGAGAAATTTTACTGTTGGTATATGTTAGCAGACATGTTACTGGGCATGAATGAGTCATGAAGCAAACCGTTGCTGCGCTGCACTGGTTACAGGCACTGTTATGCCTTTGAACCTCCCAATCAAGTTTATCAATCATCTTTATGCTTCTCCTCGTAGTCCTTTGCTCTTCTCAGTACCTCATCGAGCCTGGACCGCAAAGCTTCTTGCTTTCTGTGAAGGTTTTCTATTCTCGCAATCCTGTGAAACATTCTTCAGAGGCTCCAAGAACAAGATGGCACTAACTTGAGCTGCTGCTGGGCTGATCGTAGCTGGATGTGGTCTAGCTGGTCGTGGAAGGATCGAACCGCCTCCAAGATGCCCTTGAGGTCTCTGGCAACTGTCGTCTCGAGCAGTGTGTCTTGTCGCAAGCTGATTGCAGCAAGTGAGATACGATAGGCAGCAGCAGCAGCTTCACAAGCTCTCAATCAGTCGCTTCTGCTTCTCAATCAGTCGGTCGAAGTCTGACATGGTGAACCTGCAGGCGCGTCAGTCTCGCTACATCTCACGCCGTAAAGTCACAACATCGCATGTTCCGCATCGCCTTCACTCCTCTTAACCCGCTCGCTCGAAGAATCCCTGCACGAGCATCAGGGGCATCACCAGCGCTCATGCTAACTCATACCATGATCCTTGCTCCTTCTCCAGCGCTCTCTTGACCTCCCACGCCATGCGTCGCCGCAGGAGCTTTGGCATAGCCCAGCAGAGAGCTAGCAGGAGGATCCCGCCGGCTCCGACGACTCCGTAGATAACCAAGAGCCAGACAGGAGTAGACGATGAGCAGGAGGCGACGGGGAACTGATCACTTCTCCTTGACGATGCTTGACAAGCAGGACTCGGCAGCGTCGAGATCAGGTAGCTCCCAGCTTGGAACGCCTCGGTCATGTTCCTACCCCATACTGTCGGCACCAACTCCCTCAGTCGTCGTACCTCCAGCTGCGGGCTTGAGATCGCTTCGTAGTAGCCATCTACAACAAGAAGATACAAGGTAGAGCGAGGGATCAGGTATAGAAACGTTCTCATCATGATCACATAAGGACCCAAGGACCTGACTCTATGAAACTCCACACCCACATGCTCCATAGAAGTCTCTCCCCTGGCTGCAGCAGCAGACTGTCTCTGTTCAGTCCAATTCACCAGGACCTCATGGTTGACTTGAAATACACATTCGTTGCCATTCAGACATGTCCGCACCAACACGTCCTTCTCGTCAAGATATTGCAAGATGTTGGCATGCTTGTCTTGTAGAGCATACGTCTCAAAAGAAGCAGCTTCATCGAGACTGCTCTTGTCGACTATAACATGCAGGTTCTTCGTCATGATGAAGAGGAGCAGCCCGTTGTCGAGAGATGTCAAGATGGATCTTGCTCCCACTCCGCTCAGTTTGGCCTTAATATCCGCCACGAACGAGGCATACGATAGCAGAACTCCAGTCACCCCAAGCGGAAACCGCGAGGTAGAGACGTTTGGCGATGTGGAGAGATAGAGAGCCTTTGAGATGGTCACATATGTACGATTGAGATTCGCAGTTGGAGTCGAAATCGACATCAGGTCTGGATTGAGCAGAGCGGATTGAAACCATGTACTCTCGGTGTAGTTATGAAGGGGCTCTGAACTCCTCATAGCTCCAGGATAAGAACGAAGTACACCAGACAAACATCCGAAGAACAGCTCGAGCACGTCCGATCTTGTCTTGGAGGTGAAGGTGCTGTTGTCAATGTAGAGTGCATTGCCGTCTGTTTGTCTTCCGCGAATTCCCAACGTGTGTTTCCAGTACTCCTCCATGTTAGAACTGACTTGGATGCACTTTACAGCAGATGGATGGAGTCCCCAGGCATGTCCACGCGTGCTGGAGGCGCTGGACCTGGGGAGAAGTGAGTCTGAGAGAGAGAGAGAGAGGAAGAGAGAGAGAGAGAGAGAGAGGAAGAGAGAGAGAGAGAGAGGAAGAGAGAGAGAGAGAGGCGCGCGGGGGGAGGGGGGGGGGGGGGGGGGAGGAAAAAAAAAAAAAAGGAAAAAGGAAAAAAAAAAAAAAAAAAAGGGAAAGGGAAAAACCTGGGGGGGGGGGGGGGAAAAAAAAGGGGAAGAGAGAGAGAGAGGAAGGAGTTAGAAGAGCATAAGGAGGCTTACTTGATCTGCTCGTTCAACGCTAACAGCTCCTGAAGGCTCAGGTCCCCTTGCCTCAACGAGCTCCTCCCGTACAAGGCAGCAGGCGTTGCAAACCAGACGCTTGTGTCGTAAGTGCACCAGACTGTCCCGCAGGCCCTTGTGCCGCCCCACGGGTACGAGAACCTGGCGGGTATGAGAGGGCGGAGGAGATCGAGGCGATGAAAGCAAGCAGCCATGGTCGAGTACGAGTTGTTCCAGCAGCGCTGCGTCCGATTGTCTTCCTGGCAGAGCGGCAAGAAGCTGATTGCAGGGACTTGCAACAAATAAAGTGAGCTCCTTGCTGGAGACGTCCAGCTGCTGCTAAGCTGAAACCTTCCAACCAGCGAGAGAGGAGATGCTGCGATCGCCCTCCAGCAAAACATCAACTTCCTTCCAGTGCTGCTGGACCTGCCCGACCCCTTAGCTTGCATGGTGAACTCTACGCAACTAGAGTTGCGCTGCATGGCGATGGGGATGTAAGAACAACACAGTCTCATCTGATCGCTTCTGGCTTCGTCAAACAGTGTGGCGAGCCTTGAATAAGAAACTTGCATCGTCAAAGCGTCTAGACTGCCAAGGAGTGCAGTTGAAACAATCCTGAACGATTTGACTGGGTAGAAGCTGTTCAGTTCAAGCAGATTCATCAGCACTTCATCTGAATAGTCTGCTCTGATGACTCCGACAGCACCAGGAGGACTTAGACCGCAACTCCATTCCAGCGCTGCAATGAAGCTGTCGGTGTGACTCTGATTCCATGTATCGGCACTTGAGCGCGGGAGGTGGATACTCCAGATACGACGATCGTCCTCGAAAGATACTGTCTTAAGGCTTTGAATCAGCTTCAGCGAGCTCAGAGCGATCAACTTCTCCCTATCATCCTGACAACAACATCAGAAACCACCTCACACCTTGGTATCAGAACCTTCAAGAATGTAGAAGGGGTGTCAGGAAGCAAGCTGCTCATGATTGAGCACTTTCCAAACTGACTTGAATTTCCATCTTGTGTCAAAGCAAGCCTTACGACAGTTCCGCCAATTTCACATTTCAAATCATTCAGGAATTTTGTTGAGGTCATCGTGTTCATAGTCACAGCGTCGTCTACAACTATCCCAACAAAGATTGTTCTATTCTGCACCGATGAAAAACGTTTACCTGAAAACAGTCAGAGGCGTGTCATCTTTGTAATTACCTCCACCATACTTTGAGGGTCATTGCCAGCAAAGCCGTTCACGCTTGACAGCATCACAATAAAGTTGGACGGATGATTGCTGGTTTCACTACCAGCAAGATAATCCAAGGCCACATCTACTGCGGCAGTCAGATTGGAGTATGAGACATTAGTGAAGTCGTTATGCTTTGCCCAGTCAGTTACAAGTCGTAGATGTTCTTGTGAGGCAGACAACAGAGATTTGCCGGAGGCCGAGGGGACGACGTAAGGTCTTTCAGACGCCAGAATGAGCTGAAACAAGTCGACAGGAGAGACCCAGTACTTGATCAACGCCTCAACTTGAGCCATCGCAATGTCCATCGCCGCGCAGACGCTCGCGGAAAACAGTGCAGCATCGAGCACGAAGACAACCCGCTTGCTTGGATACATCAAATGTTTGTACCAGGATGTGTTTAACATCGCCAAGTCGTTGATCTTTGAACTTGAGAGATCATTCGAGAGCATTACCACGTTCCCGTCCTGAGCGATAAAGTATTGATTTGCAAGATAAGTGTTCGACGAATTCAAAGAGATGTTCTTCATTTGGAGACAGAGGCTGTGAGATAAATTACAGAAGCTATACACTGAAGTTTCATTCCATGCGAGCGGCATGTACACTGTACATTCGTCAATCTGTACACGCTGACCATTGACAATTTCATTCAGCTGAGATCCAGTCAGTCTTGGGTCGAGAAAGGTTGTTTCGTTGACCAATGTCACTTGCGCTGCACTTCTCACTTTGCCGAGGACCTGTTCTCGCTCATGGAAGATGTCTTGGATGCCTCCTCGTCCTCCTGCCAATTCTTCCAACAAATTTGTCGGATTTTGCTGTATCTGTACGGCAGGAACTTGTTGGACGACATCATAAGGCGAAAGAATGCCAGTCGTTGGACCCAAGGAGCTGCAGTCTGCCGACGGTTGAGTTCCAAGTATCGCACACTCGTAATGGAGGAAGAGATCTGACAGGCTCTCGAGCACCTGCCCCACGCTGCACACGAGTCAGTGAAGGCTGATAACATCACGCTAGGCTACGCACGTCGATCCCCCGATCAGCTCATGACAAGCCGCTGGAAGAAACTCCGAAGCAATCAGAACAACGATGACCAAGTTCAACAACATCCGGTCTTGAGTAGGCATGTTTCAGTGTACGAGCTGTACGATCGAAACAATCAAGGAATCGCTTGAGCAACCAACAAGAAGCAAGATTGGCGCTTCAAAGATACATGTCTGACCTATTCTCCTGCACATGCAGTTCGTTATTGTTTTTACACCAGCAGCTCCCTTGACTCAGTCCGCTCCTTCTGCTGCACTTACTGTGATCACGCTGAGATGTCCTTTGAGCCAGCTGACAACAACCCTGGAGGCATTTCAATCAAAGTACCGGCAAAGCTTGCCAGAACAACTGTCACTTGTCATCGGGTTGCCATATCCGATATCAGTGTCAAAGTTCTCTCCGAGCCTCATCACTTGCTCTCTCGTTGTTCTGCTGCTGCTTCTTTCATCTCTCCATGGAGCTCCTCGCCTCCTCCGCTGCATTTCGTGGCACTGCTGAGCGGCATGGTCCACTAGAGTCTCAGAGTCTGGCCTGCGGCCCGACAGTTCTCAATATAGAAAGAAAAACAAAAAGAAAAGTTTGTTGTAAAACCTGTGTAACGGAAGAAACCGTTGCTACGTGGGCTTCGGCCGCCATGTCGAACGGAGCGGAATAGAAGGAAGCAAGCACAAGAGGGACAGGAAGACTGAGAGTAAAGTCGAACCCATTCCCACAAAGCAAGCAAACGCTTTCATCTCTCAGCCGTGATACACTGAGATCCCAAGATTGTTCAAGGTTCTTGCGGGCACAACAAGAATTCTTGCTAGTTTGAGAAAACATGTACAATCGGAGCAGCAGCAGCCGTGGTAACTCAGGGGCAGCAGCAGCGTCTACCTCAGCCGACCAACTTGAAAGCCAGAATGAGATGATGCTGGGGAATCTTCACAGCAGAATCTCAAACTTGAAGAATGTGAGGCCTGAATTTCGTTCTCACAACAGGCTGTCGCTGAATTTGTTGACAAATTAGATCACGATCGCAATTGGCGATGAAGTTAGAGAGCAGAACAAAGCTCTTGAGTTTATGCAAAATGGTATGATGAGCACTGACAACCTGATAGGGTCCACCTTGAACAAGATGCAGGTATTCTCGGTCTTTTTCTGTAGCGTGCCTTCACTAATCTTGTTCCCACAGACTATGTACAAAAGTCACGGTTCAATGTCCATCGTGTACTTGTCGATATTTTGTTTGGTAGTTTTCTTTGCGGTATTTACATAAGATTGGAATCTTGCTTTTTGCCCTGACATTCCCAGCAGGTATACTCACTCATGAAGATGGGTTTCTGAAGGCATTGGGGTATAAGTTCACGTGTATAGATCTAGACGCCTTCACAAGGGTCATATTTTGATTGAATTTTATTCTGTTCAGTACAGAGAACTATTTCTCTTCCTTTTCTGGGGTATGAATGTTGGCTGACATACCGAGCTTGCTGTGAAGCAATATTCAACGTACGGAAACACAAAAAAACTTACAGAGTAGATGCTTCAAAATGGAAAAAGAATAGACAGGGTGGATACAAATAGAATTTGCGTACCTGCCAGATATATGCATGACGTAATTGGTTACTGCTTGGAGGGCATTCTTCTTTAAGTTGTCAAGTTTGGATTGGTCCGTGACAAATGCATTTTTCTTGAACTCATTTTTAACCAGCACTTTAACTTGCCTCGCATCTACACTCCTGTGCTGCAAAGAAATTGTCACAAGTACTTATGATAAAACGGGAACCAGACCGTTGCTGAGATGTGTTGCAAAAGTCTTAAGCAATCTTTGTAGAGCTGCAACATGGTTTCAGAACTCGAAGAAACTAAAAAACTGCACAGAAAGAAGGACAACAGGAAAAGCAATTGTTAAAATTCGATTCAAACTGAACCGCTCGGGTAAAGTTCTAGGAAACCCACGACAATTTCGGCAAACATGTTGGAGTGTTGCAAAGTCGTTTTGTGAGAGTTTCTCGCTTCACTTAGGTCGAAAACAGAGCCCAGGTACACACTGCCTTCATACATTCCAACGAATGATGTGTTTGGAAAGGGGGGGGGAAGCCAAGCACAAGACAGAGTGAATGGAGTACACCACATGGTGACGGGATCCAGCACGTGAGTTAGCAATCAAGACAAGAAACCAAGTCTACCGCATGCATCCGATCGTGAACAGGTCATGAGCCCATGAAGGGAGAGAACAATCAGCAGCCGCAAGTCACATCTCTCATCTCTCCTCCTCGTCTCCTTCCCCTTCCCCTTCCCTCCCCTTCTCACTCACTCGCTGCACGCTTGGCTCGAACCCGCGCTCCATGACGGACGGACGTTTCTCCGTTTCCTTTGTCGTTACACAATTAACGGTGAGGGAGAGATTTTGAGGATGACGGCAATAAGACCCATGGCCCAGGGAGCTATGCGACCTGCTATGCCACGAGCCTCACGGAAATGAGGGCGAGGAAGGGGAGGATGAAGAAGACGGGGACGACGATGGGTGCAACGATGGCGATGGTGATGGTAGTGATGATGATGATGACGATGATGGAAGTGAACGAGTCAAGTTGTGTCAGGCTGGTCATACCCAACACTGTCAGGCTACGGGGAGGCGCAGAGCAAGAGCCGGGGTACGATCCTTTCGGTGATTCCAATCAGTTCTCGATTGAGGATTGGAACGTGGGGGGGAGCGACCCTGAGATCGAGGTGCGAGACTCCGATGAAGACTTTCAGACTGCATACCGTTGTATGCATGACGGTCAGGATTACTCGGTGAAGACTGTGAGCAAGGAATCTGTCGAGACCATACAAGACTTCCTGGCCTTTCCTTTCGATGAGAAGAGCGTGGAATTCTTGGAGAAGAGGCTGACTTTCAGAGGTCTGATGGAGATCATCAATGGCAAGGTAGGAGCACAGATCAGCCCAAACATCTCGCACCTGAAGGCTGTCAGGTGCCTTGAGAAGATCATGAGGTCGTTCAACGACAGCAAGAGCATCGAGCTCTTCTTCAAAAAGTTTTCAATCTCTCTCAGCTACTTAGCATCGACGCTCAAGAATGCGTTGAGGACTGTTGACCACCCTGGCGACTTCTATGTCCTCAGCTGTTTGACCCGTCTAACTGATGAACACGCTCAGCCCCTGCTTGTGGAGCATGAGTTGCTCGTAGACGTCTTGAAGGGTCTTTGGAACAAGAACAGCGACACCATTGTGAAAGTCTACGAAGTTATGATCAAATTCTTCTCCACGGATTTCGGGTTGGCCCAGATAAAGGAAGAGAGTTGTCTTCAAATAATCCAGCAGGCCTTACAGGATGACAAGTCGCAAGTCAGAATGCGAGCGCTCGAGCTTCTCTTGAGGACGGTGAACATAAGTCAGAAAGCTCAAGCCGCCTTCCGGGGCCTCAACCTTCAATCCATCTTGATCGAGAGCTTCAACCATCCCGACGACGTGCTTGTTCTCAACGCCATTGAGCTCGCTTGGTTCTGCCCCATCGAATCTCTACCGATAGAGGCGATCTATATGTTCTTGGACGATGCAATCCTGGCGTGGGAGAAGAGGAAGGAGAGCGAAGACACCATCCCCTATGTCAGCTTGCTGCACGAGGAGAGGCTAAGAGCTGTGGCGAGGCATTGGGCCCTGCAGGACGAGTCCATCCCTCCCTTCATGGTCAACCAGCTCGAGCTACACCTCTTGGACCTCACCAATCGGCAAGAAACAGGCCCCGTGGCCTTGGCTATCTCCACTTGTGCGATGCTGTGCAGTACGAAGCGGGGAGTGAAGGTGTTCGAGGAAATGCAGCTGTCGTTTGAAATCACGCAGAACTTGCCGCATTTTGCCTCGAGCACGAGAGAAGATCTCTTCCTTGCTGCAATCGTCCTCACGGAGAATTTGATTCTCAATGCAAACCTCGATAGCCGGTTAGAAAACGCTTTCAAGCATTCTCAGGATAACGTGCAGGGGTTGTTGAAGGAGGAGTTCCAGGTTTGTGCTTACAGCAATTTGATGCCTGTCTGTACCACGTGACTTGCTCACAGGATCTTCCATCTTGGTTGATAGACTTGATCATGACAATGCGGAAGCGATTGTTCTACCTTGCAAACGTGCTCACTTCACCTCCATCCCCTGCCTTGCTCACGTCCATATAGGTCCCTTTTCATGAGCAGCGGATCACAACCCTCTCGCTCATGGAGAAACTCGCCCGCACTCCCACGGGTGCAAACATTCTCCTACAAGATGTACAGATGATCGACCTGCTCTTCGCACGCAACAAGATCGGTCAGTTCTTCACATCCTCACTTCCTGTCAATGAGTGGACCGACAGGATTCGTCGACGAGAACGAGGCAGACGCGATCGAGTCAAAGCACAAGCTGGCAAGGGTGAGTGGAACAGTGAGGGGTCGAGGAGTACTGAGTCGAACCCAGAGCCTCTTGCTCCATCCGGAGATCGTCAAGAGTCGCTGCAGCCCGGATGCTGTGCAGGCCCTGACGCTGCTCGTGGAGAACGGGCCCTTCTCTCCTGTCTACCTTAAGAACGCATCCCTTGTCAGCAGGGCAGTTCCAATCGTAGCGACAACGGCTGCAACGGTGTGATAAAGAATGTGCTGGAAACGAAATGTTCTACCTCCCTCCCTCATTGCTCCATCATCAACAGATCAACGCGCTTTGTAGCACCTTGCTTGTTGAATTTCGTCCATGTAACGTGATCAATTCTGTTTTTTTAGTTCGAAAAAAAAATAGAAAAGAATGAGAGTAAAGACATTGAAAGAAGTGTGAGTTCGAAGACTGCAAGAAGGACGCAACCAAAAGGACAGTGAGTGAGCTGAGAGTACAGTCAACACAGTAATTCTGCCTCAGGCAGAACTGGTCAGGCATCCGAGGATCTGGCGCACGCTCATGAGGACCTTGTTCAATGCGACACTGACTAGACCGCAAGACTGCTTGTCCGTGAGTGGAGCATGCTTCATCCACTCCATCTGGTCAAAGCGAAACCGCCAGAGGTCGCTCAAGGTGAAGGCAGAGTCCTCGAAGCTCAGCAGATCCCTTCCCCGCACAAGCACCACTGTCAAGAACAGCGACGACCAACAGGCCAGCGCCGCTGAGGCGGCAAGGAACGGGAGAGGAGACCAAATGCCGAGCAATCCGGGAGCAAGCAGACCGGCGACTGCGTTGCCAAATCTGCGAAGCATCTGCCCCCTTCCTTGCCAGCTCCTGTATTGCGAAGGGGGAGCGATCTGCTGGATGGCATCATTGACGAGATACGTCCAGAGGTCGTTCAATACTTGGAAAATCAACTGGAACGATACAGCAATGGCGAGGACGGGAGTCGTGAACAAGAAAACCACTCCAGAAATCAGGATCATGACAGACACGACAGAGACGATAGGCTTCAAGGGATATTGCTCTCTTGCCCCATGCTCGAATGGATGACGCATCTTGTGGCTGATTGTCATGCCCAGGAGCTCACCAAAACCCATCGACACCCCAAAGAAGAAGGCAGACTTGCCGTACTCCATATTGTAGTAGATAGTGCCTGCTCCAAGGAATGTGCCAATGCAGAGAGCAATAAAAATCTGAGAAAAAACCAGGAAATGAATCACACAGGGAACCCGCTCCGTGCTTGTCGAGCTATCAAGGCAATGATTCTCGTCCTGATATTTCACAACGCCATGATGCTCTCCATAACACGCAATGGAGGCCTTGACTGTTTCTTGCGCCCCATTGTTTGGGTGCATCACATACGTGACACATTGCCGTACAATCATGCCATCATGTGCATGCTTTCCGAGTGTCCCATCGAGCATGTCTTGCACAACCCTTTCGAGTGCTGGCGGATCTAATTCCTCTTCACTAACTCTAGACAATGCCAGCATGCTCCCTGTCAGGATGGCAAATGATCGAAGATTGATTAAATCCATAGGGAAAGGAGCACAAGGGGCAAATATCGACTGATATTTGTTGATTTTGTCCAAAATAAAATGTAACATCAACTGTAAAATGCAGCAAAAAGCTCCAAGCGTGCATGCCCACTGGAAGCTCAAATTTTCGAAAACCCATCCTCCGACTACAAACGATACACAAGCTCCAAAACACACCCAGGAAAATTGTTTTCTCAGAGGGGGGTTGTTGTTGGAAAGACTTGACACAAGGATAAGCTCATGCTGCAAGCTCACGATGACTTCGCCAAGCCCTGTCAGAGCAAACAACCATGGACACCATGTTTTGTTCTGTGAAAGAGCATTGCAAAGAAAACCGACGAGTGAAAGAAGGATAAGTGGCTTCGTCATGCGCGTCCCTTCCTTCACTATGATCCAGTTCGCAAACAACCTCATAATCTGGAAGAGACCAACAACCAGACCTATGTTGAAAAAGGAAAAATTGCAGTCTCTGTACAAATAGAGAGGTACTGTTACAAATCCTATCCTTGTCGAAATTCCATACAGTGCTGGTAAAAAGCAGCAAAGAATATTTTCAGTAGCTTGGAAACCGAAGGATTGTAGCTGGTTGTTTCGCAAAATCGCGTGCTGAAAATCTTCAATCGTGATATGATCCTTTCCTTGACTAGACTCATCAAATATCCTTCGACTGAGCTTTCTGATGTCCTCCTCGGGCAAGGAAGCCCCTGGGGCAAGAATTTTCGCAACAGACCTTGATGCGGAAAAAATATCATCTTGGGATAAGGATTCTTTTCCTGACTTGAGAGAGAAGTAAATGTCTTGGACATTCACAGATGAAGAATTTGCTCCTGAACTTGGCATTATGTCGTGCGACAAGTGCAAGACCCAAGTTCAGGCTAGCCCTCTATCAGTGACGGGCCACAAAGATTAATTACGGATAGAACGTGGCAGGGTCAGACAGAAACCAGCAAGCAGGAATATGGTACAAAAGGGTGAGTTGTAGAGAGGCGAGGTGGCACAGGGCGAGTGAGGACACTGGTTCGCGCTGGCAGGAGGATCCACGAGGCTATTGGAGGACGAGGTGCGATCAGGGTATGGGATGCGAACGGCAAGAAGGCGTTCACGATCAAACAGGAAGGAAATAGTATGTTGTGAAGGGAAACCGTACCCGGTCCATTTACCTACATTTTTCTGGTGGGGGTGGTGTGAAAGGGGTCACATGGAGGGTCGCAAGAAAGTCTTCATGCCCTCACATGGGGGGGGTAGTCATGTGATCGAAAAAGGGAGTGGTAGGGTGCAAGAACACCATTTGGTGGGTAGGGTAAAGATTTGTTGAGTGATAAAGTGTACCAGTTGGCCGAATAAAATTAACTTTTAAGGGGTGGGGTACCCTTGTGAGATGGGGTAGTCGTGGAAAAGTGACTGCCTTGCCGAGTTTGTAACTAGATGGGTGGGGTCATTATTTTCGGAGAGGTGACCAGGGGTACTTTTCCTATGCAAAGGGTGGGTGGGATATTTGGGGAGACGGCCGCCGGGGAATGTTCGATATTTCCTCGAGCCAGGAAAAGAAGTGGTGGGTAGTAGTGGGGGAATATGAGGGTACAATTGGGGACTAAAAAAGTATGGGGGTACCCTACCCCCCAGGGTACTCACCCCGAAACGGATCATCATTTCGGGATCATTTCAAAGATACTACTGTGACAATCGAGCCCCGGGCCCGAGTCCCGGCGGCCGCAGGCGGCCGCTTCCGGATCGGATGGGCCGCGGCGCCGCTGGGCTCAGTACCGCCCGGCGCGCGGCCCGGCGCCTCGCCGGATGCCGCCATGAAGTGGGCCGGCGGCTGGTGGGCCCGGGCCCGGGCCCGGGCCCGGGCCGGGCCGGTTGATGTCGGTGCCGGCTCAGTACGCCGGTCACGACTGTTCACCCGGTCACTAAGTCACGGGCAGTGCAGCGGCGTTAACTGTGACGGCCGCGGGTCCGAAGTTTTGGAGACCCGGACTCGACACCGGGTTTACTAGTGAAAGCCAAGCCTTAGAGTCAGCAAGTGCAGTGCCGCGGCACTGAGCCGGCCGGCCCCAGGCCCTGTGCGGCGGCTTTTCAGTTTGACTCGGAGCCTGGCAACTTTCAACTGCCGCTCGGATGCCGCAGCTGCCTCCACCCTCCTGCCGCGTGCTTTCAACCCTTCGGCCGCTCCATCCTGCCCGGCCCTGGAAAGCGCGGCCCCCGCGCGTGACAGGCTGGACTGCCGCCGGCCGGGCTGTGATCACACTGGCTGCCGCGCCATGATTTTAAGTTACTCCCATGATTACCGTACTAGTCACTCCTCGTACTGATTTTTAACTTAACTTTGACTCACCGTAGAAGAAGTCCGAGGGCCAGCCGGGAGGGCGCGCCGGAGCCCGGCTCGGACATAGCGTTGCCGTTCCGTATCCTTGTCGGATCAGTTAACCAGGGTGGTTCTCATAGTAGTTTTAGTCAAATTCAAGCGGCAAGAGAAAATTGAGCTAAAAATGTTGGCTCCGTCAATTTATGTACCTTTTTCGTTGCCAGGGGCTGCCGGGCCATCCAAGACAAGAAGGGCGATGTTGAGCAAAACCTTCCTCTATTTGATATGAATAGGCGTGTATAGTTGACTAAATAATCATGAGGAGGCTCGGGGTAGGTATTCAAATGATTTGAATCTTTCCAACGGCCTCCAGCCCGTGTTGAGGGGTAGGGGGTAGTGCAAACTTCTCGTATCAATCTAAAACACTTGTAAACGACCTCACACTTGCCCCGGTCTCTTCCCTATCCCACTACTCCCAATGTACTCAGGGACTGTTTGCTCAGCTGCTGAGCGCAGTCAAGGACCATGGCCCCTCAATGCTAACTCCTGAAACTGCCAGGCAAGTACTGAGATCAAACAGCTCAATTCTTGGCTGAGAATCACACCTATAGTAGGTTGAATGTGTAAGGTATGCATCTCATCGAAATTTGCACTTGCGTACCAAAGCACTCATCAGCTATAGGTGATGGTTGTTCACTTCCAGAAGAAGGGAAACATGAAGGGAACCGATCAGAGAAGCAACCTTCGAAGACATGAAGGAAATTCGATTCTCCTTGTTGTGTTGACGCCCTAGCTTCCTTTACCTGAATGCTTCGTCGGTTGAATAAGAAACATATTTCAAGAGACTTCCTGTTGCTTTGCCATGATTGCGTTTTTTGAGGCTTCTCCCAACCTATTGTAATATGGCGGTGTCATTTGTGAGGAGGTGAGGAGTTTGAGAGGCTGGGGGAAGGAGAGGGGAGGGGTTGGAAGGGAAATGGACGCCTGGGAGGCCAGGCTAGTTGACATGCCTGATCGCTGCGAGAGGAGATGCCGGAGGAGAGACCGTGTTTACTCAAGACCACTAGCGAGGAAGGCAGGAGGGCGAGGAGGACATGAGAGGAGAGGAAGGAGAAACGGGTAGAGACGGTTTACTTGACAGCACTAATGAGGAAGGGATGCTTCAGAGCCTCCAGTGCTGTAATCCTCGTGCGGGGATCGATGTTGAGGCAGCAGTTGAGGAAGTCCCAGATCGCATGTTTCTCATCCACCTCCAGCCAGTCCTTGCATCCCGCATGCGCGCCCAGGGAGCTTGACAAGGTCCGCCATGTTTGCTTGAAACCGCGGGCATAGCTGAGATGCAGTTCCAATGGTGGAATCTGAATGACATCAAGTTAGCAACCTCAGGCCTCCCGCCACCATATCACCCTCATCCTCATCCTCTTGATACAACAACGCCGACGACAACAATTTTACCTTAACGTCGAGGAGCTTCCACACAGCATCCATGCTCTTGATGTACATGCGCAAGCTGCTCAGACAGTCAGACAAGCGCACTTCCAAGGTACACAAAGAGCGTACCCGTAGATCTCCATCGTTGCCGTGACTATGTCGTTATACTGGAACCATTGGAACTGTGTCGTGCGGCACAGCAGGGTAAGCAGTACTACCCCAGCAGCCCACACGTCCACTGCTGTGGTCTGGCACTGCATGCCCATGAGCACTTCGGGCGCTCGGTATCCCCGAGTTCCCGCGCGTTTGACTGGACGTTCGAATTTGACCCCTGAGTTCCTCACTGTCACCGATGCGTTCGTCTTGCTGACGCCCAACATGATCCGCCTCTTCGCCATCTGCTGCGCCATCTCTAGCTTCTCCTGCTCCTTTTGATTCCGCGAGGAGCGAGAGCTGGCCGTAGAAACCTCACAGGGCAAGATGTTGCCGATGCTGCGGCCTGATGACTGCATTTGTTTCTCTGCCAGCCCAAAGTCCACAAGCAAGTACTTCTTATTCCTTCTGTCGTAGAGGAAGTTATTCAATTTCACGTCTCGATGTATAATAAATGTATAATGTATAAGACAGTTCTTGCTCAAGACCGAGTTTAACTAAGTAATGCACACTGTGACACGAAACCACTGAGAATTGAGGCCCAGCACTGCACATGAGAGACTCCCGACAGTATGCTAGAATATGAAACTCAGTCAAGCATCATTGCAACGCCGCCGCTGTTCCGATGACACGGACCGGGTACGGCCCGGTACCGCCGGGCATTGCCGCCGCGTGGGGCCGCCGCCTGGCTCGGAACTTGACTCTCAACGTGACCGTTCAACGGTTGACTCACCGGCTACGGTACCCGGTAGCCTTGAAGCCTCAGAGGTCCCGGGGAGTCCGGCTCGCCCGGCCGGGCAGCGCCGTCGGACCTTCAACCGAGTTTTCAGCCTGTGTTCAATTAACGGGAGTCAGCGGGGCTATCTGATCGGACTGGCCGCATGGCTGGCATGCTGCCACTCGGATCCCGGCATTAATCAGCAGTCGGCCGACGGTGACGGCGCCGTCTCACTGAGCCTCCGCCGGGCGGCGGCCGCGGCGGCCGGGCGCCGGAGCCCGAGCCTGGCAGTCACTCAGCGGCTGAGTGCCGCGCCAGCCCGGCGCTGACCGGACTCAGTGACTCGGCCTTGGAACCGTCACGGTGCCTGCTTGCCAGCGCCGGGGCGGCCCCGGTACTACGCCGGGTAGCCTGAGTCACCGGGTGTCAGACACAACTTGAACAGTCGGAGGTCAACATAACTTAACATAACATGGCATGCCAGGCTTCTGAGTCGGAACTTGGAACACTCAGTGCGCCGCCCGAAACTTTCAAATGATTCAGGGCCGGGCGGCCACAAAAAATATTTCACTGTGGAACCGTGAACTTGAAAATTGAGGGGGTGTTCGGCCTGAAATCTTTGTGCCAGTGTCACGCTCCTCCAAGTTTCAAGTTGTTCCATATAGTTTGGAGCAAGTCCAACCTACATGGAACAACTTGAAAATTGAGGGGGTGTAAGAACTCGCCGCCGATAAGTTCTTGGAGACGGCGAGAACTTCCGAAGTTCAGGGTATTGCGTCTCATCGGTAGACGGGGGCGAACTTGAAGCTCAGCGACTCAGATGCAAGTGGGCTTTGACATAGGTCTGGAATTAGCAGTGAAAAGGGGGTGAGGAGGACACGTGTCCAGGGCGCTGCCACGGTGCATTCAAACCGGTACTTGGTCACTGGAGTCACGGTTGCAACTTCCGGGACTGAAGGGGAGGTGACTGCTGTGAATAAAGGAAGTGTTGGTGGTGTCAGTGTGTGGTTCTTCTGACTCGGAGCCTTCTATCATCATCAGTGAAGGTGTTAGAGACTGCACAGCTGTGTATCGTTGAGATGAATAAGGTTGGGGTAAGGATCTCAGGTGTACTGAGAGATAGTGTTTGCCGTGGATCTTGGGTTAAATAGAGTATCTGGCCAGTGAGGTGGAGGTTGATTCGATTAGCCGGGGTGTTCGGCCTGACTCAATCATTGTGTGTCACGCTCCCGGAGTCCAAGTTTCAAGTTGTTCCATATAGTTTGGAGCAAGTCCAACCTACATTGAACAACTTGAAAATTGAGGGGGTGTTCGGCCTGAAATCATTGTGTGTCACGCTCCTGCGGCCTGAAATCATTGTGTGTCACGCTCCTCCAAGTTTCAAGTTGTTCCATATAGTTTGGAGCAAGTCCAACCTACATGGAACAACTTGAAAATTGAGGGGGTGTTCGGCCTGACTCAATCATTGTGTGTCACGCTCCCGGAGTCCAAGTTTCAAGTTGTTCCATATAGTTTGGAGCTAGTCCAACCTACATGGAACAACTTGAAAATTGAGGGGGTGTTCGGCCTGAAATCATTGTGTGTCACGCTCCTGCGGCCTGAAATCATTGTGTGTCACGCTCCTCCAAGTTTCAAGTTGTTCCATATAGTTTGGAGCAAGTCCAACCTACATGGAACAACTTGAAAATTGAGGAGGTGTTCGGCCTGAAATCATTGTGTGTCACGCTCCTGCGGCCTGAAATCTTTGTGTGTCACGCTCCCATCGCAAGTCAGCTTTGATGGCCATTATGGCCTTCACAGGCGTGGCTGGCCCTCCGAAGCTCAATCATGATGCATCGCCAATACGATATCAAATATCAAAATGAAAAATATCAATGTTGAAAGTTTCCCGCCACTGTGAACTCTGCGAAGCCGTACAGATATGAGGATGTGCAGCGTTTGACAGAGCAAGACAAGTCAGGTGAGCATTATCTCTTTTTTTCATCGAAATTATCACGGGAAGAGATCCAAATGACGTGTTCTTGATGCAGGTTGGAATGATTTGCAGCCTTTGGCAACTTGTATGAGATTGATGAACGGGTGAAGACTTTGGCAAGTGCCCAACCAATATTACAAACCGGTATCCAGGAGTACGTAGACGTACCAGTAAGCCGCCCAGCATACAAAACTCTCGAGACAATGGCTGCATACGAAGGGGGTTTCGACACATCGCAGAACTGTCCCGATGTGAAAAGGTTGTGACATGAAATGGGCACAAACAAAGATAAGTTCAGGACTCGGGAGTCGATCAGGTCTAGGCAAAATATTGACATGGTCATCTCACTGCATGGAAGAACATGCAAAACTGAAGGAAAAGCTCAACGGAAAGTTCTAAATGAACAGATACAGCGCATTTTAGCAGTCACGGTCGGAGCAGCTCGATGCTTGAAACAAAGATGATCCTCAGTACAATCGAATGATGACAAGTAAGTCCCGTGGTTCGTGAAGGATTCTTCATCCAATTCTTAAGGATGTGTTGGAACGATGAAACATTTTGCAAATCACCAATTTCATCACACTGACTGATGCATCATGTAAATATTACTGGTGTGAACTTGCATCAGATTCTGTTCATCGGATGAGCCGCTACCAAGCAGTTGATGTCACAGCAAACAAGAGAGCCGTTTTGAAGATGTTGATATTCCTGACCGTAGAGCATTCAAGATGTGGCCACATGTCACATGCTTCTTGGTTAACGCAGATACACCCTCGCCAGGCAAAAGATGGAACGTCTTCAGGATTACAGGGAGGTCGGTTGTGCTTGTACCCTGATTGTAACTCTTCTAATAAAGATATGATAACCTGAATGTGCAATTCTGTTTGTTGATTCACAGTGTTTGCGACTCGATTGCAATCATCGAGTGCTTGCTCTGTTGAACAAGGCACTCCTCTGTAGAGCCATGCGACAAGAACACTACAGTTGCACGGTAGCATTGCGACACCAAGACAGGATTGATCCGATGAACGTCTCATTTATTGATACGCAAAGGCATCATCTGCACATTGCTTCATTTCTGACTAGGTTTCTGTGCAATCGAAATCCTTGTGAAAATATCATGACAAAGGAAAAATTTGAAGCGAAACGGAAAAATCATCGAAATATGATCATAGATATAGTGATTCATGATCAACAACGGTTCTCTACAGTCATCTATGCGGGCAGGAACAGTCATCTTCTGTGCAAACGTCTCTTCATGTATCGTTGAACGGTTGAGTGCATGTAAGACTTGCCTCCATAGAAAGGTGAAGTGCATGAATCCTGACTGTAAGACTAGAAGAATTGAAAGCAAGTGATGACATGAGAACACATATCTAGACAGAAAAGTCGCTCAAGGTACAGCTGGATACAAATTTCTCACAAATCACAGTCATGCATTTGAGCGCAACGTGCAACCTACGGCAATTTGAATAAAGGGTCAATCAGAGTTGATTCTGTTCAATGGTGTATCGATTATCAATTCCTTACCTGATCATAAAAATTTCATCTTGTCTTCGAAGAATATTTGCAAGTACACCCGCGGATTGTTTGAACCTAGGGTGCATATTCCATTGCAGGATGGATGATTCAAACCTTGGCCCAACCTGTAGAGTTGAGAAAGAAGCTCGATCATCTCTTACAGGTATGATATGAGATCTTCATCTCATTTCTATCTCAGTTGGGTTGGATTCGAAGTCTCTCAATATCAAAGTTCATCCTGGTGAGTCAGGAAGGCACCATTTCATCGCTTCTTGCTCGTCCAGGGAGAGGGGGCTTGGGGAATGAGAAATGGGTGTTACCCCCACCCCCTATTGTAGAGTTTCAAACTCGTTCAAAGGTGGGTAGTTGAGGGTGCTCCATACCCACCCCACCACCCAAAATGACTCAAACGGAGGGGTTCTCGGATCCGAAGGAGTCCCGCCTCGATCACCCCCTCTCATTTGAATTCAAGATGGTTCAGGCCGACCCCACATACAGGCTTGCAGTTTTCTTATGTATGCCCATATGATTTGATCGGACAGGCCCCAGGTTCAAGGGATGAAGCAATTCACCAGCATGCTTGAAGATTTTTCATGGGAGTGGGGTTATACTTGTACCGGATGTGTACAATACATAGGGGAGAACCCCGAATGGTACCAAAAGAGTACCAAAGTCACATGGTTCGGACTGTACTAACTGGTACCAAGAAATTGTACTCAAGAAGACCCTACCCCTGAAAAAGTTCTGCTTGGCTCTTCGTGATTTGAATTCGGAACACGGTCGGAAGACCCACCCCGCCCCCACATGAGGCGTGGTATGCGTGGATTTGAATCTACCACCCTCACCGCGAAACGTTTTAGAGCTCCAAGGTCAATTGAGAAAGGCAACGCTATGACTCGAGCCTGAAGGCCGGCGCGGAGCCTGTGACTGCTTTCCTGATTGTCCTCGTACTGATTTTTAACTTAAGTTTGAGTAAAAGTCACGGCTCCCGACCGTACCAAGTTCAGTTAGGTGTAAATGGGGCTACGTGGCATGTCCCCGAGCCTAGTCGACCGGTCGCAATTCCGGTAGTAATGATGGAGCTCCGTAGGAGAAGTCCGAAGGGCCTTGGAGAACCCGAGAGGTTGTTGCAGTGACAAGGAGGGGTGGTCTAGCACGATGAAGGGGTCAGCCAATGGCAATGGCTCCAAAGAGTTTGTTTTCAAGATTCAACAACTCACTCACTCACACTCTAGAGTCGTACCTGCCGCTCCCTCAACTTTTACAGAAGTAACCCACCCCAGTAGCTTCACCCGCCCCCCTTCACTGGCTGCTCCTGCCTCTACTCCTCTACGCTCTCCGGGCTAAAGCCTCTTTCCTAATCGTAGATCTTATCTCTAGTCGACTTTGCTACACCTTAGTCAGACTGCAACAAGCACAACATTGTTGTTTATCTGCCGTTTCTCTCCCCAGGATCCAGAGATCCTTCTCAATCAGCACATCCATCCCTCGCCCGCCCTGCACACCTTCAGTTCCCATATGAGCTCCCTGACGCCCTTCCGACACCGACGGAATAAGAAAACGGCGGAGCTCACCCAGGACTTCCTTGAAAGTCTTTTTGTCCTCCGGCAGCAGGATGCTGCTCAGATGCTGGTGAGTCGCTCCGTCCTCTCCTTTCCCGACTGATTTAGAAACGCGAGCAGGGCTTTTCCATCACCACAATGAAGCACCTGTGCCGACGACTAGGCATCCGCAAGTGGCCGTACTCGCGCGGGCGACCAAGGGAGCTCGAAGCGGAGGGTACGAAGTCCGTGCTGATCAGCCCGCGTGAGACCCGTGTCATCCCCCAGCAACCGCAACAAACAGTTGGCGAAGACTGCGCGCTCGGGGATCAGGGCGAAGAGGAAGGATTCTTTCAGCAGGTCGAGCAGGAGGGCGAGCGGTATTGGATAAGCAGGACTAGCGATGACATGGAAGGTCTCTTTCGAGAGGCGCTTGACCACGTACAAGGCAAGAGTAAGGGGGACAGGCGGAGTTGAAGCGATGGTTGCTACTCACAAGGTCTACCCCTGTGACTTGTTGCAGGTGAATGTGCAGTAGAATACATTTTGATCAGAAATAATGAACAAGATTTTGAATGCTAAATACTTGCATCTACATCTCACTTTTAGCTTCTCTTTCAATGTAAGCTTGCTATGACTTCATCTACAACTGAATTCCACGTTGCCCTCAAACAAAATGTTCCGTGGCCTTGTCTGTGAGGCTGTATTTACCAAGGCCGTTCACAAGGCGAGCAGGAGACTGCAACTGGCGGTCTAATGGCAAGTAGAGCAGTTCTGTCGGTACTGACTTTCAGGCGCACGGGGCAACCTGACGATCACGAAGGAAGTGATCTGGACCTCGATCTGCTTCGCCCTGTAACCATTTGCGGCACAACAAGGCAGGGGAAACCTTCAGAGAAAGTGAAGCTGAAGGTGATTGCGAACTCTTCAGCATTCAACCTCTGATTCATAATCTCTTATCAAAATGCACTCGGCTGCATTCAATTCATCGCTGATTGCAGAGATGGAAACGTCGAGTCATGTCTGACTTGGGCTGACAAGTGAATCGGACGTTGTTGTGCAGGACGGAGATGTCTTGTCAACATGAGCGAGTACGTGACCTGTCGCTGAGGGTTCTACAATCAGCCGGCGGGCCGGGCGAGCCTCTGAGTCGGCGCGAGCGGCGAACTGACTTTGAGAGTCAGAAAAGCTTAGCCTTGTGCCAAGTTGAAACGGATCTGTTGGTATACCCTTTCTTCCTTCGCTTGTTCCGATTTGCCTTTTCCATCTCAAGAAAATAAAGATATCAATTTCGCAAACTACTCGTTACTCGGACTGATGACGCTGCACGGCAGTGTCAAGCCTTCAGGCCAGCCTGACCGAGGCTGGGCAAGGCTTCAAGTTGACTGCCTGACCTGGGCCGCAATTCTTCACGTTGCTGCCAAGTTGGCCTCGGTCTCTCCAGCTCTTCATTTTTGTCCCCACTGGAGTTTGCCTTCTTCAAGCGTCAGCTTCCATATCAGGAGGGCGGGGATGGTTTCACACCCCAAGCAGGGGTTAGTCTATCTGCTTATTACATCGCCCTCCGTCAAGCGGACGAGCCGGATCTGGCCCTTCCTCTCCTACTAGCTTCCTTCCTGCGGGTGCGTCAGGCCCTGCTTGATCGTGGAGTGCTGCAATATTATATCACCTCGGTGACCTAGACAGCGCACGTCTGAGCAACGAGATCCATCGCCTGCTCTCTTTCAACTCGCTGGTTCAGGCAGCTCTTCGCCGGGCCTGTCATGGCACTTACACAGTGGAGCTCTATCCCCCGAGTCAGCGAGTCAGTCTTCTAGCCCGTTCCCTTCGAACCCTCAGCGGCTCCTGCAAGACTCTCTGCCTCCCACCTGTGATCGCTGTGCTACTACTTTAGACCCATCGGCGCCATCGCGCATGAGCAGTGTACTGTGGTTCTTCGTGACGATGCCAGCGAAGTTCTTGGCAACATCTGCGCTGGCATCGTCACGAAGCTTCATCAGGAGGGTCTCCAACACCCGGACGCATGTCCACATGGGCGACCTCTGGCTCCCTGCCCTTTCCACCGCCACCTGGAATTCCGGTCCCACCCAAAAGAAGATTTCGGATCATCGCACAAGCTATGCCGCCCATCTCCCGCCGCAGGGAAGCCTTTCTTCGCTTCGCTGCAGGTAGATGGTCTGCTTCAGGTAGATGGTCTTCTTGAGGTAGGTGGTCTTCTTCAGGTAGATGGTCTTCTTGAGGTAGGTGGTCTTCTTGAGGTAGGTGGTCCTCTTCCGTTCCATGCATAGATGCCTTGTCCTTATCAAAGAGCGGGGTACTGTACATGTACCAGATGACAGGGGCCGGGAAGCATCCGATCAAGCTTGAACCTCATTATCAAATCTTGAAGGCCTTGCGAGTCAAGAACACGATTCTACCTGAACACCTTGAACGAAAGCGCTCCAGGAGACGAGCTCAAGACTTCAAGTTTCAGGTGCCAATACCAAAGGAGTTGGCAGAGTACAATCTCACGCAGGATGCGATGGTACTGTCGAAGAGAGTCACAATGGAAAGTTTAAATAGAGGGAACCAATGCAAGCCGCCGCCGAACATGCTTGCTGAATTGACCTAGTCTCAAGCTCTTCCTTGGATTAATCTGTTTTGCAAGGTTGTCAATGCAAGGAACTTCCTCCTTCACCTAGCGATCAAGGAGAGCTGTCGTTTGCGAACGACGGCTGTTGAGCATGAGGTATGAGCATGAGGCATGGGCATGAGGTTTGAGCATGAGGTATGCAAGAAAATCTCATGTGGGAACTGAAGGTGTGTAGGGCGGCCGAGGGATGGTTGTGCTGATTTAGAAGGATCTCTTGCTCCTGGGGAGGGAGGAAGGAGAGATGAAGGACATGATCCGGGGTTGTTCCCTACCGCCGCTCGCGTGGTTAGAGTGGAGGTTTTCAATGCCTCTTCCAGCTGACGACAATGCTTTCTCGCCCGTTTCTTCCCGTCTTCCTCCTCTCACTTGATCTCTTGGACAGGTATATCTCATCGTTTTCGGAATGCTATCCTAGGCAGGAGGGAAAGCCTGACTGCCGAAAGATGGATCCTCCTGCCAGCATCCCGTCGTTGACCAACGCCTTGGAAAGCTTAATCTTGAGCAGATGTGTGAGTCTAGGCTGCACTCGACGAGTGTTGCTTAGAGTCGATGCCGGCATCAGACTTATCGCTCAAAGCGACATTTTGTTTGAATGTAGAATACGTGAGAAGGTTCGACGCTGTAGCGAAAGACGCGGGTAACGCGGTTATACAAACTTTCCCGGGAAAAAAGGAGGTTGCGCCTACGATCAGTCAAGTAGGTGCTGCAGCGTTCAACAGCACAAGACCAAGCACTAACGAAACCTTCCTTTATCAAACCATATCAAAGTATCAAGCTAACATGTGGGTGATCGTGGAAGGGGAAACAGATCTTGCGACGATTTTAGGGTGTGGTTGACAAACCAGCTGAGGATGTCAGGGTGTTTGAAAAAGGCGCCTCATACCAAAACTTTCCGATCAAGGAGAGCGAATACATGTTTTTTGACATCATGGAGCAACCGTACAAAATCTTTGACAAGCTGTTCCAGATCAATCGGTTGTACAATGTGTTGTAGAAATGACATGATTGGCGAGGACACAAAGATTGTGGCGATGGGTTTGTTGATGAATGGAAAGAGAAACGACTTTGAGATGATCAGTCGATGAGTAGGCAAAGTTCTTTGATCTTGTCGCTTATCGGCGTCTTTTTGTCGCCGATGGTCGACACTATAACCACACCGCAAGTCTCAATGTACACTCCTTACAGGATTAGTTTTTGATTCTTTGCACAAGCTGAGAACGATGCTGACGCAAGGTTCAACAGTATTGACGCGCAGATCCTTGGCTTGACGGATGCTGATTTGACTGTCCAGATGCATAGCGTGCTGAACTTTCTCAGCCCATTGCTGAAGAAGTCAAATCAAGTCTGACATAGAACGTTGCCTATCTCGGCCTCTTTGCCCGACGGTCAAAACCTGATGCGCCTTTGTCGAAAGTGGCTGGTTGGAGTCTGTTTTGAGCTTCTCACCTTTGAATAAAGTACCGAACTCATTGAAGCTGAATGAAAGACCGGGCTCGCAAGTCTGCTCACTGAAATACTCCGAGTGATGCCTTAGTTTTCCTTTCCAGGCGTCAGCTTGTCCTGTTGCTGCTCCGAGGCTGCCGCTCCTCATCCACTTTCAAGTTTTTGTTTCGGATCAAAGCAGATCAGAACATTCAAACGCTGAACACTGTCTTGTGATACTCAGCATGACGTTCAGTCTCAGCAGCCTATGCTCATAGTGTTACAGCTGATATACGTTGCAATCAATACCCATCAAAAGGTGTTTCAGCTACCAGCTATGGTGAAGAGCCGGAACTGGTCCTCCCTCCTCCCTGCCCTACCGGCATCTGTTCTGCGGGTGCATCAGGCCCTGGTTGATCGTGGAGTGCCGCAACGTATGTACCTCAGTGACATGGATGACGAACGTCTGAACAATTCGATCCCATCACCTGCTCTCTTTCAACTCGCGGGCAGACCTCCTTTTCCTCCCCCCAGCCTTCAGTCACAGGGCGGTTGATGCAGACTTCAAGTCCCCACCCCCACCTTGCTCCTCAGCACCGAGTTCGGCACACCCGGACCCACGTCCCTGAGCATGGCCCCACCAACAGACACATGGGCGACCTCTGGCTCCCTGGCCTCTCCACCCACACCTGGGATGGGCTGGTTCTGAACTTCACGATGAATCATCCTTACAACAGCAGCGGCAGCCCCGTCGGCCTTTCTGCGCTCTCCGGCCCCGCCCAACAGAAGATTTCGGATCATCGGGCAAGTTATGGCACCCATCACCCCCGCAAGCCTTTCTTCCCTTCACTGCAAGTACGGAGGTGTATGGGGACCCTGCTTGTCATCGTCTGCGTGCTCGTCCGTCTCGGCAGCATCGAGATCGTATGGGTCTTCTTTGTCCTGATCTTCGTGTTTGACTTTTTTTTAAATCCGGTCTGAGAACTGAGTTGCTCTAAATGCGGGGGCGCCGCCATGCAGCTGGGGCGGCAGCAGCAGCTGGGATGCTGCTGGTTCTCATCTGCGACTTTGGGCTAGAGGGGACAAGAGAGGAGGAAAAGGAGAGCAGCGACGAGTTACAGGGAAGTTTTCAGCAGGGACAGGAATCGCGAGCAGGAGGTCGTCTGATGGGTGCCTGGAAGACCGATGACTTGAACGCTTTCGCAGCTGAGAACTCTGCCGTTGAACGATTTCCTTCGATCGTTGTAGTACCCCCTGGTATGATGCATCTCCAGGACACTGGCATGAAACCTACGAGCACTGTTCAGCCGAGTCCTCGTCCAAATGCTAGTCATCACCCTTTCTCATGGCAACGGGTCAACTCCCACCATGCTACTCAGGTGGAGAAATCTCTTCGAAGGATGGATGGAAGCGAAGACATAACTGAAGATCATTGCTATTATGATCAACCTGAAATGCTCGTCCAAGAGCTCCGTCACTCGATTTGCGATCTGCATTCAAACATGGGAGAGCAGGCATGTGCTCAGTTGTGGTCGCAAGTTCGTCAGCTGCAAGGTGATAGCGTGGGTTACGTTCTACAGCAAGAAAGGGATTGGAATCCCAAGTTTAGAAGCTCCTTCTCTCAATTCCTTTACAAGATCTCTGCTCCTACCCCTTCGATGGGCTCAGGAGATCAGTTGGGGTATGTGACTTCAGGGTTCACGTTGAAAGGACCTCTTGCCACGTGGTTTCCTCGAGGAGATCAGGCAGGTGCTGCCGTTGCGAGCTGCCAGCCTGTTGATCTCTCATGGAACTTGGATTACCTGAGTCTCAACTGGCTGCAGGGTAACAGGATCCCCTTCGCTGTCAAGGATTGTGCAGGAAAGGAGGTCAGCAGGTTTTCAGTCGATTGTCGTTCTCACCCCTTCCAAGGAACTGGTAAGGGCAGGAGTTCGTCTAAACTCAACCTGGAGATGCTCAATGCCAAGGCAATGCATGTAGAGGAAGAGGCGATCCGAGGTCCCGGCAGTGGCGTCTTGGGATGGCAATTCTACATCACTGGGGAGGATGGGGAGGCGGTTGGTTCAATGATAAGAATCAACTCAGCAAATAAGGCGTGGATACTGCAGGCCAATCGTGCGGGCCAAGTGGATTTGAGACTCCTCGTCATGGTAGCGTCTATCCTGGACTTCACGTTCTACAAGAAAGTTGCTGGATTCTTTGTTGGTTTTTTGGTGTCTGTACTGGCAGTTGCCACCTTTGTGCCGCTCTGGCTCTGTCTGTGCTACAGGGGAAAGAGGGGACAACGTGGATCTCTGGTGACTAAAAAAGGTCACGATGATGACAAGGAAGGCGGTATCAGACCAATTGTAGAAGTACCCAATGACCCGAAACAAGAGCATCGTACCGAGGAGAAAAGCCAAGAGCAAGAACAAGAAAACCTACTCCAAGAGGAGAATGATCTAAAGGCAGAGGAGGAAGATCTTAAGGTCAGCTCCGTACCGTCTTCCTTTCCCTCTCTCATGCATGCTTCATCCTTGCAGGAAAATGCTGATCCATCAAGTGTCGGCGTTGAGCTAGAAGAAGCGATTGCAGCCATCGACAGGGCCATAGACAGGAACAGCGCAACGCGCAACTCGAGGCGATGACACCGTGTCGCTCTTTGCTCCAACTGTCTTCGGGGAGGATCGTGTACATAGATAGGAAAAGTTGAAATTGAATGAATGTGATGTAGCAACTAACTAAAAGTTGTAAAATATTTCTAACTTGGGGAGAGGGATGCCGCGGCTGACCAGCCCCTCTCTCATCTTGAAGAAGTTCTCTTGGCACTTGGTCAAGAACTCTGGGAGCTGCAGCAGGGTCAGGGAAGGAAAGGATGAAGGGCGGTCAATGAAACCTTGATAACCATCGAAGCTCTCTTCTGCCGCAGCTCCTCCAGGCGAGACCGCAGCTCGGAGATCTTATGCTCTAGATCGTCCTTCTCCTGCTTCATGGCTGAGAATTCCTTGTTGAGTCTCTTGTTCTCGGCGTTCAACTCATGGTAGTGCTTGAGCTGTCAATGTAGTCAAGGGCCAAGGCTGAGCAATCTCTTGTCATCTCCACATCTTACCGAAGCTACCATGACGTGGTTCTCCTTCCTGAGGTCTTTGATCCATTCCTCGATAGTCTTCAGCTCGGAGTCTCTCTTGCGCAGATCGTCCTGGATGCTGGAATTTGTCCTGTTCGCAAAGTCCCAGAACCTTGCTCGCTTTTCCTCGCACTCGGAGATCTTTGGTCGAATCCATTCAAACTTGCGCAGCGACTGGTTCGTGCAATCCTCATACGTGAAGCAAGGCATCAACCCGGGGATCTCTACATCAAGACTGCAAGGCAGGGAGGAGTCAGCTCCACATCGCCCTCATTCACAGGTCCCTCACCCGCTGGACATGCTAGACAGCCGGTATCTGTCCTCGCATGTCGAGTTGTGCTCGTATTTCCAGTGCGAGCAGCCGCAGCCTCCATCGAAGTCTGTCTCTGCCTTGGCCCCCATCTTGTCTTGGCACTCTATGTTGGTCTCGTTGAGCCTCAGGAGGGTTGCTTTCGCCTCGAACGGCGAGAGCGAGATCTGTCAGTGCGGGTGAAAAGCTCTCGGAGCCGTCGAGAAAGGAAAGACGAGATCGAGGGAGAGTTGAGTCAGAACGGGGAAGGCGGGAAAAAAGAGCAAGAGAGGGATAGGGAGGGGTAGGAGGGAGGGAGGAAGGGACAGGAGGAAGAAATGAAGGAAGAAAGGAGGAGGGAGAGGAGGGAGAGGAGGGTTGGTGTTGACGTTTCCTTACATCAAGAACCTTGAGATGAGCTTTGATCTGTTTCAGGTCTAAATGCGGCCGCTCCTTCTGCTCTTGCTGTGCAGACACCATGTTTGATAGTGTGGAAGTAGTTAACAGCACCCATATGATGAGAGTGGTTCGCATGAAAACGTTACTCGGCATTTTCTCTGACTGGATCACAACAGATCGATGAACAAGCTCTTACTAGGCAAAAATGGATTCCATCTGAAGTTCAAGCAAGAGGTCAGTTCGATGCAAAGAGGCTAACGTCGTCACTGATACAATATCAACCTGATCTCATGGATAGCCTCGCCCACCTAGGTTCTAACCCGCCTCTGCCATGCCTGCTTCGACAACGCGATGAGCTCTTGATCTGTACCTGCTTCTACATCTGTTCTCTATCCTATCCTTCGAGAATGCACTCGCATGCTTTCTTCCCTCCTCTCTCCTCTCCCTCGCCTCCTCCATGATTGTTTTTCCTCATCCCGGGACATAGCCACGTACCCCCTTTGCAACACACCCCGTGAATCACAACATAAACCACCCCCTCTTTGACCCCCTAGTGCACACACCCCCTGTGTCCAAGGGAAAATAACCCCTTCTTCTGTAAGTCATAAAAACTTTATAGGATATTGCTCAACACCTATGACTTTCGCCAATAGACTATAAACATCAGCCTGATAGTCGGGGGCCATGGCGAGGAGACGGAGCGCGCGGCGATGGTGGAAGCAGGAGGGGATGAGCAGGAGGGAGAAGAAGAAGCAAGAAGATGCGACCTTGGCTGATGGTGCGGCAGAGGCGCCAGCGAGACAGGAGAGGGAGTCGACAGTGTTCGAGGAGTATTACAGCATGCAGCAGCTGCTTGGGGAGGACCAGAAGTCCTGGGCTGCCTTCCTCCGTTGCCTGTGCACTCCGCTGCCCGTCACGTTCAGAATCAACAGGAACCTGCACAGCGAGGAACTTGTCTCGAAGTGCCTGGAGGAGGCGGCTCTCATCCTTCATCCCTCTCCCGAAGATCTGCAGCAGGAGCCGGGGGTAACCTTGGCTCACCCAAAGAGATTGGAATGGTGTGACGGGTATCAGCTGGGTGTGAGCAGGACCTCTCTGAAGCATGGACAGAGTGCGTACGTCCAGAGCCTGAGGACCTGGTTGATGAGGTGGGGAACTCTCCCGACGCGCGCAGGGACCATTACAAGTGCAGGGGTCATCACACGCCAAGAAGTTTCCAGCATGGTGCCCGCCGCTCTGCTGGGCATTGAAAGCCATCACATTGTTCTTGACCTCTGCGCTGCTCCTGGCTCGAAGACCCTCCAGGCTCTTGATGGCTTGTACAGCACTGTTGGGCAAGGAGAGGAGCCCTTGGGTGGGATAGTCGCCAACGATATCGACGAGAGGAGGGCGTACGGGTTGGCTGCAAGGGCAAGGCCTGTGGGATCTTTCGCCAAGAACTTGATGATAGTGTGTCATAAAGCGCAGAAGATCCCAAACATTCATGCGGAAGGAGACGAGAGCGCGGGGAGCTTCGACCGCATCCTTTGCGACGTCCCTTGCAGCGGGGATGGGACTTTAAGGAAGGATACCAAGGTTTGGAAGCTCTGGGACCCTCTCTTTGGTATCAAGATCCACAGGCTGCAGGTCCAGATTGCGATGAGAGGGCTGGCGCTGCTCAAGGTGGGGGGGCTCATGGCGTACTCGACCTGCTCGTTCAACCCGATCGAAGACGAGGCAGTCGTTGCTGACCTGCTGAGAAGGTAATGCAGTGCTGTCCCGTGAGTCGACGACTGTCTTGCGGTCCATGGCGAGTAGATTTTCTGAGCTGTCTTGCGATGTTTTGCTCTTGCTCGATCTCTGTCTGGATGCTCCCTGACACCTGCGTCCGTTGGAATCTCAGGTGCAAGGGGAGCGTCGAGCTGGTACGCTCCGACGACCTACTTCCTGATTTGAAGCGAGGCAGAGGCTTCTCCTCCTGGAAGGTGATAGACGATGACCTGGAGGAGCACAAGACGTATGAGGAGCTGGAGTCGAAGCCTCATGCCAGCCGGAAGAAACATCTCTTCTGCAGGTCCATGTGGCCCCCGGGAAAGGGCGAGAAGTTTCCGCTGGGTGAGAACGTTGTTGGATTGTTCTGGGAGCAAACCGTAGACAAGTTGCTGACCAATTTGTGCTAGACCGCTGCATTCGCATCTATCCTCACCTGCAGGACACTGGAGGGTTCTTCGTCGCGCTATTGCGGAAAGTCGCCCCTCTCCCTCAACAAACAGAGAAGATTCCCAGGGAGCCTGCGGGGCCAAGGACGGAAGAGGCAAGATACCAGCACTTGCGCTATCAGCCCGTCTCAAAGAGCTGCTTGAGCAAGTTTGGCAAGGACCTGATGTTGAGCAAGGAGGACACCAAGGCCCTGGCCAAGAACCTCTACTGCCGCTCCTCGCAGGCGACATCCGTCAGTTGGATCACGCACGGGATGAAGAAGCTGTTTGTTGACTCGCAAGACTCGAAGGCGCTGAAGACGGTCTGGGGAGGGGTGAAAGTGTGCGACTGGGACAGGAGGGGCGGATTCTACTTCCTGCGGCAGGAGGGTTTGCCGTTGCTGAGAAGATTTTTGAGCAAGGAGAGGGAGATCGAAGTCGAGGAGTCGGACATGCGGCTGATTCTCGACCGCTGCCATGAGCCGACTGGCGAGTCCGACCTTTCCAAGAAGGCAAGGCGGAGGTTGAAGGACATGGAGCCCGGGCAGTGTGTGGTAAGCACAAGGGTCAAGGACGAGGGGAGCAGCAGGAGAGACGAACGGGAAGTCTGTATCGTGGCACACGTGGAGCAGTTAGGGGAGGGTCCCATGTTGTGCCTTCGCATGAGAACGTCTCCTCTGGAAGCTCAACTCATCGCTCAAACGCGCCTCTGTCGAACTGCTGCATCCGCTGCCTCCTCCTCCAGCCACAGACCTGTATTCCCCTCCTCCTCCTACGAGGTGACGTGCCGCGGGCTGCCCTTCTCCTCCACGGAGGACGACATCGTGACCTTTTTCGGGGAGTGTAAGAACCTGGAAGCGGGAGACGTCTCCATCCTCCTGGACGCCAGGCAGAGACCGAGGTTGAACCTTTCCTCAAGTACCGACCAAGTCCCGCTGATCATTTTGGCAGCGGGGAGGCGACGGTGAAGTTGAGGAGCGTCGAGGACTTGCATGCTGCGCTCTCGTGCAATCGAAACATGATGGGCGAGAGATACGTGCGGGCATCCTGCTCCAATGAGAGTCAGAGTGAGCTCACTGTTGTGATGCAGGTTGAGGTGTTCGAGCACCGGAAAAGAAGAGCTGAGGAGGAGGAAGCGGTCGAGGAATCCATCAAGAAACGTGAGTTTGTCCTCCTCTCCCCTCCGCTCCCTTTCTTCGTATCGCTGAGTTGTGTTTCAATTCTCACACTGGCCCTCCTACAGCTAAGACTCTCCCACCTCCTCCCACTCCTCCTGCTCGTACCAATACCGCCGCCGCGCCCGCGGGAGATGTGCGAGCGAGTCTGTTGAAAGGAGTGAAGCTCAGGTCTTTGTGATACTGAGAGTGGCTTCATCATAGTAAACGATTCGGTACCTGTCGCTGAGACGGTCTTCTCTTCTCAACTCAGTTCTACTGTTCTCAACTCAGTGAACGGTTCTACTGTTCTCAACTCAGTTCTTTCTCAACTCAGTTCTCAGTTCTACTTCTCTTCTCAACTCAGTTCTACTGTTCTCAACAAAGTTCTACTCTTCGAGTTTCAACTTTTACTCTCCTCACTTCTATTTAGAGTATTCTTGTCATTCTTTGACTTGACGTCCGATGACTAATTCGAAGTCGGGTTGTCCCGCTACACCTCGATTCCAACGCCTGAGGCCAGCCCACGATGTTGGTGTGAGGGACTGAATAATTCGAACTTGGACCGGTCAATTTGAGGCATATCAAGGGGTAGTCAGCAATGAGTTTTCAACTGTAGCCCAGAACTTTCAAATTAGACATTTAATTTTCAAAGTTGGGGAATATGACAGATAGAGTTTAGTCATCTAAGATCGTGGGGTGGTGGAATGGTGGATCAGGTAGGGGTCGTGATTTGACCAACAATTTGAAGTTTGAATCATTTGGAGGGGGGTAGGGGTGATTGAAATACCCATATGAATCGTATGGAATTGCTGGTTCAAATGTGGGTACGGGTGATCGAAGGACGGTTATCTTTGAGAGCACGCAAAAAAGAATGAGGGGTAGGGTACCACATGACGGGGTTGTATGAGAAGAAATGGGGTAGTGCAATGAAATGGGGGGTACTGTGAGCTCCCCTGGTAAATCAAAGACATGGCAAGGACGAGGGAGGACTATGAAAATGTTGCGAGGAACGAGTCGCAGCAAGAGAGTAGCCACCAGGACGAAACACAGGATTGAAGAGCAGAATGGGAGCAGCACATGTATATCTTGAGGCATTGAGGGTGAGGAGAGTGAAAAGAAGAAGAGAATTGGGTCGAACTAGACAAAATAGGGCAAATAAGAGCAGGAGCAGCCAGAAGGGGGAAGACGTTTCAACCTTCAAAAATTTAGGTGGAAAGGAGCGAAATAAAGGCGATATCAATACGATGGATGGTTCTTTTTATTTGTGTGATCTCTGTTTCCCGCGCAAAGCAAAATAGGACAAGGCAGGATGGTTTTTGACAAATTGAGCATACCTGTCATGGCTATTGATCAGCACAATGTAGATGAGGCATGAGCATATTGTATATTTTTTTCTTGTGTTGGATTACAGGGCTGAATGTATCTGACCATGTTTGTTTTCAAGAGGAAGGCCTTGCGATCTTGGGTCCAGCGATCATGCGCTTGAATTAGAAAGTGCAACTGTACCACTTGAACAGCTGAGCAAGGGTTGGTCTGCTTGCTTTTCTTTTGTATGATGACTTTTTTGTATAGGCGCCAGGAAAGATTTCGCAATGCCGCCAAGAACTGGGGGAAGACACTATGACATCGCTGGTCTAATCAAGAAACTTGAAGAGATACATAAGGAACTTGGAGATGAAAAAGGTTGCTGGCTGAACATTTCTATATTTGCTATGCTGAATGCCAGCTGTAGATGAAAAAGAAAAAAATGAAGACGATACTGATGAGTTCACACGGCTCAAGAAAATGTCAGCAAAGCAGATGACGGAAATTCGAAGAATGATCACGGAAAGAGATGAGCTGCTTTCTTCATCTGGAGGAGGAGGGAAAGCCGCTGTTCAGATGTCCTCCAGAATCAGAGAACTGATCCGAAATGCGCATGATCTCCATGGAAAGATGCAAGAGAAGCTCTCCAAGGAAGAGAAGGAGGTCGCGAAGGGCAAGGTGAGCGCATGCGGTTTTCAATGAGAAAACTGATCACAATAATGAGCAGAAGAATGGCAAACTGACACCTGAGGATTTGGAAATCCATCAACAGATGGCAGAGCTTGTATCTAAGCACATAGCAGAGTGTGAAAGCTTGGAAAAGAAAAGATATCAGGGCAGAGCGGGAGGAAGGAACGGGACGAAAGGTGCTGGAGTGAACGGAGAGATAAAACGCACGGCCATGGATACAGACTTGGCACCTATTGATTTGGATCCTGATGTATATGATGATGTGGCAAGATTTGAGCGACTATCTCACTTGTGCGCTAGGTGAATGAGGGACTGATCCAGTTGAGGAGGAACGACGAGAAGCTCGATGAGCAGCTGGACATGATCTCCAAGGTTGGAATGCTACATGTGCAGTTTGATCTCTAAGCGATCTGGATTTCAGGGTATGGTACGTCTGAAAGGCATCGCTGTTGACCAGAGCAACGAAGTAAAGTTGCAAAGTGTTATGATTGATCAGATTTCAGACAATATGGACAAGGCCACTGAGCATTTGAATGATGTAAAGACTAATCTCTCCTTCGAAACATTCTGTAACAACAACGCAGGTTAACATGAAGCTCAAGGATACGCTTGCACGCGCTGGAGGTGCAACCAACATCCTTGTCAAGGTCATCCTGCTCATCCTCCTCTTGTCCATTGGGGCCTACATGTATAAGGCCTTCGGATGATTTCGATCCTCGTTTTGCTGCAGCTTGACCAATAGTCCAGTACAATGTATTCTACAGGCTAAAGTTTTGAAACCTCCTCTTTCGGTCTTTTGCTATTCCATGATTGTATTGAGGGAAATGAATAATATGAAACAGAAAGACTTGCTTTCATAACACAATTTCTAATCTAAGGTTTTTCCATTTTCAGACTCCCGGGCTATCATGACAAGCTTCTTCGTCGGAATGATCATTGTGCACACCATTGTCGTCGCTCCTCTGAGTCGCTATTAGTGCCTCCATCACACCAGCTCCGAAGCGTATGCAAGGTTCCGCAAAGAAATACTTGAACATTGCAGATAGAAATCCTCCAAACAATAACAAAAGCAGAGAGTGGGGGAGCATGCTCGAGTGATAAAGCTTCGTCATCTCCTCCCTAACCTCGTTAGTGATTGTCATCTCTGAGCTTCTTAATCCTTCAGCGCTCACGAGTCGAAGCATCACTCTGTTCAGCCATGGCCCAGCCACCAGCAATGGCGACAGTACCAGCGCCCGGGCCAAGTTCGTGACTAAAAGGCTCTGCTCGACAGCCGCTACGTCCGACCATTTCACTTTCTTGCCTGTCTTCTTGCTGTTCCTCGAGCGACCTGCCACTGTAGCTCCATAATGTCGTTGAAGTATCCGCAAGGCTTCGGCGCTTGCGATCTGTATCGAGGCACCCCCTCCGGACTGCTCAGTGTGTGACGATTCCGATCTTGCGCCACTTCTCATCTTCGAGCCCCAAAACAATGTTTGGCTGTCAAATTATATTCTAGGAGCCCATCTATGTGTGCGCTTGATCACTGTCCGAAGAAACCTTAAGCTTGAACGAAGCTAGAGAGAATTACTGAGCGTATGCGAAGTGCGCGATGAGGCTCACAGAGAGGAGAGGGAGGAGGAGGTAGAGCCAGCAGGCCTAGAGGAAAGGATGAGGATGAAGTGAGAGGGGCGTCAAGGAGAAGGATGGAGAGACGAGCAGACCTAGGAGCACATGGTCCGAGAGAGTTGGCTGCTAAATCCGGCTGACGGTTAAAATCTCCCTCGACTGGCTGTAACGCCTGCAATGCGTTGCCGCCGGGGCGGGCCATCGGACTCGATGAGTCTGCCCGGCGCCTAAGTCCGATCATGATCATCACTACCGTGACCGTGACGGTGAGTTCGATCATGAATACTCTGACTCCGACTCGGAGCAGTTGGGCATAGGTTGACTCTTTCTCTTACTCGTATAGTATGGGCCTAGGCTGCGCCCCCCCCCCCCCCGCCATCATAATGCCGCAATGCGGCGGCAGTGATGAGTGTCCCTCAGCTGAGCCCCGACGGTCTGTGCACAGTGCAGTGCGAGGATTTGATTTACTATTGAAAGGCTGAAACTAATTACAATCAGGTGCCATACAGTCAGACGGCACTGACACTGCCATTCGACAACTGCCCGTCCGTTGTTGCCGGCAGGCGCCGGACGCTCATTGGGATCCGAAGAAGCCGCTGCCAGCCTCGGGTCTTGGGCCAGTCGCCACGAGGTAGAAGAGCAGCCCTGACATGAGGCCCGCGCAAGGCAGCTACACAATGAAAACCCGTGAGAAGCCCCGAGAAGCAGTCAGGGAGTAGATGTCACCGTCAGGATCCAGCCAAAGAGGATGATTGCCACCATCCTCCAGTTCACTGATCGCCAGTCGCCGCTGTAACGACCGGAAGCTCAGCGGATGTGTGGGACTGGCATGCGGACGAACCTGCAGAGGCCAACGGCTGCGGTGGCTCCGCACTTGCAGTGAGTTGTAGAAATGGGCGCACCGAGCTTTGAGAAGGTGAGGACCTGGAAGAAAGTCACAGACGTGAGCGAAGGCTCTTGGGAAGAAATGATGAGGATAGGAGATCTGTAGGGGAGATGGAAGGGAAAAGCGGGATAGATGCGGAAAGGAGGGAGGAAGGGGAGGAAGAGAGACGGGGGTAGGGAGGGGGGATGAGGGGGAAACAGGTAGAGGGAACTAGGAGAGGAAAGGCGGAGAAGAGTCAGAGTCTCCTTACAGTGAACATCGCTCCTAAATCCATGCTGAGACCTCGCGAGGGTGAGTGATAGGTAAGTTTGTTGCCCTGACGGCAAGGGTCAAGGATGCTCGGCAGGCAGCCGCCTTGTCTCACCAGCGCCCTCATGATGTGATGGCCGTAAGTCAGCAGGCCGATGTCAAGAGCAACGGCACCTGGCTCGGTCGGTCAGTGGGGCAGCTGAGGAGGGAGAGATGTTGCTCGGCTCACCGTAGACGAGGATCCATACAGGGACGGGGGCCTTGACGATGTATCGTGAGGTGACGTCGATAGTGTGGGAGAGGAGGAGGTGAACGTGAGGGATTAAGGAGGAGGAGACGAGGGAAGGGGAGAAGGTAGACAGGATGGAGAGGACAGAGAGGCGAAAGGCGAACAAGAGTAAGAGGGCTGGGATGCAGTGGAATGGAGCAAGTAGAGGAGAGCTAGGAGTTGAGCGTGACGGGACCTTGGAAGTGGCTCGTCCTGTCGAGTAAACCATCCAAACCTAAGGCATGTCACCAGCACAAGGGAGCAGGGAGACTTTCACCGTAGCGAGAGGGCCGATGGAGTTCGCAATGTCATTGGCACCATGTGCAAGAGAGGCGAACGAACATGTTCCCACCTGACGAGGTTGACGGTGAGGGAGGGAGGGAGTGAGGGAGGGAGGAGAGCGGGAACAAGGAAGAAAGCGGAGGGTTGCAAAGGGGAGGACCTGCAAGACTTTGTACAGCTGCGTAAAAGAAACGTTACATGAGAACGCGAGGGGCAGGGTTGAGCAAACCTTCTCAGTGTTGGAGTCATGCTTCTCAACGCTCTGGTCGATAGTCTCGTCCACCTCTTGCTCTGACACGTCAACGACGAACTGAAAGTGAAAGTCAGGCAAGGCAGCTCCATAGACGGCTATGGAACTGCACCTTGTCGGCTATTGTCAGAGCCCATCTCCTGCTCTTGTCTCCTCCTTGCTCAGCCTCTACCCCCTCATCGCTCACTTGCTCCTTCATCTCGCTCTCAGTGTCCTGCACGCAACTAAATCGACGCAGACAGTCAACGAGATGGGAAATACCTTGGATCCGTTCACAGCAGCTTGTTCGCCCGACTCATGCACTATCATGCTGCCGTTCTGCCCCACTAGTCTCGTGAATTCTGAACTTCTTACTTGTTCTTTGCGCGGGAAGGAGACAGTCAGAGGTTGGAGCATACAGCAGCTCTCACCTTCCATCTCAGCATCCTCGTTCTCCGGAGGCATGTCGAACATCCTGTACCAGGGGATGTCTTCATTCTTTTCAATGACTCTCCTGCACCTGCCAGAGAACTTGCTTCACACCAGCACAACTCCCGCTCCTCATCTTTGGTAACCATGGCACAAGGTAGCGGATGGAGAAGACAAATCCAGCAGCGGCGATGGCGATGATGATGGTGATGGACGCCTGCAGCTGTCGTCAACTATCCTCCCAACGTGGAGCAGAAAGGTCCCACAGGTAACGGGAGTTTGTCCAAGGAGAGCGCCGGACTAGGGCGAGGGAGTCAGAGGAAGAGGCGCGCTTCACTGAGAGCGCATTCACAACCTCCCTTTGAGGAGCATGAATGCAGCGATGACGCCCCAACAGAGGGCCGTGAAGACTGGGAGGGTCTGCAGCCTGTGGCAGGGACAAGGAACGTGAGTAAGCGAGGAGAACTTTCCCTGGGGAAGGATAGAGGGGTGATGGAGGTGGCAGAGGGGCGTGTGTTGGAACACTCAAGGAAGAGAGTTGGTTCCTTGGCAGTGAGGAGGATGCGAGCACAGCTTTCGGCGTCGTACCCTTTCTGGAAGGAGAGCTCTCCTTCGTGCTTCAAGACCAAGTACTTGAGGGTCGAGTAGAAGGTTGAGGCTACAACTCCTGACGCCAAACATCATTCAGGGGAGGATTCCACATGAGGGAAGAGAGAGGAGAGAGGAGAGAGGAGAGAGGAGAGAGAAGAGAGAGGGGAGAGGAGCGAGGAGCGAGGAGAGTGGAGGGAAGAGAGAGGAGGGAAGAGAGAGAAGTTTGGAGGTTGGAGTCACTTTACCAGCACAGAATGGCGAGATGAACCAGGAAGCAACGATACTAGCGACGCCTCCCTGCTGGTAGTCCCAGATGACTCCCGGGAGCCCGAACGCCGCCATGCCGACCCCAACTGCGGTCAACTGCAGTCACTCTGGCGAGAGGCAGCGGAGAGACAAGCCCCCACTGATTGCTCCGATGGTCGCGTGAGTGGACGAGACGGGCATCTGAAAGTTCTCCTCTATCAGCTTCGCCCACAGACAAGGAAAGGATCGCCTGTAGTGATGTGGCTACCAACACCCAGATCGCTGAACCTAGAGACGAGCAGCCCATTCCCATCATCAGGACGTATGGTTCGCCGTAGAATCGTGACACGTCTACAATCTTCTTCCTCACTGTGTCCGTGACGCTGTGCAAGGTTGTCATCTGGGGGAGGAGAGGAGAAATGTCGACGGCAGCAACCTTGATCCCAAAACAATTGCACCAAACGCTTCTGCGAACAAGGCTATAACAAGACGGTCAGAATAAAATTTGTGAGAACTACAACATCAACCGATCGCCACAGCCTGTTTGTGTGTGATGGTTCTTGATGCAACAGCGGTAGAAAACGAGTTGGCAACGTCATTTGCACCAATTCCTGCATGGTCATCAGCCCGTACAAACAGGTAGAGCAAGACCGACCGTAAGCATCTATGAAGGCCCAGAAGAAGGAGAAGATTGCCCATGCAGGATGAAGCCAAGGGACTCCAACCTACACTTGCCTTCAGCCCTCAATCTCTCCGAACAGCATCCCTAACCTCGGATTGCATGACGAGAGACAACGGAGAGAAGCAGGGCCAAGTTGGCAAGAAAGTCTAGGCTTTGAGCCTCGCCAAGTCACGAGAGAGGCAGATTCCTCAACGACAAGCTCCTCCTAGCGGCTCCTACTTTGCGTCCTCCTGCGCTGCTCGCCCTTGCTCCGCTACGTTCATCCCCCAAACCATTCCTAACAGATTCTGAATTGAGGGGTAGGGGTAGATGCAATGTGCAGGTGGTGGTGTTGAGAGTACCCCATAATTCAACATTTTTAATCCTTACTCAGTCTGGTGGGTAGGTACAATAGAAGGGTAGGGGTAATCAGAATACCGGGTCCTCTTGATAAAGTGGAGGTCAAAACAAAGGGATGTAGTGATTATTCTGACTTAATCGAAGTAACTAAAATCTCAAGGTTCAATTGTTATACTCGCATATTTTAGTTACTCAGGAATTCAAACTCGGTTCTTGGTAGTAATCTGTACTGGAAGCGACTTAAGTAAACACAGGGAATGGCAGACTCGCGGGCAAGTGCGGGAAGGGGAGGTGGGAAGGGAGAGGAGGAGAGGGGAAGGCGCAGATGTGGTGAGGTGTAACGATGTGATTGGGAGCAAACATCGTGTTCAGATGCCTGGGGAGCACAGGGATGTAAGAGACCTACACTTCGCGGAGACTTTGGTCCGCGATTTGTTGTTCAGTGCTCGCAAGGGGGTGGCTGGAAATCTTGGTCCCAGCCTCAGTCTTACACACCCTCTTGCTGTTGTCGGCAACAATGGTGAGTTCCTAGGCAATGCCTCACTGAGAGTGTCGGAGGAAAGAAGGCAGCATGTCATTGACCTCGCGCCCAAATTTCGAAATGCGCTCGGGACACCTGAACTGTCGAATGCCACATGTGGTTTGGTGAAGAAGAATGGTTTGGTAGTTGCAGCAGAGAGGCAGGGCGACCGGATAAAAGTCATGAAGATCGGAGACGCCGATAAGGTCATAGGGAGGGTTGCCCTGAGGGAGCCAGGAAAGACCCATCCAATGAGGGTACTGGTGATGGGAGGAAAGGAAGAATACCGTTCGAAGCTCCTCTGCGAGAGATTGCAAGTGTCCTCCCTGAATTACATGATGGAGCTGAAAGAAGACGAAATGAGCTTGCAGAAGAAAAAGCTTGAGTCTGATGAGACCACACTGAAAGCCCTAGAGGATCGCCTGTCTAGGCGGAGGGCGGCCTTCAAGTTCATTGCCACGTTCTCAGAGGAGAAGAAGAACGCCGTCTTCCTCGAGATGTCGCGCAGGATCGGAGAGCTGTCTGAAATGATACAGAACAAATCGAAGAATCTCGAGTGGAACATGGACGAGGAGGAGAGGGCCGACAAGTATGCTAAGATCGAGGATGAGCACTCCCGGCTCAGCCGGGAATTTGAAACTTTCAGGAGCTCGCAAGGGCGCTCCTCTGCTTTCGCTCAGGGATCTGAGTGGCTGGTGGAGGACCAGAAGACTCTGCTGGGGTTGGAAGCAGCGGAGCTGTTCTTCCGGGGGGTGAACGACTCCTCCTCTCTCGAGACCTTCTCGTCCCCTGCTGGTTTCTGGGACGCATTCTGCAAGGAGGCATGCTCAGAGATTGGGGAGGAAGACGCCAGGATTCTGTTTTCGGGGGAGATGTTCCTGAGCACAACCCGGTCAGAGGTCGAGAGTGAACTGTCACCGCCAGATAACTTTATCTTCGTCCTTGCCCCAGATATTGTTCAGGAGGAGCTCGATGAGGAAAAACACCACCATAAGGTCGCGAAGCTGAGGAGGAGGATGCTGCCAAAGTTGGGTGAGCTGCTCGTTCTGCTGAAGAGTTCGGACATCGACAACTCTGGGACGGTGGACAAGACTACATTCCTGCGAGCACTGGAGTCTGTGAACTTGTTGCAAGTCATCTCCAAGCAGGAAGCGCTCGAGGTCTTCTCTCTTCTCGGCCCAGATGTGTCAGGATACGTTGAGGTGACTGTTGCATAGCCTCCTGATGATCCCAGGCTGACGCTCGCTCGCAGTACAGCGACCTGAGAGACTTGATCGGAGTAGCCAACTCGCAAATCAAATCTGAAATGGATCAAGCTGCTGCTTTCAAATGCATAGCCTCCACATGTGACAAGATCATTGTGCTCTTGGATGGCAAGTCGTCTCGTTACAACTGGTAATCAGTTCCATGCTCGTTCTTTCCTTGTTCCTCTCTTTACTCCTCCAAGTTTCCAACTTTTCGCTTTTCAAATCCTCCCGCAAGATCTAATGCTGATGCCTAGGACGGAGCTCGAAATCATCAAAGACTTGTACCAGTCGGATCCGTCAAAGGTCCATTTCGCTTGCGTGAGTCACCACAACCATCGCGATGCTCTCGCGCGATCGTTGGCAGAGCTGCTTGGCGACCGCGCGTTAGAGAGCGTCCCGCTGGTCTCCTCCCTTGCTCAAGGTTTCACGTCCGAGCTCTCAAAGGAGCAGCAACAGATCGTGTCCCTGTGCAAAGATGTCTCCGATGTCCTCAGGAGTGTGTTGTTGAGGCTCAACAACTTGTACCAGCAAGCGAATGACCCAGCAGACGGCAGGAAGCCGCATTCTTGCGTGCTAGACCGAAGCGCGATAGCTAGAGCCAATCAGGAGCTTTCGGAAATCCTCAAGTTCTACACCCGCAAACTCTCGTCGACCAATCAACTTTTACATCGCCTGAAGCAAGTCATCAAATTTGCAAAGCAAAACTCTGACTCCATGCTGGACAACTCGGGGGTTCTGATTATGTCTCTGGAGGTGACGTGAATTGTTGTGTCCACGTGTGCATTGCTCTCTCTGACATCGAGACTTTTCTTAGGAGAGAACGAGGAAGTGGAATCGGCAAGAGGAGCGGGCAGAAAAGATCAAGCAAGAGGTAGGGGCGAAGCTTGTTTCTGATCCTCATCATCCCTCAGGTATCGCGCAAAGAGATCGGGAAATGGTTGACGTGGGAACACATCGAGGTGGGGCGGCAGGAGGTGACACATGATGCTCAACTCGCTCGCAGCTCTGGCTTGCAAGCTTGTCAGTCTCATCGGAATGCATCAACATCTTCAGATCGAAGAGGATCGACTCGCTCAAGAAGCTCCTGCGGGTATTGCCCTCTCCTTGCCCATCGACTCTTGACTGCGGGTGTTCAGGTCAAGGTTGATGAGCTCAAGGATTGGGACGTCGATGTCGGCGATCGACTGAGACTCAAGGCAAGTCATCGCTCGTCCCGCCAGCCCCCTTGACTGCCTGCCGACAGATTGGGCTCAAGGACCTCAAGGCTTTCTACTCTCAGAAGCAAGTCTCCTTCCTACAGGAAGGCCTGTGGTGGTCTGTCTGCCCTGCCCCCCTCCCTACGGCCTCACCTGCTAGCAGGCTGCTCAACACGGAGGCTCCCAACCATGACAAGCTGAAGCTTGAGGTTTCCCTCCTCCCCAGCTTCTCCTCTTGATTATTGTCTGTCGCCTCGACCAGTTCCCGGAGCATCTCCTTCACGACCAGGGAGCGGGAAAGCAGACCAACCTCAAGGGACTTAGAGCAGGCGACCTCACGGTCGTAGACTTGGCGCACCATGGCAGCTACCTCCTAAAGGTCCCCGAGGCAAGCGACACCATGCATGTCTGCAATCCTGCCTCTCACGTAGCCTGCAGCGAGCGGAGCTGGAAAGGTTGAAGTTTAAGCTCGAGCTGGATCGCAGGCCAGGTCAGGCAGCATACATCGACTCGGAGGATCTCGGAGTGATGTACGGCATCCTGCGAGGGTGAGGCCGCCTTCTCCCCTTCTCCTCCCTGACCTCCAGCACAGAGATGTAGAGTGTAGCAAGAACAGCCTGGCGCTGCTTCGACAAGGCCTACAACTGTTCTTGACGGGACAAGTTCCACCACAGTTGCTCACTGAGCTCATCGATGATCTGCGACAAGAGGTCCTCCTCCTCTCCCTCCCCTTCCATCCCCTTCCTCCTCCTCCTCTTTTCCTTCCCTCTCCTTCCTCCCGGGCCTTCCCTCACCTTCCTCCTCTCTTCACCAATTGGTCCTTTCATAGTCTCCGCCTCCTTCACTTTTGTACCTGCAGGCCGAGGAAGTCGTGGGACATCAGTCGCCTGAAGCTCAAGGCGGAGAACCTCTCAACCTCTCGCAGTTCAGTAGGAGGAGGAAGACTCCGTCCAGGTGGGCCAACCCGCTAGACTCTCCTGCTGCTGACTCGTCCCAGCTCCGTCCACCAACGACGGTGGAGGTTGGAGGAGGTCGAGAAGGAGCAACTGGCGTCTTCGTCGGACGAGGAGGAGGGGGATGGGGATGGGAGCGAGGGAGGCACTTGGTCCGAGGTAGCTATGCCTTGCTCCTGTCCTCTCCTGATCAGTCGCAGCGGCTGCGGGCCTGCCTGGAGAATATCTTCGTGGCAGTGTCGGGAGGAGGTGTCATCGCTGATGGGACGAAGCTGGAGCAGGAGATGCTACGACACCGCGGCTTCCGGCGCGTGCTCAAGACGGCAAGGAAGAGCTTCGAGATGGGGCAGGTGCCGCGGCTGAGGGAGGAGGAATTCTTCCTGAGGAGAGAGTTCCTAGAGGTCCGCTCTGCTTCCTCCACCTCGTGAACTGACCGGGAGCAGGAGATGCTGCGGGTGTTGGAGCCGGAGGGCGAGCACGACCTCGTACGATGAGTAGCAGAGAGACCAGAAGTGCGCAGGCGGAGGGGAGGGGGAAGAAAGAGGAAGGAGTGATGCGAGGGCTGTGGAGGAGGGAGGTACAGGGAAGGAGAGAGGAGACATGCTTTCAAGAGTTTATCTTAAGAATTATCGATCAGCCTGAGGCTCCTCAGACGACTAGTGGAGCCAAGATGTCATCCGGCGTAGGGCATCGATCTTTCAATTATACAATCAATAAAGCTGGCGAACTCGCCCGTCTTGATCTGGATGACCTGCCCAGCAAACGCTTAGAGTTCTGACACCCCCCTTGTCAAACGGCAGCTACTCACCTCGGTGTCAAACCCGTACATCTGTACCTCCATCTGCGGCATGGCCTCCGCAGCTTCTTTGAAGATCTTGCCGAAGTGATTCCTCCCCCTAAAGCCCATGCTGTCGGAGGCGAGGCAGCCAACTACTGTACACGTGTGATCCTCTTCGTTGTCGACGCCCAGCACGATAGGCTTCAGCTCCTTGTCTGACGTCTTCTTCTCGAGGTCCATGAGAAACATCGCCAACCTCGAAAGAACCGCCGGGTTCGTCAAGATCTTGTTCCCCTCATTGACAGCAAAGTAAGCATGACGGAAGAAGTTTGTCTTCTGAATCATTCTATCTTGAGCTAGTTCAAATCCCTTATGTACAATGGTCTGCAATCAGCCCTCAGCACATCCACCTGTGCGCCCTCATCCTGTCAAACCTGTTGAAGTTGTATCGCGTACTGCACAACTTTGGAGTTGCCTCCCACGAGAACATCCCAGGCATCTTCATGGTGAGCACAATCCTGAACAGAGGCGTCACTGTCAGACGAACGTGGGGATTGCGAAACCTACCTTGATAGCATCGTATGAACGAATGTACGAGTCCGTCCAGTCTTCATTCCCCACAGGCGGATGGTACATCATAGACTGAGGGGCGGGGCTTCAACGAACCATCAAGAGCAGGTTGAATCAACTCACACTACAGATGTAATAGCAATCCGTCACGGAGATCGGGTTCCCACAAGTTCGTTCCTGCCACATCCGCGTCAAAAGGGGATAGTCAATGTTGAAACGATGTCCTGACCTTCCGGAAGGTCGGAAAGACAAGCTAGTGATAGAAGAGTCAGCAAACCGCAAGACCATAGAATTTGTCACGTACTTCCTCCAGGTTGAACTCTTCTTTGTGCTCTTCCAGCAGCGCTCGCAGCCTGTCCTTGTAGTCGGAGTTCATGTGCATGTATCTCTGTTCTGCTTCGACTAGCGGGATTCCCATCCTTGCCAAGAGAGTTTGAAGTTTGTTTGTTGTTCGATCCTTCCATATTCCGAGCCTCGAAGCAACGTAGTTGGAGTAATACATGCTGTTGTACAAGGTCCAATGCTGAAGCAACAGAAATCTGAACTCTTCGCTGTAGTTGATCTTACTTCCTCCCACGCTTGATGACTCCCCTAATCGAACAGCCTGCAGCTGCGCGTCAGCTGGAGGTCTTGGACTGGAAAGGACAGGCACCTCGTCTTGTAGAACAAACACTTCCTGCTCGTATCTTTGTCTTCCAATCATGTCGTTCATGAACTGTTCAGTCAATCCGATCATCGCCCACCATCTACAGTCAGTCAGTGTGATTGCACAACAGAACGATGTGAGGTGTATCACAGCATCGAGTTGTTGTCTCGCTTGATTGTTGTTGATAAATTGTACCTTCATATCAAGATGAGGCCAAGTCAAGGCAAAATCAGCCATATTCAGTTGATGCTTACATCATTATTGCAGAAGAAAGCCCTCTAGATGTTCCTTTATAGTAGTCCTCGATGGCGAGTCTGCATTCATCCCTAACCTGTCTTTTCCTTTGCTTCTCAAGTTTTTCCTCATCCTCTTCGTCCACGTCTACGCTATTGCCATCTTCGTCTATCCTCCTACGCTGAACCGGTGATCTGATGTTGAACTCGTCCTCCTCCTCCTCCTCCTCTTCCTCAGCAGCATTCAAATCGGCATTCACAACCTGAGAAGGATAAGGATCAGCGAGCCGGGCACCTCAACAACAGTTGGAGTACCATCATCGCTGTTGGAACTTCATACTCTCTGAGCCCATCGTCGAGCAGGATGATCCTTGCGGTGGAGAGATCTTGGTTCTCAAAGTCCTCCACATCACCGCAGTCGAAATAAATATTCGAGAGGGAGTAGGGCCGATGACTGTCGATGACCACAACTTGCAAGTCAGCTCTGTCGTCTTCCCCAAGCTGCAGGAGTTCTGAAAGCAACCAGTCATCCCCCAAGGGCGGCACACCATTGCCATACCGTTCAGAGCCTCAGTAGAGCCGCAGTTGATCAGGACGATACATCGACAGCTGCTGGTATCCAAAGAGTCCACATGCTGCTGCACGTCCACATATCCCCTCACGAACTGAAGGGAGTAGGAGATATGGTCCGCTCTGAACATGGTCTGCCGCATGCAGTCAGGTGACATGAGCCAATCGCAAATCACTTGTGGTTACCACTAGGATGTGGCAGGCAGCTATGGCATCACACTCTCCGGCAACGCAGATGAGGACTGACGACCCTTCATCCCTCACGCTGTTCTTGATGAGATGGTAGACTTCAGCTATCCTGTTCTTGTCCACCAACATCTTGGAAGCTGGAAGGACAACGTGAGCAGAAGGATATGGAGGAATCAGCAATCTTGCCTCAAGAAATATAATATACACAAGGTTGGCGCTCGCCAACACCAATGGGTCTGTAACATAAAGTTGTCATGCGAAATATTTGTGATGAATGCGGTCAGGCAAACAAAATATGACTTCTCTCTTGATCTGCTACAGCTTTCTATTCAGAAACTTGTATTCTGTTCGAACCTTCATCCCTTCCAAGTACATCTCCAGCTCGACAGCCCCGTGCCATCGTCTAAGTACTCACAATCCTATCTTCCACCTTTCGAACTTCCGTACAATGGCGCCCCCTTCACAACTCTCATCCCTTACAGATCATCTCATGGCTCAAGAAGCATCTCATCTTCATCCTGTTTTAGTATCAGATGTCATCGCTCCCTCTCCCTCCCTCTCCTCCTCTCCTCCCCCCCCTCCCACGCGCGCTCCCGCTCTGATCCCCCGCCTCCATTGCGCGCCCCTCTAGCCCGTCCACTTTCACTCAATATTTGAATCCGGAAACCACATCCCCACTCTTTCCCTGCAGTCACTGACGGTGAGACGGTACCGGGTCACCGGGTGACCGTCTCCGACCGGTGACCCGGCACGACCGGGGCAGCCGGGTCGTCGACTCTTGAACATGAACCGGGCGGCCTGCCCGGACCGCCCGGCCGGGCCGCGGGCTCCACTGCAGTGCGGCGCCGCCGAGTCCTGGGCCCGGGGGCCGCCGGGCAAGTTGCGCCGGGCCCACTGAACTTCGGAAATTTACGAGTCGGCGCGCCGGGGATCGGAGGCGGAGGCTCAGGCTACTGGTACGGTAACCGTTGAAGAGTGTGAAATGATACAAGATGAGGTTGATGCCCCGATCATAGTTCAAGTTTTTCTTGGATTCCTACTGCAATACACACGCCCCTGTAAACCACTGAGGAGACTCAAGGGAGGGGCGACTCCTTGTCGTTCACAAACAGGAGTCTCCTTCGACTAGACCTTTAGCAGCCTGGGAACAAAGGAAGCAATTAGCAACACCCCCCTTCCATCCAGCCTTTCTCTTGTGCTCGCAAGCACAAGCGAGCCTCACCTGGTCCTCCAAGTCGGGGAGCTTTGCATTCTTTTCAATCTCCTCTGCAGCCTGACCATGAGCCATCAGCAGCTTTACACTGAGGGTATTGGACAAACCTCGATAATCTTGTCCAGGGGAGCAAGAGTGAAGAAAGTCATCTACAGCCCCATCAGACCTTGCTCATCCGCACTCCTCGTCCCTTACCGGGTACGCAGCCTTCCCCCACTGTGGGTGTAGGACGATGCCGCAGCATCCAACCTGCAGGAGAGTTGTCAGGAAGACGAGGAGAGTAGTTGGTGAACAGGAAACAGTTCAGACATCGTGACGACCGACCAACCAATAGACAAGCAAGTAGGTAGTTAGAATAAAGGCAGGCAGGCAGGCAGGCAGGCAGGCAGGCAGGCAGGCAGGCAGGCAGGCAGGCAGTTGGAGGATACCGGCAAGGAATCATATCCCAGCATCATCGTTAGCCCAGTCAATTCATTGTAGACATGGGCAGTTCGCTCGCCTCCAAACAGAACGAGTCAGAGCAGGGAAGAGAAGCGTCGTGGCGGTACCAAACATCGAGTTGCCAGTGATGGGACATGCGGCATTGGACCAGTAACCACGACGCAGGAGCGCGTCCCTCATCGCCGTGGACCATGCATGGATCTTGTTATACATCTGCTTCCTCACCTTGTTCACCTCCTGCAGGCAGCCAAGAAGCATCACACAAGTCGCACGTCTCAGATTTGAAACAGCTCGCATCTCACCTCATTCGGATACAAGCTCAAGTCCAGCTTCGCTGATTTCCAGTCACCTTGCAGCAAATCCTTCCAGGTAGGTGCGGGCTGCCATCTTGACTCGGATTCAGAACAAAGGGATGAGCAACAACAATGTCTGATGGTGGAACGATCTTACGTGGGCATGGCAAAGAGGTTCTCCACCAGGAAAGCCTTCCTCTTCTGCACTTCCACACCCAGCTTCTCCATCTCCTGCTCCAGCTCGTGCTGGAAAGTGAGCCGCGCGTCCTCCATCATGGCCGCGCTCATCTTGTGCACGGAGAACTCAACCTGCCAGTTCTCCTGCAAGGCTGGGCCTCTCATCTTCCGAGCTTCTCTCTTCGCCGCCGCTTCTCCTACCTGCGGCATCTTCCGCACCTCGCAAGTGCCGCCTGACGCCATGGATCGACCGGTCTTATATGGGCAGGCGAGCCCGCCCAGTTGATGAGATTTCATGCCGCCCCCGCGACATGGCCTGTCCCTCCTCCTCCTCCTCCTTGCCCACGCTCATGGCAGCCTCTGCTTCCTCGCAGCTCCTCTCTCAAGTATCAGAGCATGTGGACCAGTCGTCCTGCCTGCTGCAAGGAAGCTCAGGCCATCTGCAGTACCTCCTCGGCACCTGATACGGATGCAAGGGCATGATGCTGAGCGTGGACATGCAATACTTGAATGCTGCCAAGCGCAGGTCGAGGATCTCGACCAGATCTTGCAGCTAGACACTCAGGCTTACAATGGGAAGAGCCTCTGGCCCAGAAGCATCTACGAATCCGAGTTGAACTCAACTAACAATGAGATATTTGTCTTGAAATTCCCAGAAAATGGTGAGATTGTAGGGTTTGCATGTTGTTCTCTTGTCTTGGACGAATGTAGCATAACAAACATCGTTGTATCAAAGAATCATCTCAGGAAGGGTTTCGCCAGTCAACTTCTATCCTACATGCTTGACTTTGGCAACAGCAAAGGAGTACGGCAGTGGTACCTGGAGGTCAGGGCAGAAACGAATCCGGCGGCTGTTGCTCTCTACAAAAAGTTCGGGTTCGAGAGTGTTGGCAGGCGGAAGCATTACTATTCAAACCCTAGAGAGGACGCTCTGATCCTGCAGCGTGGGTTGGATCTTTCACAGATATCTTGAAAAACAGGAACAACTACGATTCCTTTACATCGAGCAGGATGCTCAAACAGGAGATACGAAGACACTGCAACAATTCTATAATACAGGAAAAGAAAGCCAAGAATCAATCTAGTCTCAACCATGGAACAAATCAAGCCCTCATTGCTGGCGATCTTGATCTCGCTTGAGTCCGTTTTGCCGAATGCTCCACAGGAAATTTGCTGTGGTCCTGCTGCCGTTCTTCCGCCAGTGAATCTCCTCTTGCAAGGGGTCGCCTTTCTCCAAGCTCAAAGGCGGATCATACAGCTTGGTGTCCTGGCCAACAAGCTATTGCGCATCAGAGATCACTTTGCTTCTCGCAAGCTAAACCACCTTCGTGCCAACTGCGATCGCACCCGCACCCGCACGGAGCCTGGATGAAACACATGGATCAACGTCAGGAGATAAAGAATGGTCGGTACCATTTCTGGATGTCCTCTGGTAAAATCCCTCCCGATACAAGGATGAAGACCTTGAGCATGTCACTGCCCCCATCAACCAATGGACACCAACGCTAGATACCTCCTTGTACGGACCGAGCGACTTGACGGCTTCGAGGCCTTGCCAGCCCAGACTGCAAGCAGGAAACAACTTCACGGCTCGAGCTCCCGCTGCATGTCGGTGACGAGAAGAAACAACTTCATCATCCTAACAAACCTTGAATCGCAGTGTAAATCTCAGTCGGTGTCAACGCAGCTGGAATGGCCAAGACGCCTCTCTTCTCGCAGATATCTATGATCTCTGTGCACAAAATCTTTTTGGGAAATTACATGTCTCCAACGAAAGCGTGAATCCGCAACTTACTGGACTTGTGATAAATTTTGCTCCGGCATCTATCGCTGCAACTGCTTGCTCTTTGTCCATAACAGTTGCAGCCCCAACGGAGACTCGTTTTGGAAGTACAGAAGAAAGGGTCCGAATCACGTGTAGTGCTTGTGGGGTATCCAACGTGACCTCCAACAAAGGACACCTTATGAAGATAAATCACAGGTGAACAGGAAGATTAAAGGGATTTCTTCACCCTTTCATCGATGCCAATTCCAGCCCCCTAAGGATCAGGCGGTCTGGGTGACCACCGCGGAGAACGGCAACCACCTTATGCTTCTTGATCCTCGCCATAGTCCTCTCAATCTCTGTTTCAGGACTAGAATGGGTAGAGTTAGGTTCAACACTCACTCCAAGCTCCACTTACGCGATCACTTCTCCCTTGAGCGAGTTGATGCCTTCAATACCGCCGACATCCTCTTGCAGCAATTTTCTAACATAAGTCGCGAGGTCAGAGATTGTTTTCTCTTTGTTGTGAAATGTGATATCTAGATTAGACAGACACGTTACAAGAGAATCCGAAGGAATCCGCCAGCTCGTTTACCTGGATCCGTCAAACGGGAGAAGACATCATCCATTATCCTGATGTGCAGGAATTTCCTCTTCCTATTCTTTTGATCCGCACTCATTGCATCTTTGCACATACAAAGTGAACTGAAAGGTTGCCTCCTCCCACAAACTTCAGAAGCCAAAAACGAATGTCCCTCCATTCTGCGAACCAGGATAGAAAAGGCTATCAGCTCTTCTCGTTGTAAGAAACGACAGATACCTATCACTGTTTCCTCCAAAGTTGGAAAACTCTCTGAGAATATTTACGTCCTAACCACGAGTCATCATCCATTGGAATAGGATTGCACGTACCTTAAGGAGCATGTTGAAATTCCCCATGAAAGCAAGAGATGGCTGATTCGCAGCAAGTACCAGCTGTGAAACAAAGAAGAGGACCCCGATCCACTTCGACGGCATGATCTGCATCGAGTTTGAGTACTTTCGCAAAAATTACATTTGAAATTTTGTCATGATAATGAAAATAATTCGATCCATAATATGCTCTTTGATGTCCTTCCTGCCATGCAATCTGCTTTTGCCACTTTCGAACCCCGTCCGTCCTATCGCCCATTTCCCTCAGTTCGCGTTCCACCCCTCCCCGCTGCCCTTTCTACTTGCGCTTGCTCGTCGCATTTTGGTTCTAGGGATGGGGTTGGCACGGGGAGAGTAGGGTGGGTACTAGCAAACAGTTGCTACGGTCGGAAGACGGGGTCCTCTCTAGCGCTATTCGATACATAGGGTAGGTGGGTAGTTCTTGGGGAAAAAGAGTGGTAAAAAGGTTGTCGGAGGGCAACATGGGAAGTCAAACAACGGGTAGGGTCTTGAAATGGGGGGGTATTCACATTGGATGGACGGGTGGGTCTTCAGGTATGACACGGGTGGGGTAGTGTAAGTTACCACTGTGTGAGCGTTTGTTGGAAAACGGTAGGGGTAGTAGGTGATGTTGGGGTGCCTCACAAAGTAGGGGTGGGTGAATTTTGTGCGAGGAGTGTGACAGACATGGCTTCCCGTGATGCAAGGGGGTGACGAGGACGAAGACGAGGAGCAGGAGCGATCGAGAAGGTGAGGAATGTCTGGCTGAGATGTCTCTGCTTCCATGGACCTTGTTTCCTCCTTGCATTGAGTGTTGGGTCATAGCGTATGAGATTCATCGCAGAAATATTTTCTCATCTGCCATGATTCGTGTAGTGCATTCTGCTACCACACCTTTCTTTGGTTTCTGTCTTTGATATATCCACCCCTCCTTGGAACTGAATAATCCGGAATATCTGCACATAAACTTTATGTCATAACACATTGTATCAACTTCATATGGGTGAGAATTAACCCTTCGTCGTAAGGCCCTGGACATTAGTTCGCTGATTGGCCATTGCAGGATAAATATGGAACCATGAAATGAGATCTCTCTCGCTAATCATTCAATGAGTACAATGGATATTTCGGTCGCCGAGCCAACTGAATCGAAGAGTGGAGTTAAAGGTAGATGCCAGTCCATCAGTTCTAAGCGAAGGAGAAAGATACGGCTGATCACACCTGAGGTTTTACGGCAGTTTAATGAGGCATACGATCGCAATGGTGAATGTGCAGCAAACAGCGAATATGAGATTCAAAAGCGAAAAGATGAGAAGGTTCCGTTCTCTACATCAAACAGCGGGGAAGAGGGAATTGCTGTGATATCCAGTTCTCGACCAATCAACAAGGAAATAGCACAGGAGTATTCCCTGTGGTGCGAGAATTTCTTAGACAACTTTCCTATACTGTATCAATCTCTACAGCTTCAAAATGGCAGGTCGGATGCTCTAGCGTTCATTTCGCAGATCTTTCGAACAAGTGAACAGAAGGCAAAGCAAGGGACAAAAAGGCTGGGGCCATCGAATTGGGCGGATGCTCCTGCTGAGCCCAAACCTGGATCAGATTCTCTTCCCTCTTCGAAGTCGTCAGGAGGAGAGCCAGATAGCCAGACGGTGGCTAACAGCGAGAATCGATTGAAAGCATACTTTCAGGAGATGCTGCATGAAAAAACTCTCAGGGAGTGCATATCCAAACTCGTCAAGATTTTTCGGGACCTGCAGCGCAGCAGTCCACGAGCCTCTATCTGTGCAGACGCTGTTGGAAAATTAGACATGTATAATTCCAAGAAACATAAGGTCAGCTTGTGATTTTCTCACTTTTTTATAATGACCATGATGCGACAGCTACTCGCAGGGCATTGCGAGCCATATGAAGATTGCATCACCATCTTCCCTGCGATTGAAGCCGCTTCACCAGGATCTGTGCATGAACGTGCGTTGGTTTTACCAAGCGTTCCTTCAGGATCTTCTTAGCTCTCTTTTGTTGTTCATTCAGTACAGGCAAAACTTTTCAACCCCGTCTGATATCCGATTGTTGTTGTTGCTCCGAACACCAGTGGCTTCCCGATGTGTACAACAAGGTTTGCTGCAGAGAAATCTCTCAAAATTCGAGGAATATGCGCCTCATGAGTTACATAACCACCTATTGCTTGCCAAGACCGCAATCGCATCTCTTGTTCTATTCATACTGCATTATCTTGCTACATTCACTTTGTTCTCAGATCTGGCTCTTGAAGACATACACAGTAATTACAGCCTTGCTTTATTACATACCATCACATCAGAGACAAATGAGATGAGATGAGACCGTTGGTGATAATTCGATGGTCCAACAAGTCCGAAGATCCGAAAGGGAGTACGTAAAGACAGTTGAAAGCAGGGGGATGGTAGTATGGGAAAGACGATCTGTGTAACGATCTGTGTCAAAGGGTTGAGGGCGGGGGGAGCGGGAGGGGGGGGGGGGGGGGGCGGGAGCAGCAATCGTGGAGGAAAAAGTAAAGCCAGGCTCAACAAACATCCACTACCCCCCTTTTGCTGAGTCATTATGACCGGTACATGACATTCTGAGTAGAGTACCCCAGATCTACCCTCGTTCTACCCCCGTTTCGAATACCCTACCCTCGAACGTCGATCTGTACCCCCCCTCGCATCAATTTCCACCCCTACCCCATTTCATATCGTGGTGACTCTTCGCTATCAGCATGGCGGGGAAGGGAAGGCTATGGTGGGGGGGAGGAGCGGCTGCTGCAGCGGGAGGAGCTGTGATGCTGCTACTCGTGTTGGTCAGCTACATGGCAAACTCGGTATGTGAACCATGCAATTGCTTCTTGCGCTGTCCTTTCTTTGTGCCTTTGTGTCGTTTTTGTTGTTCAACCTAAACCTTTTCTCTAGTCCTCTTATCTTCTCCTGTTCCCTTTCCTTTTGATAAGCTCCTGCTCTATTCCCTTTCCACGATGTCCCCATTCTGAACAGCTTATGTTCTCCTCAACTAAACTTGAGTTCATCTCCTGGCTGTGCACCTCTTTCTCGATGAGAGCCTTGGATGTTTTCTTCCTTGGCTTCGCGTGTTTCTCCTATCATCAACATTCATCCTTAAGGCTTGTTTTGATCGTTTGCTGTTCCTACAGAATGTCATCAGCACGGTGCAACTCAACCCGAGGATAGCAGAGCTGAGACAGAAGCTTCAGAACACTGAGAATGCGTTGATGGGAATGTCGGGGAGAGAGGCCTTGGCAGAAGCTGAACGAGCTCAGATGCTCCAGCAGAAAATTGACAGTCTGAAATCCGCCCAGCTCGCGCCCAGAGGGAATTTGGCAGCGTTTGAAACCTTGGCGATTGTGCATCCTCGAGGCAACCCTGGTGATCGACCCCACGTGTATCAACCTGTGGCAGCTGGTGGGCATTACAGGACGAAGCAAGCTGAGGACTTGGCGAGGAATCTTGCCAAGGCGCACCAGCACGAGCAGCACATGATGCAGGAAAATGCTCCCCACGTCGGGATTCAACGGCCAGCTCATGTCGCTCCTCGCAAGCAAATGAGCAAGAGGATTTCCAAGAAGGTTAATCCCTGGTCAGTCATCCCGAACAAGAAAGTTCTTCACTATGCTCGCAAGTCCCAATACATGGGGCAGTCATTTGACCATGCTGAGGGCTTTGATAGTGGAAGCGACAAGGACATTCTTGCTCGGGGTTTAAGCATCCTTTCTCAAGGTACAAAACGTGCAAGTGCGCCTGGGGGATTCGTTCAAGTCAAGACGCTTTTGCCGGGACAGAAGCTTCCCAAGGGAGCTCGTGTGCTGACTGCTGAGCAAGTGAGACTCCTTCGCGAAAGATCGCTTCCTTTGCATGCAAGCGCGAAACATACGATGTTGAACCGCGTCATGCTCGACGATGTTGAAGGGGAGGATTCTAGCAATACAACAGCTCCATCTGAACCTGAGGTTGGGGACACGGGAATGACGGCAGCACAGCTTGATGCTTTTGCCAATGCTGAGGCATCCAAGGCAAAGTTCTTGCTGAACCAGGCTAAGACAGAGCGAAGAAATGCATATGATGAGCTGAAGGAGAGTTCAAATATGATCTCCAGGGGCTGGGACAAACACCAGAAGGGCGAAAAGTTTCTTGAGATTGCTGAGCAGCACATGCAGAACTCGACGGCATTGCTAAATAGCTTCAAGATGAACTTGGCATCCGGACGGGCAGAGCGCGAGAAAGAATTCTCTGACAAGGTAGCCATATTTTTCTTGATTCATTCTTTTTGTGACGGAATGTGCTTAGTTGAAAAACATCTCTGAGGCCCTGGAAGCAGAGGCTAGCGAGAAACATGGCCTCTATGAGACAGCTCTCCAGGAGGCAGGAGATCTTAAGTTGACGAGTGCGTCGCAGAATTCAACTGAGACAGAGGCAGAGGCATAGGGAGCAGCTGTAATCGAGGGAGCAGAGGCAGAGACAGAGGGAGGTAGCTAGGAAGGCTAATCGGTGGTATTCAATTCGGATCGAGACATTCTTGTGATCATGTGTGCAAGCCGATGCCTCGGTGAGTTGTTGTGATACAGTAGAGAACGGTGCCAGTGCCTTGTTTTCACCTTTTGGTAATATGAAGCATTTTTTTCTTGTATTGTCTCATTCAAAGGCACTCTCTTCAACACTGCATCTCTAGACTCAGACAACCTCGACGGGAATCCCCTTGGCAGCGAATTTCTCATAGTTGTTGGAAACAGCCTCCCAGTTCACAACACTCCACCAGTTGGTAATGTACTCGGGTCTGCGGTTCTGTTCACCATGTCAATTCGATCGAACGTCCAAACAAAATCAACGGACCTGATACTTGAGGTAGTAGGCTGCGTCCCAAAGCGGAACAACAAATGCAAACAAGCAGCGATCAGCAATGTAACAGAACATGGAAGCATCAGTTACCATGCTCCCAGACATCCAGGCCAAGGACAGGGATCATCTTCTGACCCTCGCATCCTTCCATGAGAGGATTGTCTTGGTTGGGAGTGGAGGTGATAGCAAGTTTTCCCTCAGGGGTAACACCTACACATTTTTAGCCACTTCCCGATGCTGCAATCTCGAGACTACCAAGCCATGCCCATCCAGAGCCGAAGCGCTTGGCAGCCGCAGCATTGAACTCCTCCTTCATCTTGTCCATTGAGCCGAAGGATGCATCGATGGCCTTCTGCAGAGCTGCGGAAGGCTTCCCAGAGTTAGCAGCCGGTCCCATCTCCTTGAAGAAGAGGGCGTGGTTGTAGTATCCGCCGCCGTTGTTGCGGATGGCTGGACCCGCCTTGATGGCTTCTTTCTGGATATCAGTGAGCTTGGCGGCAGGCTTTCCTTCAAGCGCCTTGTTGAGGTTCGTGAGGTAAGCGTTGAAGTGCTTGTCATGATGCAACTTCATTGTCTCTTCATCGATGTAAGGCTCCAACGACTTGTAGTCGTAAGGAAGGGCAGGAAGGCTGAAGGCTCCCTCGGCCTTTGACTCCTTGGGAGCAAGGAACGATCCTGCAAGAAAGATAGACAGTCACTCTGCATGCGCACAAACTCACTTTGTCCCTCTCGCACTAACCGAGGAGTCCAGCGGTGACGACGACGGCGGCCCTTCTGCTCATGGGGTTGTCGTTGGAGCTCATAGTCACTGACTCTTGGCGGAGACGAAGTGACTTGGGAGCTGAGAGGGAGGGAGCGAAGGCTGAGAACGCCTCAGCCCCTCCCGCGGCGAGCAGCGACAGCATGGCGATCCTCATAGCGCCTACTTATATGTTTCCTTCCGGCGCGGGCCTGGTCTTTTACGCCGTCTGACACCCGGCCGGCCGTGGCGCCGGGCCGGGGCCCCAGCACTCAGAGAGAGAAACGTTGAGGTGGAGGGAAAAGGTGGGGTAGGGTCATCTACTTTAGATGACCCTACCGGTCATTACACCAGTGGGTTGGGAGGAAGATAGTAGGGTAGTCTTTTCCATGACGGGTAGTATGGTATTATACCGGATATTTGACCTAGATTGTAGGGGTGGTCTGAGAACTTTTGGGGTGGTGAAAGATCGGAGAGTTTTAAATAGGGTAGGGTATTCGGATTCGTAAATGTAACATGGGGGTGGGGTAGTACAATTCTATCGGGCTGTCGTGATGTGCGCGCCAGCGGCGAAGATGGCGGACCTGAACAGATTGATCGAGAACGGAAGGAAGAGGTGAGTTGAAGAGAAGCACGATGATGAAGATGGAAGGATGCAGAGCAGGGAGTTGAAGAGCTGAGGGTGAGGGTGAGGGTGAGGGTGAGGGTGCGACCAGGCGGCCATTCCAGGGAGAACAAGTTTTCATGTTTTGGATGAACAGAGTTTTGCAGGAAAGGTTGTGAGAAGGAGAATAAGGAGAAAGTCGAATGTGATTGAAAAACGAAGAAGAAATAAATGAGTTTTAGTTGAGATGAGCAGATGATGTCACATAGATATCGGGCGCCTGTGATGAGGAAGATTTTACCGGATTTGAGGAAACTTTGAGGAAGCTCGGGTGCGATGTCTCTGATGGCTCGTCCAATCAGTGATGTCAAAAGAAAGAAATGATGTTAGAGAGGAAATAGAGGGAGCAATCAGATTCGGCTTCATGTAGGGGGACAGGGTTTAGATTCCGCTGTACCCGATTCCATTCACATTACCCTTTAACTAAAACTCGCCCTAAGATGGAAGGGCGAAGCGACCGTGACCGTCTTTGATGAGCTTGCCTTGCAGCGATCTCATTGTTCTCGAGTTCGGAAACTACATGAGTTGAGGGCAGTGGAGGTACAACACGGGAAGGATAGACACTCTGATCAAGAAGCTGCTCGAGGCAGAGTTCGCTATCCAGCTGCGCTTCGTGGATGAGCTGAGCGCCCGAGACTCCGTCAGACTGTTGACGCCCGACGGCAAGGAGATTGCATACCACCCGGACCTGCAGAACTTCAGGAACGCGCTCGCCCTGAGGGAGAACACGGACAACCTGGTTATGGCAGCCAGGAAGGCGTACGGCAAGGTCTAGTTGCAAGAGCACGATTGTTCCTCGCTCGCTGATCGAATGACGTGAAGAGTCCAAACCTGCATTGCAGGAGGCTTCTCGCCGAGTACGCCTGAGCTTCTGATCACATCGAGGGCTCTTCCCCGTGAGCGGCCTTGATGACGGTATCCGCCTGTCTACAGACAAGGCAGTGGGCTGAGGAAACAAGTTTTACAACTTTCCAACAATGTTCTCGTAACTCATCAGTAGTATAAACTTCAACAGAACTACACCACTTTCCTATCATTCCACATGTGCGACACCATATGATTCCTCTCTTGTTCACAGTGGAGATGTTGGCCGGGCTATGAAGGCTTCCACGGTCGGGCCTCGGACGGTCCCGGAGTACCGTACATGATACGCCGACGGTAGCTTCGGTCTGTAAGTGACCGTACGGCGGATCGGACGGCCCGGCCCGAACTTCGGAACCAGATCGGCAACCGAGTCGGATCGGACCCGGTGACCGGGTCGGCGGGTCGGACGCGATCGGACAGACGAGTCGGACTCGCCTCAGGACTGGTCGGCACTATGGCAAGGGATGACGCAGCAGCAGCGCGACCGGAGCAAGGTGAAGGGAGAGATGCGGAGAGAGGGAGGTAGAGGATAGTGATGGGAAATACTGTAGAAGAGGATGAGGACACAATCAACAGCGACAGACTTCTTCATAGGGATCTTGAACGTACGAATCGTGTGGTGGGGAATGGAAGGGCGGTGCTGGGGAGGGGGGAGGAGGTGAGGAGACGACCATCAGTCAGGATGAGATCGTTTCGAGCACGCAATGCAATCAGGACAAAGATGAGAGGAGAAGTAGACTCTTACTAGGATTCAGAAGTAGCAAAGGAGCATTCAGCCCAAGAAGCTCTCAGCAACGCATTACTACTGCAGAATGGACAGGCGAATGCCCTTTGTTGGACCTGCTCATACGATAGAAAGGAATGTCTCGCATTGACCACCTCTGACATATCTTCAGCACCGGCAAAGGATGAGAAGGTACAACCAGCCCTGAGCTTCAGGACAGTCATCATCCTACACGTTTTGGCTGCCATGATCATGATCTTGGGAGGGGGAGCGAGCCATCAGTGGACCAAGGAAGCCGATCTCGACCAAGTCAAGCAAGGTCTGGAGGACGTATCAAGCAATCCGATTGTTATCTTGACGGTGGGAGTCCTGCCCCTCGCCATCGTCACCGTCCGATGGGTGCAAGAGCTCTGGGCCAAGAAAGTAGACTAGCAGGCAGTGACACACCAGGTTTGTGAGCTAATTACGTTGTAGTGTAATTCTAAAAAAAACGAAGGAAAAATTGAACATTCACATTATCTAGTTAGTTCGTATCTAAACTCGCGCACGCTTGCAAGGAACCTGCTCTCCGAGCTTTGCTTTCCGCTTGTCCCGGTTCAGCTCAAGTTTGCGCAACGTGATCAGGTAGTCGCTGGACTTAGTCGAGCTGGAGTCGAGCAGGTAATCACAAATCAAGTCGTCCCAATAGCATCGGATTCCACGGTCCAAGAAGATCTTGAGCTGCTCTTCAACATTCTTCTTGTCGGCGTCGCTCCACTCCATGTCATCCTTCTCGACAAGGAGCCGACTGACAAACACGTGAGTCACTCCATCGATCATCCTCGAGAAGTTCTTCGTGACCGAGTCCCGCACTGTTCCTCCTCCTGCTTCTAACACTCGCTTGTATCCCATCTTCCTCTTGTCAGGAGCGAGCAAGATAGCAACAGTCCCTGAAAAACATCCCGTGGTCATCTCGCTCAGATTCCCGGTGGAAACGAAACACTTTCCATGGTTGTCACTGCTGCTGGCCTCTGAGTCTGAATCTTCGATGTCTCTGCAACGGTTTCTGGTACCACGCCTTGATTCCATTTCAGCAAACTTTACCTCGTAGTCCGAATCTTCGATCCATTCATATCCACGTTCGTCCACAAACTGCTCGCAACGCAGACTTTCTTCGATGTAGTTTGGTTTCAGCAGATATTTTCCCGAGGCTAAAGAACTCAGGAACTTTTCGGTTCGTAACAGTCTTCGAGCTATGACATGAGTGCAACTTGGATCATAAGTTTTGCTGGGAATCAACTCGCCGCCAAGATTCTGAATCCATGTTTTCATCTTCTCGACATGGCTATCTCCGAATCCAGTTAACAAGAACCTCTTTGACGGGCCACGCTTCTTAAAGCCCTGTCTAGGATGACCCCTGACGTCTGACTCAGAGTCCTTGCTTCTTGCACACTTCCCCTTGCGTGACGTCTTGTCGATAATCTTGCTTCCTTTGTTCAATTGGTCAGTCCGCCTTGCCTTCTTCTGTCTTCCCATAATGGTTGTTTCGCACTTGAAATCCTCGCTCCATCCCAACGATGGTGACGATGTATGGCCTGTCATATTCGAGTCTGCATGTGCTGCCCTCGTTATCCTTCTCTCACCGTCTTCCACTGGAGTGCATCGAGTAGCGCGTGGTCGGAGGGTCACTGGAGGAGGACTATTCCGCGTACTACTCCTCGATGAGCACCTAGATGAAACTTCAAGAGTAGATGCACTTGATGCCCTGGAATCCGATCTCGAGACTATGCTACACAAAAACTTGCTCAACTTGGAATACGTAATCAGTGAATCCTTGTGAGTGGGAGAACTGTCGCTTCCCTTACTGGAGTTGCTTGACCGTCTGGTTTCATCTTTTTCTTTCTCCGGAGGACATGCTGCTTTTCTACGACGCCGGGCTCCAATCGTTCCTTGTTCCATCTGCTGCTGGAGCCGACGCGCAGACATCAAAACACTCTCGGCACAGTTCGTGAGCTCCATGATCAAGTCGTGCGCGGCATCACCAGACGGCCTGTTTCCCCTTTTGTACCCGAATTTCATGTAGCACTTGACTGCCGACACATTTGAGCTCGAGACAAATAGATGAGAACCCAAGCAGTCCACGCCTGACCTCTGATTGAGCGTCGCACTCAACAGAAGCTCCCCAAGTCCAAGACCCCTTTCACACTCAGTGACAAAGAGTTCGGCTAAGTAAAGCGAGGACTTGTTCTTAGGAGGTTTCTCATGCTTCTTCTCTGATGCTCTGTGTTTGCTATTCTTCCTCGGCGTAGCGGTTTTAGCCTGCGTGCTGGAGTGCTCACAGCAGACTCCCACGGCTCCAAGTATGAATAAGAGTAGCCAATCAACCGTTCATCCGATTGAAGTCGTCTTCCGATCACAAATAGATTCAGAGGGTCCTCTTTTGTGAGGATGTACTCCACGTCTTCATAGTCCAGTACAGGATATCCCGCATCCTCATCCGCTTCGGAGAGCTCAGCTTCCCATTGCGCCATTTCATATCTGAATGCTTGGTTTAGATTTATCAGCTGGTCAGAGTCCGTCAACACTGCCGGTCTGACAAACACTCCAAGTCTCTGTGCAGCTTCATCAAAAATTATCGAAGCCATCTCAGGATTATGCATTGCACAAAGTTCTGTAACCTTGAGTCACAATGTTCGATCTGGGTTCAGGATCCAGTTATGTGCATGTATCGTTAGTGGTATGGGACACGAGCTGGTGCTGATGCCGCACGCAATCTTGCCCAACAGATATCCCCTACAAGCATACAGTCAGGAAAGGATCACCGAGATGTCCAACGAATTTTTAAGATACATAGGAAAAACGGGACAGTATAGGCTTGAAAGAAGCAGAGGATGAAGTGAGCAAAAAGCCAATGTCACATGAGAACAAGATAATGATTGGAGTGACATCAGCAGAAAAGTGTAGCATAACATATCCGTTGCAATGCTAGCTTGCGCACGCACGCGTTAGTGCTGACGTGCGACAAAGAGGGGTGTGTGGTTTTAGTATGTGTTCTCAACTCCTTCTGAGGAATGGAACAGCAAAACATCACGAAAACACAAACCGAAGACCAAACATGCACGCGACAAAGAAGGCAGTTGAAGCAGCATAGCAGGCGCAGCAGCGGCAGCGGCATTGCAGAAATTGTTGATAGGGAGGGTGGGCGGGCAGGAGACGGGCAAGAGGAACGAACGGCTTTTTGTACCACCCCCCACCCCTCAAATTTACAATCACCCCATCTTAGAGAGCAGGAGAGAGCAGGAATCCGCTGTAATCACAGGGTCATGTCCCTTCATTTGGTACCCCTACCCCCACTTTTCTCTCACCTATTTGTACGGATGTCCCCTAACCCCTGTACCACCCAGAAACTACCCTCCAGTTTATATCACCCTCCTAATCCTTTCACCACCCTACCCATAACCATTGCTCTATGTGCTGGATGAATTCTTCACCCCTACTTTCCTCTCGTAAAGTACCCACCCAACATCACCAAGATGAACTGATAGGGGGTACTTGACTACCCAACCATACCGATTTTCCAAAAGACTACCCCCACCATCCTCCTCTCTAAACAAAAGCATTTCATGATTGACCCCACCCCTCCCTCCATCCTGGAGCATCAAAGATTTAACATCACCCTCACCCCATATTTTCCCTCTCAATACCTCTATCTGAGAGGGTAGAGTAGTACCACCCTCTAAGCCACTGTGAATGTCAAAAATCAATATAAATTATAAAATGTTTGTTTCAATTCAATGGAGCAGTTTTGAAAACTTCAGAATTACAAACGTCCGCACAACTTGAAACAAATTTTACAAAACGGCAAATTTTGTTGACCCTTGTTTGAAGTCACTTCAACCACCCTGACCCCCTCTTAGATCATCAATAGGACCCCTACAGGAAGATTGAATCCTTGAACCCACCCAGGGTAACCTCCCCTTGTTCATGGAGGATGGTGGGGTAGTATAATAGACTTCTGAAGTTTGATGAGGGGGTAGGGGTAGAAAACCTCAAGTCTGGAACCACAAACGATGGATGACCAGAGATACAACCGCGGAAGTGGCTGACCAGAGGCCGACAATGGCAGATGCTGAGCAGATGCCGTGTGATGGTATATACAAGTTGCATTGAGGTAAAGCAACGAGGAGAAGCAACAGAGAGGAGGCAAAGAGAGATTTAAGAACTCTGTGGCACATAATCAAGTCCTAGGGAATGGGAGCCAGTCAAGAAATGCATTCGCAGGACAGTATCTGAACTTGGAGGAGACTCCCTGGCGTATTTTCTCAGGACTCAACTGTCAAGAGAACTGGATGAGATTCTGTTGTATCATCCTCTCTCTCATCTTGTTTTTGCGCCATTCTTCGAGCTTCTTCCTGCCTGCTCTGCTTGCTCCGCGTCCAGGTCTGGTTAGGTGGCGTTACGACCACTCCGGGGCAACAAATACGATCTGCAGGCTTGATGGAGAGAGTCGACGTGCTCGTCCTCCTCGAAGTGCGTGCATGCGCAGGAACCATGTCCGATGAGCTCAATCCTGATCTCCCTTGCAGGCAAAGAGAGGAGGAGGCAGCCAGGACTCAAGAACCCCACTGGGACACCTCCATCCGGTCGAGCGAGTGATCCTCGCACAGGGAGGAGGGTGACCAGCGCGCCGGTTGAGACGATAGTTCTGGCGTACAACAAGCCCGTAGGATTGATCACAACCCATGATGACGAGCTCGGGAGGAAGACGGTGGCACCTGCTAGCTGCGGACGGTGTGTTCCGCATTGATCTTGGATGCAGGTGTACGATGACGTGCACGACAGCCTGCCGAAGCATCTGTGTGGCGTGTGGAGGGGCGTCTGAAGGTGCTGAAGCAGCCTTGCAGGAAGAGGCACAAGTGGCATGCGATCGGCAGGCTCGATGCAGACACGGATGGCCTGCTGCTGCTGACCAACGATGGGGTACGGTCGGCTTCGTGATGGGGCAGTTCCGTTGAGCCTGCGACAGGCTCTTGTGCATCATGCGACGCATCCCTCGTCCAAGGTGGACGCGGATGTTTCTTCATGCTCCTCCGTTGACTTCCATAAAGGTTCCGAAGACGTACATGGCACTCTGTAGAGGGATCCTACAGGAGGAACAGATTCAACAGCTGAGGGAGGGTGTCGAACTGACGGGAGGGTTGGGGACGTCGCTGCCTGCTGAGGTGGCGATTTGATGGGTGTTCTGTTTCAGAAGTTTCACATTGCACAGATCGTGGTGGAAGGGTTCGAGGAGAACGCGACCTTGCTGAGAATCACGATCTGTGAGGGAAAGAACCGGCAGGTGAGAAACCGGGAGCGCTGAGAGATGTGAGATTGACCGATGGGGATGAAGATCCGGAGGATGTTGTTGGCTATCAACTCACAAGTGAGTATCGGCCCGCAAGGTCATACGCTCACCTGATCGCCAGGTCTTGACACTGACAAGGTTGTCTATTGGAGATATCTCAATCGAGAATATTGACAGCGGCAGGTGAGCAAGCGATGGAGAAAGAGGGAGGAGGGAAGAGAGGAGAGGGCAGAAGCGCAGACGAAAGGAAGGAGAGAGGAAGCGTCCTGGCGTACACGTTTACAGTTTTCGATGTCTCAGGTGGAGAATGTTAACGGACAGTCAAGTGCTCAACTGCTTGAATTATAGCCCAAAGACTGCTGATATATAAAGGTTTGTGTTGCCTGCTTGCCTGCTGGCCCACCCCAGCCCACCACGCTTGTATCCTACATACTCTCATTGCCTACAACAGGATCGCCTCTGATATGTCTCGTCACCATCTATATCTTCTCCCCCCTCGCCCTCCCCCTGGACAACCTCTCCCGTTCCAGCTGCCATTCTAAAATGACGTACGCAGGATAGCCAAGGTTTGATTCCAGATTCATGTTTCTCATCCAAGCTTCCCGATCGTTTCCTTGTGCGTCAAGCTAGCGATCCCACCTTCCACCATGGACGCGAAGATCCCCGAAACGGTGAAGACTCCCCCGACAATGGCGCAGAGTTTGGTCAGGAAGTGATAGTTGGACTCCCTCGACGTCTTGACCTGTCACATCAAGATAAGTGAGCGACGCCTGGCATGTGGCAGCCCTTCTTACATGCACGATGATGGGGAGGATGTCGTAGTTGATCCGAGCGGTGGGAACTTCGGCGTATCTCTGCACCTTGTTCGTGTGGACCACATAGCCGTGGGCCTCCACTGGTGGGATGCCCCAGCTGCGAGGGAGCTCGACCACGTTCTTGACAACCTTCACGTAATGCTCCCAGACTGTCGGAGTCCTCTCCTGCGAGAAGGCGATGAGAAGCGTTAGAGGACAGAGAGGAGGAAGTGAGAATAGGGGTCCAAGGACAGACGGAATTGGCTTACCTCGCTGAGGAACTTCTTGTCGTCGAGAGAGCCTACAGCCTGCGCGATGTCTGGAGGCATCACAACCCATGCTGTCTCTGACAGGAAGGGGCCAAAGGAAAGATGGTTGACAGTGTGAGAGACATCCATAGTAGCCCAGTTGAACTCATGCCCATCTAGAAGGGAGTAGGAGAGGGAGAGGTAAGAGACCAATCATACAATGCTAGTAAACCCTACCTGAAACTGCCTGCAAGATGATCGATCCAGGAGCTCGTTGCACATGCAGCATCCCAGCGACCTTTCAAACTTTCGTCAGATGGGATCTCGGGAGTGGAAGCACTAGGACGCAGAACACACAGTGACATGGAGCGAGCATGGACAAGATTCTCACCATGCAACCCACTCCGTTGTGACTTTCCTTCTCGCCATCCTGTTCCTTGTCCACCACCCGGGATTTCGGGGCCTGCTCTGCTCTCATGCGCTCGTACACTCTCCCGCAGGCATACCTGGAGGTTCACTTGCTTCATCAGGTGCTCTGCCCATGACACGATGGCGTCGACAGAGCGCTCCCCATGGTACTTCTCGTGGTCCTTATCGAGAGGATCGTCCTGCCACCACCTCGTTACCATCCGCCTGAGGAGGATCGGCCTCGTGAGTCTTCACCTTGCGGAAGACCATGATGGAGGGGAAGGCATCGATGTGGTACTTGGTGCACAACGACTCGGCTTTGTCCGAGGTGCAGTCCACCTTGGCCAGCACCAGTCGCGCGTCGTCCGGGTGGGCCTCCCCAAACTTCTTCGCTGACTTCTCCCACACCGGCTCGAGCTTTTGGCACCAGTGGCACCAGGGGGTGTAGAAGTTGACGACCAAGATCTTTTAAACAGCGTCACCGTCCTCGATCCCCCGAGCGCCCGCCCTACCTCGTGCTCGAAGCGGTGCTTGTCGAAGTCTCCTGCTGTCAGAGTGATCAGCTTCGATTCGCCTTCGTGCGGCGCCTCGTCAATCGTGTGCTTCAGGTTCTTCCTCTCCTTGTGCACCCCGAGCTGCCTCCCGTTCTTGTCCAGGTGCACCTTGGTCACCTTCGAAGAGATGCCTGCGTCGTGGGTCCCCATGAAGTTTGCAGCATCCACACTTGCGTACTCGCACGACAGATGGTTGAAGGTGAAGTTGAAGTTGATCTGCAGCAGGCTGTCTGCTCCTGTCTTCATGTGGCTGTAATGGTCGAGCACGACAGACGTCTCGCTGTTGAGCGCTCTCCACGCAAAGATCTGCGCAGGGCCAGGAATCAACAGGGCACAGAGAGGACCAGCGGGATGAAGACCTGGGCTACGATGAGGTACACCATCAGCACACCGGTCAAGATGGAGATGATGGAGCCAGTGATAGTGCCCTCTGTGAGCTCGGCATTGAGATCGTGCTTGATCTTGCGCCAGCTGCCACCAAAGGATCAGTAAAGGATCGGAGCAAACACTCGCTCGGCTGGGTGGCGGGTGAGGCAGAGGAGGACAGGGACAGGCAAAGGGAAAGAGGGAGAGGAAGAAGGAGCAGGAGCAGGAGGAGCAGGAGGAGTTTTGCCACATTCTACCTCAGCGCCATCTGAGCTAGCGTCGGCATTGCCCGTGACGTTGCAATACAATGTACCCCCGTCCCCACTCATCCACTCATCGCCCTCGCACCCAACCAGTCAACTCAGGACCCGCCTCAGGTCGGTAAATCCGATGGGTGAGAGGAGGGAGGAGGGGCTTCATCCTACAACTGCCACCCTACCCCTTACATGCGACCCGCCACCGTTAGGGAGTGACCACCGTCACGGCAGGAAAGCACCCACCCGTATCGATTGGAAGGACCCCATCCGACGCCTCAGATCTCTGGTGATGAACAAAGAGATAAAAGGATGTCATACTTTTACTAGTGCTCTTCTTATGTTTTTCTTTCTCTTGCCATATTATGAGGGCGTCTCCAAGTTGAGACCCCCCCACAAGTCTCCATTCAAGGACCACCCACCTGTTTCATTCACTTGCCACCCCTACCCCCTTTTCAGAACCACCCTGCACCACCGAGTAAAGTTGGAGTAATAGTACCCCAGATCGCTGGTGGTACGGCCATGGCCGTCCTGCCCCGAATTCCTTCTCTCCCCCTGCCCTCCCCCTCCCTCTCCTCTTCTCCCTTCCTTCCTCCCTCCCTCCCTCCTCCCTCTTTATATCTCATGGTCCTGTCTCCAGTTATCCTTCTCTCGACTTGTATGCCCTCCCTCCCTCCCTCCCTCCCTCCCTCCTTCCGTCCTATCCTTGAACATGCTTGAGTGGTCATGCCCAATGGCTTGCAGCTGATCATATTCCGTACTGGTGTCACGATTTCCAACCTTGGTCTTGACTTTAAGTACTGCTGTACTTATTTTCTCCTTCCTCCTGTAGCCGTTTGTGTGTCTCTCTAGCGCTTCCTAGCTCCTCTGCCCTCGCACTGCACGCTTTCATTTCTTACCACCGTGTTCCCATTGCTGCATAATGATTGTTCATCTCTTTTTCCTCACTTTGCTATACACCTGTGCGTTTATCACTGCATTCACTGCATAAAGCACATTTCTTGCACCTCGACCATTCACTGTCCAGATGCTCGTTCTAAACTTGAAGAACCAATTTCTAAGCACTTTTTTCTTGACTGATGTGGCTTCTGCCCATTTCTTTGGTGCACACAACGCTTTTAACAGCTTTTTGTGATCAGATTTTCGTCTGCTTGCTCGTTAGCTGAGTCTTGGATCCTGCGGAGGGGGTTTGACCACTGTAAGTCTTCAACATGGAAGCCAAGCCGTCACAGAAGCGAGAAGGAATGTCCTTTGGTGAGAGCTCCTTGGACAGTCTTGTTGTGTCCTGCATTGATGAGCGGCAATACAGACGTTCCTGAGCGATACCAAGTGATCAAGAGGTTTCAGCTCCGTTGGATTTCACTGGTTCTTACATTTCATTTCCTGTTTTCAGACTGGGGGAGGGATCCTTTGGTCTTGTAGTCGCAGCCAAGGATGCCGTTGCGGGGAAGCGCGTTGCCATCAAGAAGATCAAGGATGCTGTAGAGGATGAGCAAGATGGGAAGCGGTTGAGACCCCTCGTCTCCTCGCGCACCGTTTGATGTTGCGCTGCTGTGCAGGTTGCTGAGGGAGCTGAAACTCCTTCGCTACTGTCGTGGGCACGAGAACTTCATCATCATCAAGGACATCATCTTGTCCCCCCCGGGCAAAGACTTCAAAGACATCTACATTGTCCGTGATGCCTCGCCATGAAGTGCGGTCTCTCACTGTGTGCTGTCGGATGCCTGCAGGTCACGGACTTGATGGATACGGATTTGCATCGAATCGTTCGTTCACCGCAGCCGCTCTCTGATGATCATGTGGAGTCGATAAAAGAGATTCTCGTTTGGACTTACCTGCTCTACAAGGTCCGATACTTCATATACCAAGTTCTGAGAGGCCTCAAATATATCCACTCTGCGCATGTCATGCACAGGGACTTGAAGGTTGGTAGACTGTGCATCCTCATCTTCAACGGCAGTGACGACCCTATCAGCCCAATAATCTTCTTGTCAATGCAAACTGTGATCTAAAAATCTGTGATCTGGTATGGGGCGATGATGGTGAGTGACTTGCTGATGGTTGTCCTCAGGGACTAGCGAGGCTCTCCGACGGTGATGAATCGTTGATGACCTGCTATGTTGTTACAAGGTCATTGAGACGCATCGATTGTTTCGGGATTTTCATATCATGACAGATGGTACCGAGCGCCGGAGCTCCTCCTGGGGAACAAGCAGTACACGTCTGCCAACATTGAATGCCGAGGAGTGTTTCTCATGCACTGCATTCAGGGATGCGATCGACATGTGGTCAGTTGGCTGCGTCCTGGCAGAATTGCTGGGGAGAAAGCCGCTTTTTCAGGCAATCACATTGTCCCATCCCCTTCTTCTCAAGCTCTTGCAGGGAAAAGACTATGTTGAGATGTTGCAATTAATCATCGGTCTCCATGGAAATCCCAAGAAAACAGATTTGGTGATGCTGGAAATTGTTGAATTCAGTCTGTCTCATTGCAACCATGTTGTAGAAACATATCAGCGAGAAGGCTCAAAGGTTTCTCTCAGACAAAACTCTTTTCCCAGCTTCGAAAAGGTTTTTACCACGGAGCCGTACCCAACCTAAGACGAGCTTTCCGCAGAGTGCGCTGGGCTGACTTGTTCCCGAGGGCAAACACACAAGTACGCGGCTCTATGGGGAGTGGAGTGACAATGTTCTGATGCTACTCCGTCTCAGGCGCTGGACCTGCTCGACAATCTCCTTCAGTTCAACCCAGAGAAGCGTCTCACTGCGGAGCAGGTGAGTGAGACTTGGTGCTCACCAGGTTCTCAACTCGAAGACAGGCGCTCGCACATCCTTACATGCACGAGCTGCATGATGTTGATGATGAGCCTTCGGTAAGGAGGCGGCGGCAAGTTTCAATCACGTCAGAGTCACGAACTTTTGCTCAGGCCCCAGACATTTTCGACTTCAGCTTTGAGCGTCAGAAGGTGAGGCGAAGCTGACGGCTACACTTTCCTTGCGCGCGCCTCTGACACGATCATCCTACGGCAGCTCTCTGTAGCTCAGATCCGGGAGATAGTCGTGCAAGAAAGCCTCCTCTTCTCTAACCTGGACAACAAGGACCTGGCAGTGCCGATGCAGTCGGATGTGACAGCGAGACGTTGAGGCTCTTGCATCATACGCAAAGAGGCATCTTAGGCTAAGCTCGATTCTTTGTTTTATTATTTTACATTTTTTCTCTGTCAAAGCTAACTAGCTCTGTCAAAGCTAAAGTCCGTGCATGCTGCGATCCATTCCGAGATGTTCGCTGTGTCAAAGTGTGTCAGACCAGAGATGCGAGCGCGTGAGAGGGAACCACCTGTCTTCCTCGCGCTTGCTCGGGAAGCCGTTGAACTCAGCGGATTGTCGGTATTGGACAGGTTCCTCATCCGTATTGCTCTAGGTCAGACAGTCAGTCACCATTCACCTACGAAGGGAGAGAGATCTGACCCTCTTCCATCTCTGCCGCAGCTTCTGAAACCAGGTCCTCTTGCCGAAACCTTTCTCAGCCTTCGGAAGCGATCTGCCGCCAAGCTCAACACCCTCTCACGACACGTCAAACAGCATACGGAGATGTACTGAACATCAGCTCTCCACTGAAGAGGCTGTTGGCATAGGCACACCATGACTCCCTAACATTCGCATCAACCGCACAGCAACAAGCGAGGGTACCGACACTCACCCGTGGTTGGGTTGTAGTTGCATTACGAGGTTGTGCTGTTCTTTCGCTTCCTCTGGACAACCTTGCAGAACGAGTAGAGCAGAGAAATGATCCAAAGTTCGGACATGCTGCGCATCAAGGGCTAGAGATTGTTGATAGAGCTCCTTCGCCCTGGCAAGATCTTCCCACACACTTTGATGCAGCAGCCCCAGATACGCCAGTGAATTGCACCTTATCTCCCGATCGCATCCAAGTTCCAGCGCCTTTCCATAATACTTGGCTGCTGCCTCATAGGCGTTGCACTCGTGTTCTAACCTCGCGAGGTTGTAAAGTGTTCTGTACATATTCGGTTGAATCGCGAGTGAGCGCACATACAGGCATCGAGCTACATCAAACATTCCCCGTTTGTGATTCAGAATCGCAAGGCCATGCAATGCTTTGATGTTATCTTGGTCGGCTTTTAAGATTTTTGTGTAAATATTGCTGGCAGCGTCCAAGTTTTTCTCCTGCATGAAGCGTGAAGCATGCAGGCAGAGCTTGTCTGCGTTTGCTTTCAGCTCTTCCTTGTCCTCGGAGTCACCGAGGAGACTCAAGAGGCTTTTGCTTGATGGACTGTGTGGACCCACCATGCCGGGTTTGATGTTTTCCAAGTCTCCAGGTGATTCGCTCATAGCACAGGAATGTTGCTGGCATTCAATTGAGGGAGCCCCACCCTACAAGTCCTTCCTGTCCCAGAAAGGTTTCAGAAGCTGTTACAAGTCAATGAAAGAATCCCCAACGCTTGCTCGCTCGTTGGTTGACTCTCCCTCTCTCTGATCAACTTGTTTGTCTCCCCCCCCCTTAATATCGCATCGCTTTGAACTTCTTCTCTGTCTGTCGGAATCAATGCAGTAGGCATCTACGTATCTACGTATGTACGGAACTATCTATGCATCTACCTGCCTCCCTCCCTCCCTCCCTCCCTCCCTCCACTCCACTCCACTCCACCACCTACTCTGCGTCCTACAAGATGCGCCTGTTTTTAACATAGGTTCTTAGTGTTCAAATGTTTCTTTTATCTTTCAAATTCTCTCCAAGAAATTCAGTTCAGCCCCACCCCAAAGGCCGGAGGAACAAGCATGCTCGGATAAACCTTTTCGACGTAACCTAGTAGCCTCATTGATGAGTGAAGACTTCCTCTGGTCTCCCATCATCTCAGATGCCCGGCTGTTCACTGTGAACCAGCGGCTCACTCAGTTGCCGCGCCACCTCGCCGGAACTCAGTGAGCCTGAGCGACCGTACGGTAGAGTCAGTGACTACTAAGCCGCCCCCGGCCGGGCTGGGCCCGGCCCGGCCGGGCGCGGCGCGGCCGGGCAGCCGGGCGGGTCCCGCCGGCCCGATCACCGCACCGTCACTGCACCCGGGTTCCGCGTCACGGTCCCGGAATCATGAGGAGTCCGGCCGGGCGGCCGCGGAGTCCGGCCGGGCGGCGGCCGCGGCGGCGGCCGCGCGGGGGGGGTGGCCCTGCGGCACTTCAGTACGCCGGTACCGGCGGTCCGTCGCCGGCCTCACTGCGCCGCCGCGGCCGACCGTCGCCGGGCTCGGACTCGCCGAGACCGTACGGTCCTGAGCGCCCTGGCACGCCCTGAGCAGTGTCCGTGACGGTCCGGGTGACTGCGGCCCCCGGCCGCCCAGGGCAGGGCATCATCGGGTGTCTCAGCCTTCCTGAGGGCCGTGCCACGGCCGCCCGGGGCGCGCGCGGCGGCCCTTCCGAACTTCCCGGCGAAGTCACGCGGCCACGGTTCGGTCCCCCGGCCCGGGCCGGCGGGGCCGGATCGGGCCCCGGCCGGGGCCCCGCGGTTTGTGCCAGGCCGCCCTGAGGGCGCGGAGGCCGGGCCGCGGTCCTGACTCCCGGTCGCGGCCGGGCCGCTGACTGGGTGCCTCGGACGGTGCAGTAGTAACGGCCGCGCCGGGTGGGCGGGACCTGGGGCGCGGCGGGACATAGGGGGTGGGTACGAGGAGGGATGTGGCCACCTTCCCAAAAGGGAAAGAAAACTCTCCGCCCCCCCGCTCCCCCCCATTCCCCGCTCGGCCCTTCCTCCACCGCCCCTCCCCCCACCCCTCCTCCTCCTCCCTTGCCGTCAGATCTATCCCTTTATCTTCCCTTGACGCGGCAAGGCAGCTCACCACCAGTCTCATACAATCCAGGACGCCATGTCGTCAAACCTGTCTTCCCCTGTTAAAGGCGCCTCCTCTGAGGTTGCGGCGACGAGCTCTCCTGCTGCTGTCAACGCCACGAGCTCACCAGCAGTCCCTAACACTCCATACTCTGCTCCTAGAACACCTGGAAGTGTTGCTGGCGTTCCGAGGACCCCCAGGAGCAACAGCGCGAGAAGGAGTGCGTCTGTACAGCCCAGCCCTTCTCGGTCCGATCTTGGCAGAAGAGGACAGCAGATCAGGGCGGATGCGGGCATCGATGCCACATCTGAGAATCCTAGAACATATATCTGGGGCACAAAGTGAGAGCATGTTTGATGTTGTTGCTCCATGCTGACATCCCTCGCCAGTATTGAGGTGCAGGCAACTAAAGAGGCTGCGAGGAGATTCTTCACGCAGTACAAGCGACCCGGATCAACAGAAAATCTTTATATCCAACTCTTGCAGCAGGTCCTTTGTGCTCTGCTCCATCTCCACTGGATGCTGACTCTGACCTCTAGGCTCATGCACGCAAGACATTTTACATCAACTTAGATTGCAGACATGTCTTCTCTTTCGACGGCTCGCTCTACGACAAGCTTGTACAATACCCAACGGTGAGCTGGACATTCGAGCTCTCACCAGCGACTGATGGCGTCTCACAGGAAACTATCACCATCTTCGACGTGGTCATGAGCGAACTGCATGCGGAATTGACCGCGGACGACCCCGACGCTTCGTCCCTCTCGATGCAAGTCCGCACGTTCAACCTCATCGACACGGCCGTCATGAGGAACCTGAACCCATCGGACGTGGACAAGCTCGTCTGCCTCAAGGGCATGATCATCAGGACCAGCGCTGTGGTCCCGGACCTTCAGCGAGGGTACTTCGAATGCCTCACCTGCCAGGCAGCGGAGGAGGTGGACATCATGAATGGCCGTATCCAAGAGCCCACGAGCTGCAAGTACTGTAAGGCGTCGAACTCGATGGAGCTCAGGCACAACCGCTGCCTCTTCAAGGACAAGCAGCTGGTGAGGCTGCAGGAAAACCCGGAGGACATCCCACAGGGCGAGACTCCGATGACTGTCAACCTCTGCGTGTTTGAGGACCTTGTGGACGCGGCGAAGCCAGGAGACAGGATGGAGGTCACTGGCATCTATCGCGCGCAGCCAATTCGCACGCAGAGCAGGACGAGGACGTTGAAGTCAGTGTACAAGACGTACATCGACGTGATCCACTTCAAGCGGACGGAGAAGTCGAGGATGGGAGATTCTTCGTTTTCCACGGACGAGCTGCAGGAGGACAACCGCCTTGAGAAGGAGATCGAGCAGAGAGTGAGCAGCAACCTCCCTCCTCCCTCCCTCCGTCCCTCCTCCTCCCTCCCTCCCGCCTCTGACTTGCTGCCTCCTGCAGAAACAACGTGCGTTGAAGCTCGCGGCGGACCCTAACATCTACCAGAAGCTCATCGACTCCTTCGCTCCAAGCATCTACGAGATGGATGATGTCAAGAAGGGCCTCCTCTGCCAGCTCTTCGGCGGTAGCAACAAGTCCTGCAAGGGCGCCTCCTCCGGCCGCTTCCGAGGAGACATCAACGTCCTCCTCGTAGGAGACCCCGGCGTTTCCAAGTCCCAGCTCCTCCAGTACGTCCACAAGATCGCCCCCAGGGGGATCTACACGTCGGGTAAGGGAAGCTCGGCAGTGGGTCTGACGGCCTACGTGAAGAAGGACCCGGAGACTAAGGACATCGTACTCGAGAGCGGGGCCCTGGTGCTCAGCGACCGAGGCATCTGCTGCATCGACGAGTTCGACAAGATGTCTGAGTCAGCGCGTGCGATCCTGCACGAGGCGATGGAGCAGCAGACTATCTCGGTGGCCAAGGCAGGGATCATCTGCAGCCTCAACGCCAGGACCTCCATCCTTGCGGCCGCCAACCCCATCCAGAGCAGGTACAACCCGCAGCTCTCCGTGGTGGAGAACATGAATCTTCCTCCCACGCTGCTGTCAAGGTTCGATCTCATCTACCTGGTCCTGGACCAGCCGAACCCAACGACGGACAGGAGGCTGGCCAAGCATCTGGTGTCGCTCTACCTCAAGAACCCTCCTCGCCTCGCCCAGTCCATCCTCTCCCTCGAGGAGTTCGCGGAGTTCGTGTCCTACGCCAGGAACGAGTGCCATCCTGTCCTCAACGACGATGCCAAGACGGCGCTCATCGACGGCTACGTGCAGATGCGGCGCATGGCCACGAGCAGGAACACCATCACCGCCACCCCCCGTCAGCTCGAGTCCATCATCCGCCTAGCAGAGGCGCACGCCAAGATGCGCCTGGCTAATGAAGTGGAGACGATCGACGTGGAGGAGGCGATGAGGCTGCTCAGAGTGGCGACCCAGAGCGCAGCAACGGACCCGAGGACGGGAAGGATCGATATGGACTTGATCAACACCGGACGCAGCGCCTCCTCCCGCGTCCGTATCGCCCAGCTGGTCAACATGCTCAAGCAGAAGCTCGTCGAGGTGAGGACGCTCTCCCTTGCTTGTGCTGCTTGCTGACGTTTTCTGGCAGCGGCTGGCAACGGGGACGATGAGTTTCCAGTCGCTGGTGGAGATGGTGCAGGAGGAGAGCTCTGTGGTGAGCGACTCTTCCTCCTCCTCCTCCTCCTCCTCCTCCCCTCCTTGTCCTCTTCTCCTCTTTTGCTTCTCCTCCTTTCCTTTTTTCTCTTCTCGTTTTATGGAAGCGCCCTCCTCTCTTTCCATCCCTTGTCTCTTCTCTTCCCTCTCATCCCCTGCTCTCACATCAGCTCTCGCCCCTCGCTCGAGCCACAGCAACTGACTGCTGGAGCAGGAGATCTCCACCCAGGAACTGCAGGCTGCTATCCGCCAGCTCGCAGACGAGGATGCGGTTGTAACTTCCGGGCATGGCCACCACATGACTCTTGCAAGAGCGCGATAAGGAGGAGGAGGAGGCGTTAGTGTTGATTTACCGGTTGCGTTAAAGTAGGGATGAGAAACAAATGAATTCAAACTCGTGAATCTTTCTTATACACGTGGAAAACTGATTCCCCTCTCCTCCTCCTCCTTCCCCTCCCCCTCATTTCTCAGGGAGCTCAGCAGCCGGACGACTTCCCCTCCCCCAGCCACCCCCCGCCCCTCTACTCTCCTCTCTCCTTCCCCGACAGTCCAAACGATTGAAATGTTACACGTGACTAGCTCGTCACGGAGTGTTGCTTCTTGCTGTCCCTCAGCTCCCTTTGCAGGTCCTCCACCTTCCTCTTGTCCTTCCCCACCTCCACCCTCCTCCTCAGCTGCACCAGCCACTCCCGCGCGATCACGATGCCTACTAGCCACATGGTGACCAGCACGACCGTGCACAGAGCCGCGACTGTCCGCGATCCCTTCATCTTGGCGATCACCAGCCGCCCTGCGTTCCGCTCGTCCTCCTTTGCCTCCAGCCCCTCTCTCTCTAGGAAGTTCTTCACCGCGGGCTTCAGCACAGACTGCCGGCCGGGCGAGTGCTTTCCCTGCCCGGTAACCACCGTCACATTCTTGCCCGGCGGGTTGAACGACAGGCCGTACTCGAGCGCCAGGACCGACGCGTTGGGGGACATGCTGTGCAGGTCGATGTACAGGCTGCCGTCCTCCCCCGCCCGCATGCAGGACGAGAAGGGAACGATCTTCTCCTCTAACCCAAGCGTGAACCACCTCATCGCTCCCTTCCCATCCCCCTTCGCCATGTGCCCGTCGATGAGCGCGTTGAGGACAGTCGGCCCCAGCTGGCAGCCATTCCTCCTCATCTCCTCGAACTTCCCCCCCGCCTCCTCCAGCCTCCCCGCCAGGCACAAGGCGAAGATGACGGAGGTGTAGACGTGAGACGTCAACGGCCCCCGCCTCCTCTTCAGCTCCTCGAACAGAGCCAGGGCCTTGTCCGTCTCTCCCGCACGCCCATGGGTGGCAATGAGGATCGAGATGGTACTCCCGTCCGGTGCAGCGCCTCCCCCCAGCTCCCACTTCCTCATCAAGTCCATCTCTGGGAAGTTCTTTTGCCCCCCGTCCTCCTGCTGCCCCTCCTGACTCGTCGGCGGCTGCGGTGGACTCCCCGGCTGCGGTCCTTCCCGGTCTCCACTCAAGTGCTTCTCCTTGGCATGGAAGTTCTCGTCGCACACAAGAAAGTCCAGAATCAACCTAAGGACACAAAGCTTCAATGAAAAGATCATGGTTGTATTGCATCGTCTGCTCCTGCTCCTGCTCCTGCTCCTGCTCCTGCTCCTGCTCCTGCTCCTGCTCCTGCTCCTCCCTCTTCTAATCCTGAACTCTCTCCTTCTTCCCAAATCCCAGCTTCTACCGCTTGTCTTCTGTCCGAACTTCCCTCCGACTCCCCAGCCCTCCTTTCCTTACCTTGGCTCGAACTGCGAGTCTATTCCGAAGTTGTGCATGTTTGAAATAAGGTTGTACATGTTTTGCATCTTTCCGCTCCTTGATAGAGTTCGCATGATCGCGTTAAATGCTCTCTTGTCCAACATGATCTGAAATAACCAACATCAACATCAACATCTTCACCGTCGTCATCGACAGTAAAATTGTCATCGACAGTAAAATTTTCATCCACAACACATCCTTCATCATCGTCGTCATCATCATTTTCATCGGCATCATCATCTTCGTCATCGTCTCCTCCTTCTCTATCTCTCCATCCATCGCAACAACAGAAACAGAGCAAGAACAGGAGCACTCACCCGCTCGCTGTCCATCTCCTCGAGGATAGCCTTCACTTCCTCGAACATGCGGAGGTTCGCGTACCTGTCGATGAGAGGAGTGTAGGTCTGGGCAGTTGCATGCAGCCCTGCCTGCTTGACCTCCCTGATTGTCATCCTCGCCTCATACAGCTTGTTCAGTCGAGTGAACATGTACACTGCTGAGTTGTACAGTACGAGATCTGGCTTCGGGTCTCTGCGCTTGAACGTGTTCCAGAACTTCTCTGCTTCGGAGTAGCCATGGTTGCGGCAGAAGGCGTAGATGACGATCGAACGCAGATGATTGTCTCGGAGGCTGTCCCTAGCCTCCAGCTCCTCAACGATCTGACGGACTTCCTGCATTTTCCCCTCCTCCTGGTACTTCTTGAGCATCAGCGTGTACGTTGCCGTGGTCGGGGCGATCCCTCTCATCAGCATGCCCTGCATGAGCTCCTCTGCTTCACTGGCAGACGATGACTTGGATATCATCTCCGTGTAATGGTACACGTCCGCCTTGCCTTGCAAGCTGATAGACCGGAAGAATTGCATGCATTCGTGAGAGGAGAGCTGCTTCAGCTTCATCATGATCTGTTTGGACTCCGCGATCCTCCTCCTCTCCTCCTCCCCCTGCCTCCTCTCCTTCCCTTGCAGCCCGTCGGGTGCCTCAGCACGTGCGGCGCTCCCAGAGGTCATGGACCTCCACATAGAGCGCGCGAGCCAGAGTCTGCCCATGACGGTCTTTCCTCTTGAAGCCATGAGCGACGCCTACGTTACCTTCTCGCCTTCAACCTCCTCTCCCCCTCCTCCTCTCCCCCTCTTCCTCCTCCTTCTATGCCCCCCCTCGTCGCCTTCCTCGCATTCCTGCACTGAAGTACCGTGGAGCGGAATCGGACCACCCCTTTCAACTACACCCCAAATAAAAAATTGACTACCGGTGTTAAAAAAAGATTTAATCAACAATCACCCCTCCTTTTATCTTGAAAATTGATTCATAGGAGGATTGCTTGCACAGCACTAGGGGGGTCATGACCCCCACCTACACTCCGTACCCTTCCTCCAAATTCTTTCCCGTCCTCCCAAACTCGAATCCTACTCTACCACCACATTCTCTTCCTCTCTCCTCCTCCTCACTCCTCCTCTCTCCTCCTCTCCTCCTCTCTCTTGTTCCTTCCGATCCTTCTTTCTAACCCAGAATCGCACATCATCGTCCTCTTCCCCGTCTCCCTCACCCGTAATATTTGCTGTCCCCGCCCCATCCTGTTCCTCTTCCTCTCCTCTAGTGCTATACGGATCCAGCTCTTTCCTCTACATCCTCCATCTTCCTCGTCACTTCCTGCAGAATCGTTGCCAGTAACATCGCCATCTTTGCGCTTGCATGCTCGCTGATCGTCGTCCTCCCTCAATCCCCTGACCTCCACGTATAATTCACTTTCTTCATCCCACGTTTGCCCTCTTTTTCTTACCTCCCACTGCTTGCGTCCTCTCTGTCCTACATCGGTCCCTTGCCATGAACCCCTTTGACCTCGTCCCAAGCGCGTGCACCCCCCCCCTCCCCCCCCCTCTCCGTATTTTCACTGTAACACGTACCCTGAAATCCACCTTCTCATGATGCATTTCACCTCCATCCCTCTTTGTCCCCTCTTATTTCTTACGCTTCCCACCTTCGAATCCTCCAGGGTCTGCCCCCGCCCCCCCGCCAACCAAGCTCCTTCCTTCATCCATTCCACATGTTACAGTGCTCTTGAGGCCAACCTGGCCAAGGGAACCTCATTTCCTTCTTCTCTTCGCTCCTTCCCCATCCTCGAGCTCCTTGACTCTGAACGATTTGTTCACCTGCTGACATCCTCCTTGCTCCGGAGCAGTCAGATCCAACAACCCAGCAAGACCCCAGCAGGCTCACAGCAGACCATGACCTTGTGATCGTAACTCCGACATGCTGCTGGACTTGAAATCAAGTAGCCTCCCTGCCTTGGCTGTTTGGGAGGCCCTGAGTTGCGTGCCAGCTTCTGAGATCCTGATCTCCTTCGCGCTATGGTGGATGCTCTACCTTGGCAGCAAGCTTGCACTCAGGTTGTCAGGTTGCTGTGGTTGTAATGCACCTTGACCCCCCTGCCCTCGGACAGGAATTTCCCAGTGTATGTCTCCTGGGATGCGGTGACCCAATACAAAGCAAGAGGGCTCGTGCCATCTACAGGTTTGACCCGCACGTCGAGGAGGCTCTGGGTTGAAATGTCTTGCCGCTTCTTCAGTCTTCCTCCTCTTGATCGTTCCTTCTTCGATCTGGGCGATCGCCTACGATGATGTCAGTGACTTGACAACTTGCTGATGGCTGGGACATTCTGATGCTCTCGGGATGGCAGGAGCTCAAGCACATGCGCGTGACGGGGAAGACGGAGCTGTCGAACTCGATCATTGCGGTGGCGGCTGGCTACTTCATGTACGACAGTCTCATCGTGTTCTGGCACCTGAAGCATGATGGGGTGAGACCATCATGTCGGACCTGCGACGATCCTTTGATGCCTTGCTGTTTCCTCTTCTTCCCATCAGGTCGCGTACCTGGTCCACGGAGTCCTCTGCATGTTCACTTACCTCATCGCTGTCATGTACCAAGTTTATCAGGTAGCCGAGCCCGTCGCTCTCCCTCCTGCAGACTGCAGGGGCTGACTCTGGTCGTGGCTGTTCAGTTCTACGGGCCTGTCTTCCTCTTGTTTGAATCCACCACTCTGTTTGTCAACGCCCGATGGTGAGGCGTCCACCACCACCCGCACCACCACCACCTCCTCCTCCTCCTACATCACCACTGCTACCACCACATCCTCTCCCTCTTCAAGACCTCAGAACCCTCCAGGCTGCTCTACGAGTTGAAGATGACAAGCACGAGCCTCTACTTCTACAATGGTGATGCAAGAACCTGGTGCGGCGTCCTCGGAGTCGCTTACTGTCGCTAGGTCTTGCTCTCCTGCTCTCCTGGATTTTCGTGAGGCTCGTCTTCGGATACACCTACTCCTACTTCTTCTGGATGGACACGGTATGCCCTTTTCCTCCTCCCCACCCCCAACGTGTATAGAGATGTGACCGGCTGATTGCAGCTCGACGCTCACAGCAAGAAGAATCTTGACTTCTTCATTATCCTCTGGTTCGCTTCCCCACCATCCCTGGAGCTCCACCAACCCCGTGCTGCAGGTACACGACAGCCAACATCGGGCTCAATTTCCTCAACACCATCTGGTTCTTCAAGATTCTCAGGGTGCGGCTCACCTTGACCTCCCCTGGCTCCTTGACGTGTCTTGCACAGGGAGCTCTACGGGCCCTTCGGGGCAAGAAGGCTTGAAGGGTTTCTTGTAAGGCGGCGTTGGATTCAAGAGAAAGATTTTGTAAATGAAAGAGAATCAAGGGAAAATGATGAAGGGTCGCAAGACTCGGGCATGTAGAAGGCAAGGTAAAAGCACTATCACAAAAGTCTTCACGCCATGGCAGCAAGCTCTGCTTCCAGAGTTTTGATCTCCTGCTCAACTGCAGCTTGACTTGCGATCTTCTCCGCCTGCTCCTGGTTGGGAGTGAGTTCACCCTTGTCGACTTTGCCCTTGAGCTCATCAATCTGCTTGAGCTTCTTCTTGAGATTTCGGATCTTGCAACCAAACTCAGTCGCCATGGACAACAGATCGATCGTCCTCTTCTCACCCTCTTCTGGAGAGCTTCCTTGGGATCCATCGGGGCCTCCTCCGTCTTGGCTGCCTCCGCCTTCAAGCTCACCTTCTCCACTCCTTCTGCTACCTCATCGACACTCGAGCCGGCCTTGGCAGCCTCCTCCTTCCTCTTCTTCCGGTTCTCGTTCCTCCGTTGATGCTGGCTCTTGGGTTTCTGCTGGGAGGCGGCGAAGGCTTCAGGGTCCATGCCGGGCACAAACCCAGGGATCTGCTCGTCCCTCCATCTGCGATACTTGAGCAACCAGCACAATGCCCGACAACGTCAGGGTCTCACTTGGATCCCCTCGTTTCGAACTTCTTCACCTCGTCCGGAGGGACGTACCCTTTCTTCACCTTCACCTCCTTGCGCCAGGTCCCATCGGGACGCTGAGAGGCTGGGATGACCTGCCACAGGAAGGATCACACTAGTCCCATTAACGACCATCGGGAAGCAGCATGCGCATTTCAACGTGTTCGAGAACCAAAGACATGAAGGGACAGTGGCAGTGTGCCGAATGATGTTGGTGGAGCAGGAGAGTGATCATGGCAAGCGTTCCTGATTGGATATGTGCTCGCTATTCCATTGCAAATTGCTCACATCTCAACCACCTTGGTGAATGCAACTATCCTGTACTAGCACGACCAAATTTCTTCAGCGATATCATACTCGTCAAAACATTCTCATATCCCACGATCTTGTCGGCATCCTGAAATTCTCCACTCTCAATGGTATGGAGCATCTTGGTTTATAAAACAAATGATGGGTCGCCGTGTCCCATTCAACTCTTGCACCCACCAAACTCTGTTGAGATCTCGGTTATCCTTATCTTCAACTTCTCTACCTTCTTCTGAAGGACACATCTCTCTTAACAACCTCGCTTCACTCTCTCCTCCCCTCCTCTCCCGAACTCACATCATATTTGTCGTCGTCTGCCATTACAGAGCTGCTGGTCACGTGGCACCTTGCCGGGGCGCTGAGATGGGATGTGGTCTAGACTCAGGGCCGGGCCCGGCCGGGGGCCCGGCCGCGCTATCCGAAGGCTTGCCGCTGAGTGCCAAAGCCCCCGGCCCAGTCCGAGCCTCACTGTCAGGCTGGCACTGCCGCACCCGCCGGGTGAACTCGGGACCCGTAACGCCGTCACGGTGCCAGGGGCGGCCGGAAACTGCTAGGGGATTAGCCCGGCGCCGCCGGCCGCCGCAGTATGCGTCCCAGGCTCAGTGTCATTCCTTCGCCGGTGGCCCGTGTCAGTTAACTGAGTTTGCTCAATCGATAGGACAGCAGCCTGATGAGAGTAGGCTCTCCCGGCTTGCTGTCTTTTCTCTTCCGAGTCACTGAGTCTCGCCGCGCCATATGCCATACGGCCCGGCCGGGCGCGCGGCGCCGGCGCCGCCGCCCGGCGTCCGATCGGCCGGGCCCGGCCCGGGCCTGCCGGCGCGGCCAGTGCGCCGCGATCGGACTGAGCCCAAGTTACTACGGTGCCGTCTCAGTCCTCAGCCGATTGTCCTCGTACTGATTTTTAACTTAACTTTGAGTAAAGCTCGAAATTTATGGGGTGGGGTGGTTCGGTTTGAATGCGCGTGTAAAAACTTGGCTATCTGCGGCAGATCGTTGGAGGCGACGGCGATGAGACTTGCGAGGAAGGGAGGAGGAGGAAGGGAGGAGGAGGATAAGTTCACCTGCTAGCACAGAGCTCTTCTCCCGCCTCCTCTGCCTCCTGCCTCATCCGTGAGCGAGCAACATCATGGACGACTCGTGCAACATGGTCGAGAACTCCAGCAGAACCATCGTGGTAGCAAGGATCAGACCGCTGAGTACGTGCGAGAAGGAGAAGGGAATGAGACCCTCCATCAGCCCCTTAGACTCGCAGCGGGTCCAGTTGCTGCAGAAGCCCTCTGCTCGTCGACGCTCTCAGGACTCAATCAAGGAGGACGGGGTTTACCACTTCGACCGGGTTTTCGACTCCGACGTGTCGCAGCAGCGGTTCTACGAGGAGGTCGGCGCTCCTGCTCTCTCGGCCGCCATGAACGGCATGAGCTCGTGGATCATCGCCTACGGCATGATAGGTAGCGGCAAGACCTTCTCCATCACGGGGACGCCCCTCGATCCGGGGATATGCACGCGGCTGTTCAACGACGTTTTCGAGCGGAGCAGGAGCAGGAGCTGCCTGCAGTGCGACGTGACGGTCTCGGTGTCCTACTTCGAGATCCACAACGACAAGGCGCGGGACCTTGTGAAGGGCTTCACACCCTTCTCCTCCGACGGCAGGGAGAAGCTTACAGCCAGCCGAACCAACCATGAGCTCGTCAAGGGCCTGAGCGAGCACGTGTGCAAGTGCCCGCAGGTGAAGGATGAGGACGAGGAGGAGGATGGGGATGAGAGAGCGAGGAGAGGGGGAAGTGAGAGGAGGAAGGGAAGGGGAGGAGCGGGGGGAGGGGAGAGAGAGCTAAGGAATTGGGCGGTCTAACGCCGACTGTTGCGTGCAGGATATGATGAAGTTCAAGGAGGCCGGGGATTCCATCAGGAAGAAATCGTTCCATCGCCTGAACCCCAGGAGCTCCCGCTCTCACACCGTCTTCTCCATCCACTTCGAGGTAGCCAAGAGGGGAGCCTCCGGGAGGCAAGACCGGGGCCCGGCCTGCGGGGAGGTTTCGCAGGGGAGCCTGCACCTGGTGGACCTTGCTGGCTTCGAGGACTTCTCAGAGTCCTCGTTCGGGGACATGGAGGAAGAGCAGCTGCTGGAAACAGCCGCCATCAACAAGAGCATCGGGGCTCTGAGAATCGTGCTCAACAAGCTCGCCTCCAGGCAAAGATGCCACGTCCCCTACGAGAGCTGCCTGCTGACCAAAGTCTTGCAAGTGAGAGAGGAGGAGGATGCAAGCTCTGCTGTCCCTCGGCCCTCCTGACCTGACAGCAGGGCGCCTTCGGCGACAACTCTTGTACCACGCTGATTGCCAACCTCACCCCGAATGGTAGGACATGGAAATTTGTGCTTCTCCCCTCCCTCCCCTCCTCTGCATGGCAGTCCGCTGCAAGGCCAACCTAATGTCCCATCACGTCAGGAGCGCACGAGAGCGACACAGTGGAGACGATGAAGCTGGCGGAGAGAGCGAAGGAGATCCGCAAGAAACAGTCGAGGAGGACGAGCATGCTGCTCCGCCTTCGCCAGCTCCTCCTCCTGCACAAGTCCAGTAGAGTCGTCATCTCCGACCTCTCAGCTCAGCTCGTCGAGGCAAAGAAGAAGCAGGACGAGAGGTGGAAGAGCCTTGAAAATCAGCTGGATGCCGAGAAGGAGAAGTTTCAGAGGTTGGCGGGCACGCTGGAACAGGAGCGACAGGTCAGTGAGGGCATACTTTCCTCCTCTTCCTCTTCCTCTTCCTCTTCTTTCTCCTTTTCTTCTCCTTTTCCTCCGCATCCCCCCCCCGCGTTTACTCGTCTTCCTTTCTTTGACGTCAGCACATGGCTGAGCTTGTTGGCCAGGTGATGAAACGGGAGCTGGAGAGTCACCTGCGGCAGAGGAGCGAAGCTGTGGAGACCTGCGATGTCCGGCAAACCTCCCTGGCAAGGAAAAGGATCTCAGAGATCGTAGAGAACCTCGTCGACGGGATCCCCATGTTCAAGGAGCGGGTGAGAGGAGACAAGGGGGAGGGGAGGTGGGCAAGTGGGAGGGAGGTGGTTGGGAAGCAGACGAGGAGACGAGGATGCAGCTGATGAATCGTGGGCAGAGGGATGAGAGGAACTTGCATGGGATGGAGGAGGAGATCAACACCGCGAGGAAGTTGTTTGAAGCAGGTGGAACAGAGGGTCTTAGTCTCGCTCACCTTCTCTTCTCTTCTCTTCTCTTCGCGTTTCGTCACCTCTTCTTTCATTTCCTTGTCTTTTCATGTCTCCTCTCTCCCCTGCTCCTCCTCCCTCCCTTCATGACTGATCCATCCTTCAGGCCGAACGAAGATCTCCTCCTGCAAATCTTCTCTCTTCTATGACTTGCGCCTCCTCAACGATGAGCAAACATCTCGAGACAAGAAGGTCTGAAGACAGAGATGAGAGAGATGGCAGAGACACATGGGAGGCACGGCAACAACGAAGAAGAAAAGGAGCTAATGAGAAGTATTCTGCAGGAGCAGGAGCAGGAGCAGGAGCAGGAGCAGGAGCAGGAGCAGGAGCAGGAGCAGGAGCAGGAGCAGGAGCAGGAGCAGGAGCAGGAGCAGGAGCAGGAGCAGATAGAGAGGGTACAGAAACAGGACCATGGGTAGGAGCAGGAGGCAGGAGGCAGGAGGCAGGAGGCAGGAGGCAGGAGGCAGGGACAAGAGTTGTCGGGAGGAAGGAGAGAAGGGAGGGCTGCACATAAAGTCGGTCGAGCATGCATCTGACTTCAGACCTCCCGCAGGTCAAATGCCTTGCTATCGCTCACGGCAGGGCTGTGGAGCTGCTAGAGCACGAGGGGAGCATGCGGGCCCACAAGGATCGAGCGGTGGAGATGTCGAAGAGGATGGAAGAAACGATCGCTGCCGTCATCGACGACCTCGCCCTCCTCCCCTGGGACTCCCCTCCTCCCCTCCTCCAGCGCTTCGTTGCCTGGGAGGACCTGGACTACTGCAGGACAAGGCTGCAGCGGCTGAGGGCGGCGCTGCTGGAGCTCTCGACGTCCTCGTGCTTGAGCGAGCAGGAGCTGGTTGCTCTTGACGAGGCGTTGAACTCTTCCGGGCTGACGAGGGGCGGGAAGGAGGACAGGAGGAGGCGGCTGGCTCTGATCGAGGGACCGCAAGGCCAGGGTAAGCTCGAGCTGGTGGTAGAGAGCCTGAGAACGACCCTGGAGGAGATGAAGGGAGGAAGAGAGGAGGAGGACCGCGAGGAGGACAGGAGGAGGCTGAGGGAGGAGGTGCAGGCGTACAGGAAGGCCAACGAGGAGCTTGAGGCTTCTTTGATGGAGGAGAGGAGAAGGAGGGAAGAGGCAGAGCGATCGGTGGCAGAGCTGAGGGAGATGAAGCTGCTTCCCTCCTCCAAGGACTCCGCCTGCTCTCCTCTCCCCCCCTCTGCAGGAGAGGGGAGGGAGGAACTGGGACGTTGCTCCCCGGACCGTAGCGAGCAACTGCAACATGATCTCCTCCTGCTGTCCCGCAAGCTGGAGGACGCGCAAGCTGACCTGGCCTGTGCCAACTGCGACCTGCTCGTGTCCAAGGGAAGGGTGAAACAACTCGAGGCTCAGCTAGTAGATGTGTGTATTTCCACTCTCTTTTACCCCATTCTCTCCTCCCCTCCCCCTCCCCCTCTCCTCTCCTCCTCTCCTCTCCCCTCCTCTCCTGTATCTGACCCTCCCTATCCCTCCTCTCTCTCTCATCTGATTCTCTTTGTCCTGCTGACGGTCGACGGTAGGAGCGGAGATCCTTCGAGCTGGAGCTTTCGAACAAGCAGAAGACGGTCGATGATCTGACGTGCAGACTGGACCAGTTGCAGTCATCTTCTCCCCTTGCTCTAGTAGAGGAGGAGGAGGAGGAGAACGAAACTTCCGACAGAAGAGGGGCAGGAAAGGGCATGGCGAGGCAGGAGGAAGATGAGGGCGCAAGGAGGGAGGAAGAGGAGCAGGAGGAGGATCTTCCTGTCTTCAAGGAGGTGTTCCAGGCAGCGGCCGACCTGACGGTGGAGCACGTCAAGTTTTTGAGCTCGGAGAGCAGCGAGCAGGCGATGAGCAGGAGGATGTGTGACCTGATCGAGCGCCTCACCGTCGCCTCCTCCTTCTCCTCGAGCCTCGTGAAGAAGCTGCGGGCTGCCGAGCTGACCGTCTCCTCCCTCCGACAGGAGGCAGCAAGCGGCGGGGTGATGGAGAGCAAGAGGAGGATGGAGGAGGTGCGAAGGACCTTGAGGAAGCTCAAGGAGGAGAAGGAGGAGCTCGTGCTTGAGGTGCTGCGGGGACAAGCGAGCCTCGAGTGCGAGAAGAAGAAGAGGAGGGAGATGGAGCGCAAGCTCAAGAAGGCGAGGACGGAGGTTAGCAGCCTCAAGTCGCCATGGAAGGCAGTAGGGGGAAGGGGAGCAGGAGGGGGGAGACTGCGGGACTCTCCTCCTCGATCTCTCCCTCACTCCTCGTTTCGCTCTCCTGTGTTCCTCTGCTCGGGTACGGGGAGCAGCTTCCAGCAGGACAGCAAGGACGTCCTCACCCCCTACATCAGCGCGGAGGACTACTGCATGATCGACCTGATCCCCTCCCTCGCTGGCGACCTCCTCCTCGACCCTCGCCTTCCCAGCTGCCCCGCGGCCTGCAAGCAGACGGTAAGGTGGAGGGGAGAGAAGGGGAGCTGCAAGGGAGGAAGGAGGAGATGAGAGGGGCTGGAGTTTTAGGAGGAGGCGGAGGCAGGTGACGAGTCTCTCAGGAGGGGATCTTTCCCATGCAGTGTTCGCGCCTTAGGAAGGTCCTACGGAAGCACCAGCAGCTGCGCAAGGAGTTCTTTGCGGGAAGGTCGCTCAATGCGTCCCTGCAGGGAAAGGTAGAGGAGCTGGAGAGGGAGCTGGAGAAGCTGGGCGGCATTATCTCCCAGCTGTACAACAAGGTGAGAGGAGGGAGTAGGGGGTCCCGCTGACCTCCGGGGCAGATGGAGAACTGGCGGGTCAGGCAGGACGTGCTGCTGTCCCAGCGAGACAGCCTGGAGGCCACGGTCCTGCGGCTGACGATGGAGCTGGGGAGGATGAGGGTGAGGAAGACTTCGACCCCACGGAAGGAGGAGGCAGCAGGGGACCGCAAGAGTCTCACCAGCACCATCGGGCCCGCAGCTGCGAAGGAGGAGCAGGAGGCCCCTGAGGAGACAAGGAGCGTCTGTCCAGAGGCAGCGTGCTCCAAGAAGAAGAGGAAGTCAGAGGAGGTGACGTGCAGGTTGCCAGCCTCGTGCCCTCACAAGGAGAACGCCAACCCTCAGCTCCTCTCCTCCCGCCAGCCCCCGACCCCCATGAAGCTTGCCTCCTTCAAGGACGCGAGTCACAGCTCCGGGAGACAGGTTCGGAAGTTCTTCCTCGCGGCGCAGTGACTCACTGACCTCTCTGACCTCTGCAGGTGTTGAAGCTAGTCCGATGATGCTCGTCCGGTCCGGCCGGGCCGGGCGGCAGGGGGCCGGCCAGGCTCCGACTCGCCATCCGATCATGCCGCCGCATGATCTCTTCAAACTATTAGTTAACTCAACCGTTCCACTGAGTGGGGCATGATCGCACCGCAGTGCCGCAGGCCCGGCGAATCTGCAAGGTGACTCACGGTGACCGGGCGGTAGACAGGGCCGTGTCACGGCGTCCCGGCTCCGAGCAGCCGCCGCTGGCAGCACTTCGGTGAACCGGTCACCGTACTACCCCGGAGCGGGCAAGCTGAGCGGCCGCGCCGATCGCCGCACTGTCCGGTTCTGTGACCGTCCGGTCACTCAGCGGCCTCCGGACCGTCACGGTCAAGCCTCCTCGATCATAGTTCAGGAGAGTCTCCTGATTATCCTCGTACTCAGTGATTTTTAACTTCACTTGAAGATGAGTAGATGTGCAGTCCCGTGTCCCGTAGTCCGTCACACTGGCAGTAAGATTGCACACCGTGGCACCGTCTGAAAGCCGCACTGATCAGGGTCGGAGAGTCACGAAGGCCGCTGAGCCGCCGGGTTCTCCGGCGGACGGCTGGGACAATGCAAGGGATTCGGAGCAGGGCGGCAGACTCGGATGCTTTCTAGCAGACTGATGAAATCAGTGAAGCTCCTTCACTGTAGGCCCTGACTCCAGCAGTAATAGTGAACTCAGTCGCGCCGTCAAAGCATAGTATCCACGGCCGGCCCGGCGTGCCAAGGATCATTGTATTTCCAAAGTTAGTCGCATGATGTCTTGCAATGGCGGCCAGTCCGGGCCGAGGCTCTCTCATTCTACTGAAGTTTCAATACGTACTTTATTCCCCTCCCTCGCTACGGTGAGCCACTGTTACCATTGACACTGGATACACAAACATCACAAGCATGCAACAGGTCTTGACAGTCATGGGCCACAGTGTTCGCAGTAAGAGTCGTTTGACCAAAGGCGATTATGGTACGATATTAAGATGCTTCAGTACGAGCCCCATCGTCCTATTCAATTCATCTAACTTGCCGTCCATTTTCTCGAACTTGCCGTCCATTTTCTCGAACTTGCTGTCGACCGTGTTCTTCAGATCCTGCATGACTCCAAAGATATTCCTGTACGGAGTGTACATCAAAAAGAACGGTATCCTGGCAGGTTCCACCATCGGTTCCAGATCATACTTGGTGTCAGAAGCCAGAGAAAAGAACTCCCTCATACACAAACTGACTATCTCAAACTCCTCTCTCTTGCCGTTCATCAACAAGCCCATCGCCGCGATCTTTGTGTCTGCACCAATCATGTCGTCCTTCAATACATTGTACAGCCGATTGACCTGGAACAGCTTCTCAAAGACCTTCCCTGGCTTCTCCGTGATCTCAAAGCAGATGTACTCCCCCTTTCTAATCTCAAAGTGCTCATACGAGACTCCAGGCTGTCCGAATATCTTCACGTCCGCAGCGGGTTGGTCGATCACGTCCTTGAAGATGGTTTCAAGATCCGTGTCCTCGTCAAAGCTCACGCACAGGTCGGCTTGGAATTCTGTTACTTTTTCTATGTTTTGAGTTTTAGCAGCCAATCGACTGATTGTCAAGCCACTCTCATCATGGCATTTCTCCAAGCGTTTGGTATACTTATTGCAGGCGGCGTCGACCGCAGCGTTAAACCTCTTCATGTAGTCCTCAGTGAGAACGCCACTCCCTGTGAGCTTGTGACTCATACCCTTGTCCACTCGGAGTTTCTCCCGTCGTGTACAGCCTGGACTCGCACATCTGCTGAGGATAAGACTTTCAAACGCTTCCAAATGATGCTCGAGGTCGAGAGGAGATCTCAGGCATTGATAGTCAGCCTTGCCTGATGGATCAGGCTTGCTCGAGCTGAGCATGCGGTAGGGCCATTGCAGAAAGCTGTGCATGCGGTACTGAGGCTTGCGTCTCATCCAGCCTGGACTCGCACATCTGCTGAGGATAAGACTTTCGCCATACGCGCCCATATGATGCTCGGCCTTGCCTGATGGATCAGGCTTGCTCGAGCTGAGCATGCGGTAGGGCCATTGCAGAAAGCTGTGCATGCGGTACTGAGGCTTGCGTCTCATCCAGCCTGGACTCGCACATCTGCTGAGGATAAGACTTTCGCCATACGCGCCCATATGATGCTCGGCCTTGCCTGATGGATCAGGCTTGCTCGAGCTGAGCATGCGGTAGGGCCATTGCAGAAAGCTGTGCATGCGGTACTGAGGCTTGCGTCTCATCCAGCCTGGACTCGCACATCTGCTGAGGATAACACTTTCACCATACGCGCCCATATGATGCTCGGCCTTGCCTGATGGATCAGGCTTGCTCGAGCTGAGCATGCGGTGGGGCCATTGCAGAAAGCTGTGCATGCGGTACTGAGGCTTGCGTCTCATCCAGCCTGGACTCGCACATCTGCTGAGGATAAGACTTTCGCCATACGCGCCCATATGATGCTCGGCCTTGCCTGATGGATCAGGCTTGCTCGAGCTGAGCATGCGGTAGGGCCATTGCAGAAAGCTGTGCATGCGGTACTGAGGCTTGCGTCTCATCCAGCCTGGACTCGCACATCTGCTGAGGATAAGACTTTCGCCATACGCGCCCATATGATGCTCGGCCTTGCCTGATGGATCAGGCTTGCTCGAGCTGAGCATGCGGTGGGGCCATTGCAGCAAGCTGTGCATGCGGTAGCAGCACCTATGTAGCGACTTGACAGTAGTATTCATGTCCTGATTGTCCTCACACTGATCGTCCTGAAGCAACCTGCCGCAGCTTTGGGGGAACTGGGGCTTTTATAAACTGATTATACAAGCCTCTTTTTAAAACCGCCCAGCCCTACCACACTCTACAACCTTTTTTGGAAACCTCCATACGAATCTCTGTACCGTGTCGAGCCCATCCTGACAAAGTTTGCTAGGGCCACACGACCTCCCCGTACCTCCCGGTCTACCAGTTGTACCGTGACCTCATGTGTATATAAGAGCTCCAGTACCTTGCAGTGTACCAAGAAATTAGATATCAACCTCGCCTCGTACAAACCCCTGCGGCGCTTCATGCGAGTGACTACCCGTGCTCAACTGCTGAGCCCTGAGTCAACAGCAGGGGTGGGGAGCGTAGTGTTTTTTTTTTTTGTTGCCGCCAACAAACTTTTTGACCGAACTGAAGTTTCCCGCCAGAACTCGGAAGCCGCGTCCGACTCGGACTCCGAGTTCCCGCCTTTAAAGATTCCCGCCAAAAATCTCTGTACCGTGTAGAGCGGCGCCGCTCATGCGAGTGACTACCCGTGGCTCAACTGCTGAGCCCTGAGTCAACAGCAGGGGTGGGGACTCCCCCGGAGCGTAGTGTTTTTGACCGTACGGTAGTACTCAGTGACTACCAAGCTGAGTTCCCGCCAGAACTCGGAAGCCGCGTCCGACGGACTCGGCCGCGCGGACTCCGAGTTCCCGCCTTTAAAGATTCCCGCCGGCAAAAAAGGCGAGTCACGAGTCATAGCGTTGTCGGGTCAAGGAACTTGCTGACAATTGGGATTTGTACCAGATCCAGGCGTTTTCCAGTACAAAATTGTGTGTGAGTAAAAAATCCAAGGATTGGAAGGTTTGAAAATCCATTTCCAGCGCTGCAAGTTCAACGGCAACCGGGGGTAATTGAGAGCTTAGATAAGTAAACAGTTGTTCCTATTGCCTTTGCATAGGATCACTTAGGCCCTTGTATAGTGGAGTAATGATTTGTACCAGAACCTGATGGGTAGGCGTGGTAGTATTTCAAATGATTCGAACCCAACGGACGCGACAGGGGGGTGGGGGGTACAGGTCTTGCTCTGGTACTGTAATGGGTACCTTTTAAAATACATTTAGCAGAGGGTGTCTCCCTCCCCATCTCCCTGCCCTCCGCACTTGCGCATCCCTATCCTTCCCTGTCCATGAGTCTCAGACTCTCGTCAGACCTTCCCTGATGACCCTCAACTTTCTTTGACGCTTCTGTCTGCCTTGTCCTTCCTCAACTTGCTGGAAATTCAAACTCTGAAACCATGCCCATGAGTTGACAAGCACTGAGTTTCTCAGTTTGAATGCGGGAGGAAAGATGATTCATGGAATGTAACTCAGGTGTGCATATTTCAAGCTGATGGATACGAGTTGTATAGCACTGGCAAATGACTGTCATTTTACTTCTCAATGATACAGCATCAAGAACTTGCTCTCGATCCATCAGTACTTGCAAAGGGTCATTTTTCAGACAGAACTTCGAGTTCATCTTTATTTTGCGTTGATCCACACGATGACATCTGTTTGATACACTATGTTTGATGAATAGTAAGAAAGAAAGGCTGAACTGTGCACCGCTTGACTGAATTTTCTACAATACTCTTCAATTGTGTAAGAGAGCATGTCACATGTAATCATACCAGGCAAACAAGTCACAGTATCGCTCCAAACCGCGTTGTGCTTGAAACTGAGACTCTACATGAAGATGTTATCGGACTAGTCGAATGATGTACAACTTTATGGTGATACGTGGTTTAGAACTGTTGCAAAGCGGACATGGGAATATGTAGCGGCCTAGGTGATGTTTTCAACGTACTTCAATAAAACAAAGCCAAGTTGTTGCTAACAACATCATCATTTCTCCATGAGCCTGCATGACCTGATGTACATGTTAGAGAAGTCGATGCTCATTCATCAAAAGAGTGGTTAGACAAGAAATTGGTAGATACTTCTGCGCAGCATTCTTGTGTATGTGGAATCGTGCACACTCACCGTCGTGTGGAAGTGTTTGCACATTCTTCTGCGCAAGTCTCATACATTGTCCTTATCATCTGGAATGGTTGACTTTCGCTGCAAGTAATATGAGCAGCGCAAAGTTGGCAAACTTATCCATATGGTTGGAATGCCGGCGATGTATTGCAGGCTGCATAGCACCTGAGCGCTTTGTTCCACTTATCGCTTGGTTCCAAACAATTGATGATATCGCAGCATGCAACTCGCATTGGCCCAAGGATGTCAAGCGAGGAAAAGATCAGGATGATGGAAGGGCGAGAATGCAGCGAATAAGAAAAGCTGGTCAGGCTCAGTTTACTTTGTGTAAGAAAATGCCAATGCTTTGTACATGTGAGGTTACAAAGAAAGAGGCAAGAAAGCTCTGGTATGAGAAGAAAGATTTATTCAAAAGGGTATGTCCATTTTTGTCTGCATGATTCAATCGGATCCAACATCAATTACCTGCTCCTGATACCATGTCAGTCTAGTCAAAACAAAGATATCAGCACCTTGAAAATTTCTTGCTTCGACTCGAGGTGAAGGAAATGAAATATGATTTACAATGCTATAAAGGGTATCGTTTTGTCGCTCAAAAGCGTCTTGATTGTAAGTCATCAAATGGAACACGACATGCAATCAATTTGCAAGTCATGCCTTCATGTGGTACCTCATCACTGCCATTTGATGAATGCACTGGTATTCCTTGCAACTCTTTACATGCCTTGGCAATACTCTTGCATATTGCTCAGACCGCCCTCAAGCCCGACTCTTTGCAGCAGATTCCTATGAAATAAGTATAGATCATGCTGTCTCCGTGACATGCTTCATGACTTCCTACTAATTGCTCATGTCAATGTCATCCATCGTACAGCGCCACTAGCGGACGGTCCGTGCGGAGTACTCCTTATTCAAGCTGCTAAAATCTATGATGATCAACCCTCTTTACATGTGTTTGCAATCACAGAGATGTTTTCAGACTGCTGCGCTCACACCAGATTCTGCAGGGATTGCCTCTGCTTGTCCTCGTCTGAGCTCTCCTGCTGCAGATGAGTCACGTCTGCGTAACATTCACTTGCTAACCTTGGATATGCAACCAGGGAAGGGAAGGGGTAAGGCTTGAGAGCTCCCTCTGATCTACAAGGGTGGTCTATGTTGGTTGGAGGCAGGGTAGGGTCCAAAACTTGACCCCATCGAAGAAGACACTTTCACTGGGAAACAGGTGGGTCCAATGCAACATAGTTTGAACAGGGGAGGTACCGCATAAACTATTTTGGTACAAGTTTTCCTAACAGTACCCGAATATGTACCATAACATTGGTACTGTTGGTACAATTATTTGCTACCAGAAAGTACCCTACCCCCTTAAACAGGTCCCAACAAATTTGAATCAGCTCCCAGCCGTCTGACCCACCCCAGACCCCAACTGCCATTTGCTATTCACATATGTGGAAGGATACCCCCACAGAAAACTATTGGAAACCAGAGGGGTCAGTTGAGAGCGACAACGCTCAGCCGCTATGAGTCCGCAGGGGCCACGCCGGCACCGCCGACCGGGACTCCGGAAAGCCTGAAGGGGTGTCGGACGGTCGGAAGTGGTCAACCGTGCCGTGGGCTACACAAACGGAGGCTCGTCCGGTCCGGCCGGGCCGGGCGGCAGGGGGCCGGCCAGGCTCCGACTCGCCATCCGATCCGATGATGCCGCCATGATCTCTTCAAACTATTAGTTAACTCAACCGTTCCACTGAGTGGGGCATGATCGCACCGCAGTGCCGCAGGCCCGCCCCGGCAAATCTGCAAGGTGACTCAGTGACCGACCGGTAGAGGCAGGGCCGTGTACGGTCACGGCGTCCCGGCTCCGAGCAGCGGCCGCTCAGGGCAGCACTTCGGTGACCCGGTCACCGTACCGTACTACCCCGGAGCCTCCGCGGGCAAGCTGAGCGGCCGCGCCGATCGCCGCACTGTCCGGTTCTGTGACCGTCCGGTCACTCAGCGGCCTCCGGACCGTCACGGTCAAGCCTCTTCGATTCAGGAGAGTCTCCTGATTATCCTCGTACTCAGTGATTTTTAACTTCACTTGAAGATGAGTAGATGTGCAGTCCCGTGTCCCGTAGTCACACTGGCAGTAAGATTGCACACCGTGGCACCGTCTGAAAGCCGCACTGATCAGGGTCGGAGAGTCACGAAGGCCGCTGAGCCGCCGGGTTCTCCGGCGGACGGCTGGGACAATGCAAGGGATTCGGAGCAGGGCGGCAGACTCGGATGCTTTCTAGCAGACTGATGAAATCAGTGAAGCTCCTTCACTGTAGGCCCTGACTCCAGCAGTAATAGTGAACTCAGTCAGTCGCGCCGTCAAAGCATAGTATCCACGGCCGGCCCGGCGTGCCAAGGATCATTGTATTTCCAAAGTTAGTCGCATGATGTCTTGCAATGGCGGCCAGTCCGGGCCGAGGCTCTCTCATTCTACTGAAGTTTCAATACGTACTTTATTCCCCTCCCTCGCTACGGTGAGCCACTGTTACCATTGACACTGGATACACAAACATCACAAGCATGCAACAGGTCTTGACAGTCATGGGCCACAGTGTTCGCAGTAAGAGTCGTTTGACCAAAGGCGATTATGGTACGATATTAAGATGCTTCAGTACGAGCCCCATCGTCCTATTCAATTCATCTAACTTGCCGTCCATTTTCTCGAACTTGCCGTCCATTTTCTCGAACTTGCCGTCCATTTCATTGAACTTGCTGTCGACCGTGTTCTTCAGATCCTGCATGACTCCAAAGATATTCCTGTACGGAGTGTACATCAAAAAGAACGGTATCCTGGCAGGTTCCACCATCGGTTCCAGATCATACTTGGCGTCAGAAGCCAGAGAAAAGAACTCCCTCATACACAAACTGACTATCTCAAACTCCTCTCTCTTGCCGTTCATCAACAAGCCCATCGCCGCGATCTTTGTGTCTGCACCAATCATGTCGTCCTTCAATACATTGTACAGCCGATTGACCTGGAACAGCTTCTCAAAGACCTTCCCTGGCTTCTCCGTGATCTCAAAGCAGATGTACTCCCCCTTTCTAATCTCAAAGTGCTCATACGAGACTCCAGGCTGTCCGAATATCTTCACGTCCGCAGCGGGTTGGTCGATCACGTCCTTGAAGATGGTTTCAAGATCCGTGTCCTCGTCAAAGCTCACGCACAGGTCGGCTTGGAATTCTGTTACTCGAGTTTTAGCATCCAATCGACTGATTGTCAAGCCACTCTCATCATGGCATTTCTCCAAGCGTTTGGTATACTTATTGCAGGCGGCGTCGACCGCAGCGTTAAACCTCTTCATGTAGCCATCAGTGAGAACGCCACTCCCTGTGAGCTTGCGACTCATACCCTTGTCCACTCGGAGTTTCTCCCGTCGTGTACAGCCTGGACTCGCACATCTGCTGAGGATAAGACTTTCAAACGCGTTCGCATGATGCTCGAGGTCGAGAGGAGATCTCAGGCATTGATAATCAGCCTTGCCTGATGGATCAGGCTTGCTCGAGCTGAGCATGCGGTAGGGCCATTGCAGCAAGCTGTGCATGCGGTAGCAGCACCTATGTAGCGACTTGACAGTAGTATTCATGTCCTGATTGTCCTCACACTAGCGAGACAGCCTGGAGGCCACGGTCCTGCGGCTGACGATGGAGCTGGGGAGGATGAGGGTGAGGAAGACTTCGACCCCACGGAAGGAGGACTCGGGAGGCAGCAGGGGACCGCAAGAGTCTCACCAGCCTGGCAGCACCATCGGGCCCGCAGCTGCGAAGGAGGAGCAGGAGGCCCCTGAGGAGACAAGGAGCGTCTGTCCAGAGGCAGCGTGCTCCAAGAAGGGCCGTGTGTCCGGCGTGACGGCGTCCCGGCTCCGAGCAGCCGCTTTTAAGGCTTTCGGAGTACCTAATAAGAATCCGCTGGCAGCACTTCGGTGACCGTCACCGTACAACCCGGAGCGGGCAAGCTGAGCGGCCGCGCCGCCGATCGCCGCACTGTCCGGTTCCGAGTGGCGGCGTGTGAGTCCGAGTCGGTGGCATGGGCTGATCCGACTCGATGAAGCCACTCACGGTCGAGCCTCCATCACGGAGCCTCGTCACGCTGTGTACGGTGGGCAGTGACGCCCCCGGCCCGGGCCCGGCGCCGCGTACCGTACCGTGCGTACCAGGCCCTACCGTAGGTCACGCCGGTATTCGGTCGGAGCCTAGTCCCGCCGCACTCGGAGGCTCCCGGACCGTCCGATCATGAGTCACCGCCAGGCTGATTCATGTCCTATTGACCGACTCGTTTGCCAGTCACCGAGTCACAGCCTGTGCCACTGGTGGCGTGAGCGGGCCGCCGGGCGGCGCCCGCCGCCGCGCCGCCGTCCAACGGAAGTTATGGGCCGAGGCTCAGTGCCGGGCCCGGCCGAGTGGCCAGGGTGGCCGAGGTGGGCTCGAAATCATCAAGGAGAAAAATTCTAACAAGATATATACCCCCTGTTTATATGGGAAAGCACCGGTACTCACAACCACCCCTTACCCTCTTCAAATTGCGACTACGTAAGCATAGCTGGGATCACCCACCCATGGATACTCCAGAGAAGAACACTATCAAGTACCCCTCTAAAAGTACACCCCACCCTGCTTCTACTCCCCCATTTGCAGTTTTCAATTACACTACCCCTATCATCTCCATCTTCTTGAAGAGGGGGTGGAGGTGTGACGGTAGTATAGGTCTCGACAGGGAGGGTAGGGGTAGTAGGGGTAGGAGGGGTAGGAGGGCGGCAGAAGGGGCGCAGGACGCCGCGGAATGGATACTGTCAGCGACAAGTGGAAGTCATGGCAGCGCTTCTCTAATGCCGTGTACGGCGAACGCGTGAAGCCATGGAGTTCCAGCGACATTGATCGCTTCGCTAAGGTTTACCCTCAAGCAGCCAAGGATCTCAGGACCATGAGAAGTGCTGGCGTCTGGTGTGTTGGGGGAGCAGTGGCAACGGCTGGTTCTGGCGCTGCTTTCTTCTTCAGCAGGCCTGGAACTCTCAATGGCAAGTTGATTTCAGGAGCTCTAGGTACATGTTTGATTCATAGTCTTGTTTTAATTTTCGCTGGGGCGTTTGTTTTCTGTCCTTTGCAAATGGTTTGGTTTTGCTGACTTTGTTTTTAGGAGCTGTAGCATCATACGTCGTTGGTTATCTTGGCACGACTAATGTGGTCTGCTACACGCACCAACTCTACAAGATAGACCAATACAAGGTTCAGATCCAATTCATGGAGTGGTGGAAAGAGAACGGTGGGAGAGGTGGCAAGCCATGGGAATACTGGTGAACGAGTGTACATGCGTTGCAAACTGTTGATCTACTTAGATTGCGAGCGCAGTCACTGAGAGTAAAGTCAAAGTTTTCTCTGTGACATGTTATAGCCCTGTTTCACGTCGATGTCGAGAAGTCCTATCGTAATGGAGAGATTCGAAGGGTTGATGTTTGCTCTTGAGGATACCATATTCTTTAACTCCTTAATTCAATATCTCCATACTCAAATAACTGGAGTAACAGCGTTACATTATACATACAGGGAGCATGGACTTTCATCATGCATACGACTCAGATGCGATGAAGGGAATGCGTCAAACTTTTTAAAAAGAGAAAGATGATTCTTTCCGGGCCTGATACCATTGGACTCCAACTGCAGAACCGTAGAAAACAAGGGATGCCGCAATGCTCAAAAAACAGTTCCCAAGTGCGATGATTTTGCTGTGGGCGAGGATAGCTGGAATACCGAAGCTTGCAGTGGTTATCCAACCAGTAGTGAAAAATGCCCAGTAAGTTGCCATTCCTCCGTCACTTCCCTGCCACGACGTCACACACTGAAGCTGCCTCTGCAAAGAAAGAAAACCTTGCTGAAAAGCACCAAAGGAAATGGTGCTATGGCGTAGGTTGCCACCACAAACATGGGCCACCTGGAAGGAAAAAGGTCAGAGCCCTTCCAGCACCATGATATAGAAAGAAAGAAGTGTACCAATTCGCTGAGATGCCAGAATCCGTTGTGATCACGCAGGCAAGGATAGAGAGGACAACAGCAAGCGTGCACAGAAACGCTGCTACAACCATTTCTGCGCAGAAAAGGTCATTTCGAACCGTCTCGAGCGCCATCGCAAAGGTTTGATGGCAAACCGTCGAGGTAGACAGCAGGCACTACAACATAAGTGAATACCTGACGCCGACGCCATCTTCGAGATGTATGAATTCGCCTTCGCTTGATTTGAAACCTTTTAGCGCCAAGCTTGAAAAAAGATCAAAAGGGAGTCGGAATCGATTTACAGCAAATCTACTGATAAGGGATCCTATCAGCTTTAGGATGTTTCAGGATTTTTCTAAAACTTCTTCTATACATTTTTTGCTGCTACTATTCGGCAAGAATATTTGGAATAACACACACACATATACACACACACAAGGAAAATACGGAAATACGAAATGGTGAGTTGGATTACGTTCACCAATATCAGCTGAAAGTGCGAAATTTATGTCCTCAAGACGAAATACACGTCAGTCCACCGCATATCAGCTGTCGGGCAAACTATTAAAAACGGGTCGAGCTCACGGCCAAGGTCGAATGGCCTTTTCTGGCAAAACAAGCAAGAAAGAATGGAGCAGCAACGGGCATGAGTCCAGCACTTGTCTAACTTCGGCACTGCCTCCTCTTGCACTGTCCTATCACCTTCTGATCGCTTTCCTTCGACCCGCTCTCTGCCCTACAGCAAGGGATTTGCCAGCATTTGCAGCGCTGCTTCAATATCCGTTGCATGATCGTTACTGAGTGGTTACATATTCACAGGTCGTTTGTAGCTGCCAGGCACGAGTGTAGTGATGAGATGTGGATGCAGGGGTAGGGTGATTGAGAGACGAGGGTAGGGGTATATCGACCGTTCAAAGTAGGGGTAGTTTTTAGGATAAACATTGGGGTAACAGTAGCACACACTATGTCTTCTATCGGGGTGGGGTACATACCTGTGTTGTATCATGGATGAAGGGGTAGGTGGAATGAGGTGGTGGGTGGGTGGCAGCGCAGGGGCGACCGAGGGGCAGCAATGCAGCGGGAGAAGCAGGACAGGGAGAGATGGGGAGAGTAAGAAGCAAAGTTTGAGGAGGTGAAGAGAATGCGAGCAAACCATGTGAGATGTATGATCAGGAACATGTGCAGAGAAATGAAAAGAGGAAGGATCGTCCCAGAGGGCTCAATCAACTGGGGTATACATGCAAAATTTGCTAGGATCCAGCGGAGATGAGAGAAATTCAAGTTTGTGAACTGTAGCAGATAGGACAAGTGTATAATTTGATGAAAATCATGAAAGAGGAAAGTGCTTCCCTTGAGCACGCAAGATGACGTAGAGGGAGGAACTGATGCATGTGCATTGGCATCCTAACTAGAATTCTGAGAGTTTGACTTGAAACATCTCAAATGTATAATTCGATTTTGACCTCTTCTTTCTTACTTTTCTCCCAGATCTTTGTTGAATCTGAGATTGTTGAGGCTGCTACGTGCTGAGCAGTTATCAACATGCCTCCACGGCAAGTAGCTGCTGTGCCCGATGGATTGGAAAGTGGAAAAGATTTCCCCATTGTCTGCGACGTCTGCCTTGGGCCAAATCCCTACATCCGAATGATCAAGCAAGTGAATCATAAGGAATGCAAGGTATCGGGCCGCGTCTTCACCTCCTTCCGCTGGCGCCCGGGTGCCGGTGCCAGGTACAAGGAGACAGTGATCTGTCCTGAGGTTGCCCGTGCAAAGGGAGTTTGTCAGTGTTGCCTGATGGACATGGAGTTCAACTTGCCGGTTGGTCTCCGTGACGCATTGCTGCGAGGCACCGATGAAGGCGACAACTTCGCCCCTCAGTCCGGTGTGAACCAGACCTACCACTATGACCAGGTTGCCAAGGCGAACAGGGAAGATGTTGAAGCCAGCTATGGGAAGATGGCGAATGAGAAGTTGTTGAAGATGGCGAGAACCAGCCCGTATTATGACAGAAATCTTCCAAAGCTCTGCTCGTTCTGGTTGAAAGGTCAGTGTACACGAGTCGTGGAGAACACATGCCCCTTCAGACCGTGCTGCGGGTCGTATCGTTTCCCAGAGTTGGCCGGAAGCAATCCAGAAGGAATGAAGACCCTGATAGCAGCGTTGGATCAGCTGGGTCCGTTGAAGGTGAGCGAGAGCTGCGGCGCCTTCTTGTTGATGTTGGCTCTGATTCTCTTGTGAAAGGTGATGAAGGACAACTCACAAGAAATGGAAGAGATCAAGGAGCAGCTCAGATCTTCTCAACGTGGAAGTCGCGATCAGAATATTCGCGACAGATACCACGGAGTTGATACGCTGACACAGAAATACCTCGGCAAGGCCGAGCAGCTCGGACTCGAACCTCCAGAGGACAAAAGTATCACGACGATCTGGGTCGGGTTGGTTCCAGGAAACCCAGTGACAGAGAGGGATGTGATGGATCAGTTCTATGCATACGGAGAAGTGAAGTCTGTTCAGGTCTGATACTCCAATATCCTTATTCCCATCTCTGATTCAAAATACTCCGCAGATCGTACTGGACGCCAACTGTGCTTTCGTCACCTACACCACCCGCGAGGCGGCGGAACAAGCGGTAGAGAAGCTGCACGGCAATCTGACAATCAATGGCTTGAAGCTCAAGATCCAGTGGGGCAAACCTCAGCGAGCAAGAGGACCGGAGGGCATCGGTGGCGTTCCTCAGCTCCCCACTGCTTACCCGATGGCTCCTGTTGCCCCTGGAGCTCCGATGCCCTACATTGCGCCCTATCCTCAGTCGAATTTGCCTCCTCCGCCCCCTGGCAAACCTCCTCCTCCCCCTCCTCCTGGGTCTGGAATGCCGAGACCGGTCTATCCTTCCATGGATCCGTCATTTCATGGGACGGTAAGAATTCGCTGTCGCTGCCTGCGAGATACTGATCGGAATGTTCTCAGCGACCGGATCGTCTGCCTCCTCCACCTCCGGGAAGGCCGCCTCAAAAGAAGTGAAGGAACTTCTGCTCCCAGAAGGATGCGGATCTCACTTGATCTTGCTTGATTACTCTCTCCCTTCCTCCTCCACCTTGGAACGACATGGACGGAGATTTCCTGGCAGAGGGATCTTCCGCTGTGTATATTATGTTGTTTCCACGTGCGAATGTATGCTCAGGCTACGTTGAACGGTAGGAATGCACGTGAAACTTGGACAGGAGCAGACTATCATGATTTCTTCAATTTTTTTTTTCGAAGTAGATGTTCAGAATTTGGGAATAATTTAAATCTTCTACTGCACATATCACCTCTGTTCACGTTTCACCTCACTCCAACGATCTCTTACCCCTCCCCTTCCCGTCCCTGTGTCTCCTACAATGCCTGCGCACTTTTCTCCAATCTGCGTTGAAACTGGCAGCATCCAGTCACGAAGGTCTTGGCTATGCACCTGTCGTCACCAAGGGTGGCAAGGAGGAAAAGCTTCTCCTGGAGCGTGCTTGACAGGCTGACCCGATGGCGGAGGAGGGCAGTGCTTCCAGGATCAAGAACAACAAAATCTGCCTCCTTGCCCGGGAGGAAGTTCCCTATCCTGTCATTCAAGGAAAGAGCAGAAGCTGAGCCCAGAGTGAGGAGATAGAAGGCGCTGAGGGGATCCAGCTTGAAGCCCGAGAGCTGTCCAACCTTGTAGGCCTCGTTGAGGGACTGGAGCTGGCAGAAGCTTGTTCCTCCTCCCACGTCCGAGCCGAGGCCACAGCGGATTTTATGCTCCTTGACCGCATGCAGGTCGACAAGGCCGCTGCCGAGAAAGAGGTTGGAGGTCGGGCAGAAGGCCATGACGCTGTCGGTTGCCTTCATCTGCTTCCACTCCGAGTCCTTCATGTGCACGCAGTGAGCGAAGACCGAGCGGGGGCCGAGGAGCTTCGCTTTGTCGTAGATGGAGAGGTAGGACTCTGAGCCATGGATGGAGGTCGCGAGCTCGATCTCTGACTTGTTCTCGTTAAGATGCGTGTGCATGTAAACCCCGTCATGTTGGTGATCGCCGAGCAGCTGTAGAGCGTCAGCTCAGCATCGCAAGCTTGAAGAGAGCGCAAACCTTTCCGGCGAGCTGGAGCTCTTCCGGGGTGGAGGTGATGGCGAATCGAGGAGTCACAGCATACAGACAACGTCCTCGCTTGTGCCACTTGTCGATCAGCCGCTTGCTCGCCTCGTAGCTCTTGACCGCGTTCATCCTGAGCTGCTCAGGAGCGTAGGGATCCGCGTCCATCAGCACCTTCCCGGCGATCATGAGCATGTTCCGCTTGCTGCTGGCCTCAAAGAGAGCATCAACTGACTCCTCGTGCACAGTGCAGAAGGTGAGAGCTGTGGTCGTCCCGCTCCTCAACAGCTCCTTCACGAAGAAGTCCGCCACCTGAATGAGTTTTCAGCGCAGCGCAGACGCGAGGGAGGAGAGCAGCAGGAAGAGAAGCAGACCTGGCTTGCATGCTCGTGGTCGCCAAATTTCGCCTCCACCGGGAAGACGTAGCTGTCGAGCCACTCCAGGAGCTGCTCCCCGTATGCAGCGATCATCTCAGTTTGCGGATAGTGGACATGGCAATCGACGAAGCCCGGGACGATGAGGTGGGGAGTGTGATCTTCGATCTCTAAGTGTGGATACCGAGACTTCACGTCCTCAGCATCGCCGCAGTGGACGACCTTGCCATGCTCGACTACCAGGATGCCGTCTTCGAAGTACTCGTATGCCTGACCTTCACCGTCCTGCAAGCCAATGAGAGGAGCGAGAGAGAGAGGTGAAGGGGGGGGGGGGATGGTGAGGCATGAGACACGTTACATGATCGGAAGGGTCTCTCAGGAAGTGAAGGACGGATCCTCGGTGCCCCTTGATGGTGCCTGCGTCCTGAAGGTGCAACAGTCAGGTTGCAACAAGAAACTTGAGCGCGGTCGATGCGGATGGAGCATGGGAGCATAAACTTCATCGGGCGATCATATCTGTCCTCTCCTCTTCATCTATCTTACTCACATGCCCGCCAAAGTCGCCGCTGCCGCCAGCATGCCCGTCGGGTCTTGTGTGTCCCACCACCATGTCGGGGAGGGGAACTGCTAGGACCCTTACACCCCTACAGCTATACTTGAGACATTTACTATGTGTGACACTATGTGAACTTTCACATGCTCGCACCATAGCAGCTGCAACAAGTTGGGGGCGTTTAATAGTCAAAATAACTGCCATGTAACGGACAAGCAATAAGGCTCCCTGGATTTGGGTAGGATCCTCCCTAGCCCAAGGGAAGGAGAGCGAGGAACAGAGGAGAGAGAAAGAGAAGAGGGAGAGGGGAGGGAGAGGGTAAGAGGATGGAAGATGATCGGCCCGACGTCAGCTCCTCATGAAGCCAAGGCAGCGCAAGTCTCTTACGCGCTGTCGAGTTGGCCCTTGGCAAGGAAACTGGCTGCGAGAAATCGTTTGGCTTGCTTTATCGGCTTGAACCTTCTACTCGGTGCGTGAGCTGTCTGTCGACAATCTCACCCGACTCGTGTTTTAATCGTAAAGGGCAGCACCAACTCTGGCCATGGCTTCGACGTCCTTCCACGCGAATTTCGTCATCGTCGGAGGTGGAATCAGCGGAGTGACGTGCTGCCAGGAGTTGTCGCGGATTGCGGGGGATGTAATATCTGTCCTGCCCTGCCCTGCCCTGCCCTGTGCTGTGCTGTGCTGTGCTGTGCTGTGCTGTGCTGTGCTGTGCTGTGCTGTGCTGTGCTGTCTTGTCTCTTTTTCTTTGTACATCTCTCCTTCCCCCCCCCGTGTTGGCTTCTCTCGGCAAGTGACCTTTGCTCTGGCAGTCAAAGATCGCTCTCGTAGCTGGGTGTGGGTTGCTCAAAGGAGCATCAAATGTGGTGAAGCTTTCGCGGCACTTGAACATGTTCGAGATCGTTGAGCAGGTGAGTTGGAGTGAAGTCTGCGCTGTTTTCTATCTTTTTCTGTGATGTTCGGTGACATGTTTCTTTGAGATGTTGAACTGATGTGATGTTTGTGTTGGATTTGTTTGACATTTGGATCAGCCACTCGATTCCTTGAACAGCTCAAACACCTTGGTGTTGTCCTCGAAGGCGAAAGATCTTGACGTGGAGGGAAAGAAGATCAATCTCAGCGACGGTGATACTTGTTGTTGTTGTTGTTGTTGTTGTTGTTGTTGTTGTTGTTGTTGTTGTTGTTGTTGTTGTTGATGATGATGATGATGATGATGATGATGATGATGATGATGATGATGATGATGATGATGATGATGATGATGATGAGGAGGAGGAGGAGGAGGAGGAGGAGGATCCTTGTGGAGGAAAGGGTGATCAACTGACGGATGAAGAAAGGGTCGCTCCTCTCCTTCGACAAACTTTGCATCTGCACTGGGGCGAGACCGAAGGTTTCCAAGTTCAGTCGAGTCGCTCCCTGACTGTAGTGCCGCAAGGTTTTGTCTTCGCACCCTCGCGTGCTGAGCTTGCGAGACACGGAGAGCGCAAAATACCTTCAGGTCTGCTGCCCCTGCGGATCCGATGCTCGGTTCTTGACACAGCAGCAGTCTCGCGTGAAAAGGGCTAGGAGGGTCATGGTCGCAGGGAACGGAGGTGAGGGAAGGTAGCTTCGAGGTACTCGTGTCAGGCTGCCTCCAGGGATCGCGATGGAGCTGGTCCACGAGATAAGGGATTGCGAGGTTGAGAGGCGTCTCAGGAGAAGGCTGGGCGTGAGTTTCGGTTCCAGGTAGTCTGGGCCGTCCGTGACGGACACATCGGAAACGCCTTTTTCGACGAGGTTGGCCTCGCTCCCTCTTCCCTCCTTGATCGCTCCCTCCAGGAGGCCGGTCGATGGATGTTCCCCACCCTCGCCGACCGGCTCGTCGACGAACTTTCCTCCCTCAACCACCTCCCCCTCCCACAATCTGTGGAGGATGAGGCAAGCGCTGCTCGGGCGGAGAGCGGCGTGCGGGAGAGGGGCAGCTCCCTGGGCCCTCAGGTCAAGGAGCTCCTTGTATCACTCATGCTGCTCTCTGACATCCCTCGCAGTGGCAGACGGGAGCCTTCGGCGTCGACTATAGGGTGCAGGAGCCTCGGATCAAAGCTGGTAGTGGAGGAGGGAGATGGAGATGGATAAGGGAGGGGGGAGAGGAGGGGAGGGAGAAGAGAGGAAGAAGCAGGCCGATCTAGCTGAGTTGTGTCTCCTCAGGGCTGGGGACTCTCAAGGGATCGCTGTCTGAGGCTTCCCCGGTCTTTGTCAAGTTCGGGTGTGAGGTCAGCAGCTTCGCCTCTTGCTCCCCTCCCCGTTGGCTCAGAGCATCTCCAGGTTGTCTCGGTGGAGGGTAACGAGCAGGATCAGCACGGGTGGCCCCTTATGGTCTCGCTCTCTTCCGGTGAAATTGTTGGATGCGATTATCTCATCTCAGCCATCGGAGTCGTTCCCAACTCAGTAAGTGTACTCCTCTTCTTCCTCCTCTTCGTCCTCGTCCTCGTCCTCGTCTTCGTCCTCCTCCTACTCCTGCTCCTCTCCTCCTCCTCCTCCTCGTACTCATTATCAGCATGATCCTCTCCCTCGCCCTCTTCCTCCTGCCGACGTGGACTGCAGGAACTCGTCAAGAACTCGGGCGTGATTGCACTGGATGCCAACGACGCTATCGTGGTTGGTTCAGATATGGCATCATCAGTCAAGCACGTGTTCGCTGCAGGAGATGTCTGCTCCGTCCAGCTGCCCCCCGACAGTCAGGATGCAGGAGGAGGTTCCTCTTGGTTCCAGATGAGATTGTGGAGCCAAGCACAACAGCAGGGCTTGTGGGCAGCTCAGTGCATGCTCGGAAACGCTGATCCTCTGCGATCTCCCTTCGACCTGTTCGCGCACGCGACTTACTTCTTCGGCTACAAGGTTGTCCTGCTCGGGAGGTACAATGGGCAAGCGCTGAACCATGACTCTCCAAGTTTCAAAATGCTGAAGCGAGAGGAAGCGGGCAAGGAGTTCATCCGGGTGATCCTCTACGAGGGGAAGATTGAAGGCGCCGTGCTACTTGGCGAGACCGACCTTGAGGAGACCTTCGAGAACCTGATCCTCAACCGATTAGACGTCAGCTTTCTCGGCGACAGATTGCTTGACCCCAGCCTGGACCTTGAGGACTTCTTTGACTAATGAAGAATGAACGTTCGTTATCATTCTGCTCCTTTTCATTTCAGCTCTCTATGACCGAATCGAAACGCTTTGCAACCCCTGAAGCACTCAAATTCGAATGGAGTTGTTTACTGGCTAATCTAACGCTCTGCATTCATACAAATCAATTGGAGAATAACATTTTTGCATTGCTCGGTGTCTTCCAAGGTAACTTTGGGCGTATGGCACTGAAGCAAAGAAATCAGATTTGAGGATCATTAGGAATGGGGCGAACCTTGAAGGTATGCTAGAAACACAGGCGGCACTGGGAATGACAGGGGTAGATGCTCGGGACCTTCCTTCTTTGATCCTGTTTCATACATGTTAGTCCCTTACAGGTAGGGAGGAATCACCCACTTCTCGATCAAGGCGCCAATCCTTGGATCTACCGGATCTACGCCTGGGAGTCCAAGCAAGACGCTCTCAACGAATTCAGCATCCTGTGATGCCCAATTAGCACATTATCAAGCGATAGATGCACATGCCTGCATGGCCAGGGTGAGAGCTTTTGTCGATACAAATTTGCACGGAGAATTGCGCTTGACAGAATTTGAAAAAGCTGAATCTAATGCAGAATGTGCTCCCTCAAACACAAAGGTCTAGCAGCAAAATATCACAGCATGAAATACATTCCCTAAAACGCACCTGCTTGTTGTTAGCAGCCCACTCGGAGAAAACGAAAGATCTTCGAGAAGGCGTTGTAGGGGTTGATGGAGTTCTTGGCGGGTGGAATACAAAAGGTGAGGTAGGATTGGAGTTGCGGCAAGTCGTAGCCCTCGAAATGAATCCAGGTGAAGCCTTTGAGAACATGTTACATACATCGAATCGACAGAGATGGTAGTTACCATCGACAGGTCATGTGCTGATGACAAGGAATCGCCCCCTGGAGAAAACGATCTCCGAGAAAATGAGGAGACCGAGTTTCTTGATGGAGAACCGTAATCCATAGGCACTGTGGATCTTGAAGGCATTCTATCACGCTCATCGCTCGAGTTTGAAACGTGTGAGGATAAAGATGGCTGTACACTTTGTTCTACACTTCTGCTCGGACTCAGTGGATGTTGAGTGCAAGCATATCCCAAGTCGATCCCGACCGACGGCCTCCCCGTGTCTGATACACCCAGCAACATCACTCTGACCGCATCTACGTCCCCCCCAGTGCTGTCGTTGTGAACTCCGTGTGAACGCAAGCGCGATCCGCACTGGTCAAGTGATATGCAGCTGGGAAGGTGGTCAGCACCGTCGTCACACCCCTGAGAGAAGATGAGGTCTGGAAGTCTGTCTCCCTATCGGACGACAAGTCAGTGCAGACCAAGGAGTTCACTTCTCCTAGCGCGAACCTGATTATCTGGGTTCCAGTCTCCATCATCGTAGATTGGATCGCCCGAATTTCGGTCAGTCAGTTGATCGTCCATGTTCCAATCTTCAAACCCTTCCAGATCTGCGCAGCCTGTATCATGTACACCATAATCTTGCCTGTATATCCTTACCATCCTCATATTCACCATTGTCAATGTCATCCGCCGCATTGTAATCATCATACTCTTCACTGACATCGTCGTCTTCATCATCCTCATCTTCGTAGTGATAACCTGGGTCCATAAGCCGTCACTGCACCAGAAATTGCACGAATTGGGAACTCACTTCGGTGATCACTCATGTTTATCAGGTTCGTTCTGTCGGAATCCGTGTAATTTTCAAGCATATAAATGTGTTCCAGTAATTCCCTCGGATCGAGTTTTCAGGCCAGACACGATAAATCTCCGGTCAAATCGACATGCGCTCACGTTCCCCTCTCGATACCCACACTCTAACGATTCAAAGCACTATCAAGGCTTCACAGCATCTAGTCAGCCTTGCTCTTGCTCGAAATGTATGCCGAGCACACATCCGTCCTGTTCCGCAAAAAGATGAGCTCTTCTGAGGAGTGGCGACAGAGAATGAAGAGTGTGACAATACATGTGAGCACTAAACTTGGATACTGCGGAGAAACTAACAAAGCTGAGACATCCTCACACAGGCATCATCTAAGTATGGACAGATTGAGCGACGGATGCACATTGGTGAACAAACACTGGCCTTAGGTGAGGGCTGCGCAAGAGGGTGCAGAATGTGAGGTGCTTGCGAATCAAGAAAGGACAAGAGTTGGGAGGAATACGTATGGCGGGGAGCGAAGGAAGCCATTGCTTCTTGAGGCACGCGCGCAGTCATCGCATGCCTGACGTACCATCAGCCGATAGCTGCAGCTGCATCCCGCGGCGGTTGCGTGATATGGGGGCAGGGGTAGTGCTGGACTTAGGGGTACCAATTGATGGGTAGGGGTATTGATGCTGAGGCGAGAATGGGTGTAGAAGGGGTTCGGAAGGCGAATAGATCGACAAGTACCGGTGTGACAACAATTGGGGTGCAAAAGGGGGTGGTGAAACAGGGCAAACTCGGGGTGAACATGGACAGTGCTGGAGTATCGTTAGAGGGTGGGGTTGCTGCTGGAGGGTAGGGGTTGAAAGGGAACCACAGTCCAGGGTGGGGTATCTTGGGGTGAGGTAGGGGTGGTGGCTCGATAGAGAGTTGGTGGTGGGAGAAACCACCCCGCCATTACTACTGCGCGTTGGGGGCCAAGGAAGGAGGGGGTGGGGTAGTACCACCCTCCTGGGTATCGGAGAGTTTGGAGTATCTGATCTGGGGTGGTCACAAGGGGTCCTGTCAACAATCCACCATGGTAGTCCAAGGGGTTGTGATCTGGACGATGGTAGTAAAGGAGGGGTCCTTTCTTCCAACAATGTGCTGGTATTGAGGGGGTGGGGGTCTGTGTCGGGGTAGTCAAATCGAGGGGTGAGGGGGGATGAGGGCTCCGCTCTTTCGCAAAGCGACTGGGCCGGGCCGGCGAGTCACGTTGGCCGGGCCGGCCCGCCCCGGTACGCCGGATGCGGAATTGAATCCATGTGGGGTGCTTATACGAGAATTTGTGAGGTAAAATGGGGGTAGGGTGGTGTTGATGGAGTGACATTTCATGCTTTCAAGGGCCAGAAGTGGGGGTGGGGGTGGGGGTTGGTGGCGGTGGATGGGAGACGAGATGACGGGGCAGGGAATGTGGCAATGGCAGGGAAGCGAGGAAGAGGTTGAGGCAATGTGAGGAGGGGGAAAGAGCAGAGCAGAGAAAGATGGCGAGAGGAGATTGCTCCAGGAAGAAGAGGATGTAAACACAGGATTGGAAGACAAGACTCAGGTCGGAAGTTGTCACATATCAAACTAGGGGGGGAGGTCAAACATGTACGGTCCAGCCTCAGCCCCGGGGATGCGGACTCGAAATGTGTCCATATTGAAGTATCTCTTCAAGCCAAAGAAGCCGAGCAATGCCGAGATATGGCAGCCTGAAGATGAGGAGGAAGAGGGGGAGCTAGGCGAAGGCAGGACCGGTTCCATGGCTTCAGAGATTTTGCCAGAAATATTGGAACGGATCCCGAAGCTCAAGTCGCAGGATGTGGGGGAGAGTGCCGAAGCCGCGCAGGAGATTGTGTCGCTCACCAACAGCACGAGCAACGAGGAGGACAAGTTGATCGGCAAGACGGGCGTGATAGAAGTCCTGGCGCAGATCATGATGAAGGGGAGTGATGCAGGGAGGCTGTCCTCGGCGAACGCGATTGCCAACCTGGTGGCTAACTGCGAGTCGAACAAGGTCGTGGACCCTCCCCTGCTGCCCCTGCTGACCTTGGCCCCTTGCAGATTTTGCTGTGCAACATCCCAGGTTCCTTGAGCGCTCTAGTCTCGTTGGCTTCCGTCTCTGATAAGGTCCCTCCTCCTCCTCCTGCAGAGGACGTGCGTGATCTCTTGAACCGAACAGGGAGCGTCAGTTGTTGCTCGTGCCATGCTGAATCTGGTGGCAAACAAGGAGCTTGCTGTCGCCGTGTGCAGGACGGCTGGGGCTCTAGAGACTGTTGCTGGTCTTGTGCTCAAAGGCCACATGTCAACCAAGGAAGATGCAGCCCACGTGCTTCACATCGTAATATCGCAAGGAAAAGACAACGCGGTGATGGTCGCAAACACGGAGAATGCTCTGCAGGCGCTGAAATCGGCGGCGAGAGCTGACAACTGCACCGACGAAGCAAGGCTGTGGTCGATTTCTGCTCTGCAGGGGCTGTCCCGATGCTCAAAGCTCAGGATCTCGTTGCTTCGCTCCAAGATCATCGAGGATGTCTGTGTGCCGCTCCTCTCGCAGCAGGACACAGCAGGCGCATGGCAAGAGGCGATCCAAACTCTTGCAGTGATCACGGCGGCTAACCTGACCGGATGGTGTGAGGATACCGTGCTGGTGAACCATAGGGAGGAGGTTGCTAAGTTGGTGCATGTGATGGCGATGGCTTTGACCTCGAGAGAGTTTGGGAGCTACAAGTTCAAGAACTCACAAGTGCTCCTGGCCCTCTGGAGTCTGTCGCCCAACGACTCGTTCAAGTCCGAGCTAGTGAAAGCGAAGCTGCTGGAGCTGTGCATCGACATGATCGCACTCGCCGAGTCGCCAGAGACTTCGGGGCCCCACAAGGGGATGAATCTGCACATGCTGCTGGAGATGGTGTATCATTTCATGTTCCTCGAGGCCGGAGCCGCCAAGTTCAAGGAGCTCCAGGGCAAAACCATCTTGGAATCCATCGCGAGGAGGGCGGATCCCCTTGCCCGCAAGCTTGCGCGAGGAGCGCTCTGGCAGATGGGCTACCGGGACGTTTGCCCGCAGCAAGAGGCTGGGAATCACTTATTCGTGTCGTTCAGCAAAGAGGATGAGGGCCGAGTCAGGCAACTTGTCCGAGCGCTGAACAGCAAAGGGCTGAGCACAATCCTGAGCGGCGAAAGGATGCAAGCAGATGGCAAAAAGAACGGCAAGAAGGAGTCTCACCTGTACGCCATGTCACGGGGCATCTCGTCGGCTGCTGCTGTGCTCGTCTGCATCTCCGAGTCGTACAATATCTCGGCGGCCTGCCGCACTGAAGCTCAGTATGCTGAGGAGGTGGGGGCTACGGTCATCCCTCTGCTGCTCGATGACTCCAAGCCTGCAAAGCATCTTGCCAACATCGCTTCCCTCCTCGACTGCATCGATGCTACCGATCCTTCGTCGCTTGACCTTGTCGTCATGGAGATCACGGAGGAGCTCAAGCTTCAAGGCAAAGCCACAGGCGACGGTCAGGGACAGGCTTGGAACGGCTTCAATGGAGGTCCACCAACCATGGCGATGACGAACTTGAGAGGGGACAAGGCGACGGCGGATGAGGAGGAAGAGCCGCGAGACCAGTCGCACGCACACGTCACCATCCCAGACGCAGTGAGCAGCCCGTGGAGTGCGTATGACTCCTCCTTCATGCGTGGGGCCCAGATGGATGACAGCTTGCAGTCCAGCAGAGGGAGGAGCGACTGGGAGGGGGAGGGGGAGGGGGAGAGCTACGGATTTAGCCGACATGCCGCGTTTCCCGTGGAGATGCTCGAGGGCTTCGTGGCGAAGATCGTGTCAGAGCGAACCGTGAAGCTGCAGGCTAGGATCAGCTTCCTCGAAGATGAAAACAAGCTCATTCGGTCGGAGCTGGAGAGTCTGAAGAATCTGCACCTGGCAGCAAAGAAGGAAACGTCAAGGGAAGATCCCTTGGCCAGTGCAGAACGACAGTTGACATCGCAACCTCCTCTTCTCAACGGCCATGTAGTCGACAAGTCCTCCGACCTGATGCCAGTGATGCACTCGGAAGAGAAATCACAAGGCGAAGAATTTGTTGGAGGATGCGAGGAAAACGAAGATCCAAAGGTTGGACTTCAGGAGCTGGCGCAGGAGCAGAAGGAGCAGGAGCAGGAATCGAGTTCATGACTTACTTCGCTAGTTGACGAGCCCAACTTTCTGGCTCAGCAGAATGAAACCATTACAGTAAATACTTTAGCGACTCACTGTGGCCGTGATCAAACTCGGTAGTCAGTTGCCTGGCGCGGCACTGGGGGCCCGTCCGGTCCTCCCAGAGACCGGCCTGTGCGGCCGTGCCAGCCATGCGGAACCGCGGCAGGGCCTTCCGAGCCGCGGGCCGGCTGCAACCGGCGGACATCCACTGAAGTGGAAGTTCCGAAGTTGTACGGCCCAAGGGTGACTAGGTTGCGGGCATCATACCATTGCTCTCAGTACTTCTGATTGAGGGTCATGCCCGTGGGGTCTGTCACAATGACATCGTGCGGCACTGAAGATCGGCCGGCTCACGGCAGCGGGGCCCTCTCCTCATAATGACTTAGTGGCCCGGGCTATCGTGACCGCATGCTTGCAACAGTTCTTGTCGGTAGCCGAAGAGACAACAAAAAGAAGCAGAAAGCGACGAGTCCAGCCAGCTTTCTCGTGGGCTGCTCGGCAACTTCATCTATCTCCTTGGGCAACATGAGCAGAGATCGTTCCTGTTGTATCTTGGACTTGCGTTACCAGATCGTTCCTGTTGTATCTTGGACTTATGTTAATAGCAGCTCGCTGGCACCGTCAAGTCTCAGGGCGGTGACAGGCTGGGTCCGAGGCTACGGTCAGGCTGATATGATAGAACCGTCAGGAACTTGAACCAGCCTTTCAGTCCCGGCCGTTTCCCACTTCAGCTGCCTCCCACCTGCGATTGTTGTGCTACAGCTTTAGATCCATCGGCGGCAAGCAGCGTCTCTCACCTGGCCAAATGTCGTCATCGAGCAGCTCTATGGACGACTGCGCATGAGCAATGTACTGTAGCTCTCAGCGACATCTGCTGGGAGGCTGACATGGTTACGCTGCTTCATCAGCAAGGAGTTCGGCACACCCGGACCCACGTCCCTCAGCATGGCCCCACCATCAGACACATGGGCGACCTCTGGCTCTCTGGCCCTTTCCAATCCGATGATCGTGAGTTGAAAAAGAGCAGGCGGTGGGATCTCATGCTTGTGCAGACGTTCGTTCGTCTCCTATCGTCCTCGACCTTTCTTCCTTTCTTCCCTGCCCTCTGCTGGGCTCCGAATCTGAAATTCTGGATGAAATTATCACACCCCGTAACCGTCTGTAGACTTCTGAGAGCCTCGAGCTCCCTGCCAACGTGACTGCCATCTTCTCACCCAGCCTTCCGCCCCCCCCCCCCCTTCTTTCGGCGCTATAGCCATTGTTTGGTTCACGGTTAAAAACAAAGTCACGCCAAATATTGGGGTGGGTGGTCTGATCTGAGATATAGGGGTAGTCGATGTGAGAGGGGGGTGGGGGTGGGGGGGGAACTTTCAGAATCCGTTGCTACAAAGAAAGATATTGAACCGTCGGTGTAACGGTTATCATACAGGCGCTAAAATGGCTGATATCCGAGTGCGGACCACCGAGGTAAGAGAAGAGCAAGAGGAGAAGAGAGAGGGGAACAGGCGGAGCATAACGAGACATGGGAAATGGAAGACTTGATGGAAGTGGATGGGAGAGGAGAGGAGAGGAGAGGAGAGGAGAGGAGAGGAGAGGAGAGGAGAGGATGGGCCAGTAGAGCAGGTTTAGAGGTGGAGCAGCGATCTAGCAGCAAAGGAGGAGATCAAGAGTTCACGCCCTGAATGGGGAGGATAGAAGATGAGTAGGTGACAAGAGAAGCTTCAGAAGTAGAAACAGGATGGACCAAGGCAGGTCAAGACGGAGGAGGTGCAAAACACGAGCAAATACGAGCGAAGCCGAGCAACCAGTCCAAGGGAAGGATAGGAGAGCAATGATGATGTAGGAGATCCAACAGATGGAACGAATTACTCTGCAAAACCAAGGAGGTGCTCTTCATCAATACCGGAGAAGGAATGATAGAGAGGCGGGGGAGATAGTTGCATATAGGCACCCCACTGAAGGGTCAGCTGATGTAGAGAGCGGGTCATTCTGTTTGCGTGGTCGTGGACGAGAGTCATTTGCGGTCTCCTCAATCTCTGCCACCGATGACCCTGGGACAGGACCGAGAGATCAGGATATGCCTGCCGTCCGATGCCACCGTTGCGCACCTGGCAGAGAAGGTCAAGGGAACGCGTCTGGTGGGCGACTGCTGAAGTGGCGCAGGTTCTAGAGCACGAGGACGCGTCTCTGAATACAATGATAAGGCTGATTTACGGTGGACAGCTCCTCCTTCCTGGTCTTGACTGCATCGCCCCCTTCCCTCTTGGATTCTGACTTTGATGCCGCAGCAAGGTCAGTCAGGTCGTACAACATCCGAGGGGTAGTGCATGCCGTGATGTCCGAGGCACCAGCTTCGATGATGGCAGGGCGGCCGCAAGATGGTGTGCATGGGCAGGTTGAATGGGATGATTCTGACTGCTCTTTGCTGCTCAGGTGCAGCTGCGCAGCAGCAGCAGCCTCACGCAGTTAGCGGACAGAGCAGGCCACAGAGTTCACTGGGGGAGGAGATCCAGGGGGAGCTGCTAAATCAGCTGATGATCAAAGTCCCTCCCGGGCTCCTTCTGTTGCTGGGTTGGCTTGCCTTCATCCAGACCAACGGCGAACTTTTCTCTCGCTTCTCCACTCTTGTCTTGTTGTTCCTGACCGCCGAGTACCTTCACTTCGTCTTCCCTCACTTCCTGTTTTCTCGCTCCGAGTCCTCGTCAAGAAGGACAAGAAGCCAAGGCAACGGGGCTCAGGTGGATTCCTGTCTGCCTATCTACCACCCCTCCATCCCGTCCCTTGACGGTCCCACCCCCCCTGCATCCTTTCCTGTCCCTTCCTTTGCTGACTCACTTAGCAGCTCATGGAGAGCTCTCATGGGTCAGTCGGGGGGTCCTCGGGCTCTTTCCCAGTAATCTCATGGCTGGCGCTCGGGGCAGTGTCGGTGGGAATGTTCGCAGTGGTTTTACAGCTTCAGGCATGAGCCTTGGATGATTTTTTTTGGGTCGGGCCGATGGGTAGGAGGGAGGGTGGGGAGAGGCTATCCGGAGAGTGAGTGAGAGTGAGTTTCCAGAAGATTGTACATTTATTTTGTTGTTGTCAACAAGACAAACTACATACTTTGATGATTCGAATTCTGTTCCCTCTGTAGAGTACTGTATCTCACAAGCTCTCCTTGATCTGTGTCATGACCTTGTGACGATCTCTATCCTTGACCCTGTTCCTCGCCTTCCTCTTCCAGTCTGCTCCTTCACCATTCTTCGCTGCCCGGCTCTTGACATCCTGGTTGCCCTTGCTCTTGCTCGTCGACGGCTTCCCACTGAACCGCCAGGCTCGTCGGATGTCATTGTCTCTGTCATATTGCGATTCAGCTGCGCCATTAGCAGGACGCATTACGCTCTCCTGTTCCTTGCCCTGCTCCGCTCCTTCCGCTTCTTCCGCTTCCTCTCCTTCGCTTTGCGCGTCAATGGAAGCCAGCTCGGGCATGTTCTTGCCATCTCCCTCGCCCGTCTCCTCAACCGCACCATCCTCACCGTCTTCTCCATCAGCCGCTTGTAGCTTCTGGAATTCACTTCCTCCAAACGAAATCTTCTCGGTTTGCCTCGTTCCGTCCTCAGCAACATCGCTGTAGGCTCTCTCTTCCTTATCTCCACCTTCTTCCTCCACCGCCTGCCCCTCCTCCTCCTCCTCCTCCTCCTCCTCCTCCTCCTCCTCCTCTTCACCGCTGCTTCTGTCTTCACCAGCATCCATGTCATCATGGGCGGACTTCTGACGGTAACTTTCCATCGCTTCATCGAACATGTTCGTCTCTTCCCTTGAGAATCCACTGGCCGCAACCAACTTGTCAAGGTCCATGACACGGACTCCACAGTCAGCCAAGCTGGGGATTGAGCTGGCCTGGAATCCGAACCTCCTCTCGAAGAAGACCCGCAGGCACTCCACGTCTCGGTTGAAGTAGAAGGCGGCGTTTGCATGAGAGGTCGAGACCATCTGGGGGAAGTCGATGACGGTGATGTCTTCCCCGTCGCTAATCATCACGTTGAACTCGTTGAAGTCGCAGTGCACGAGGCCGCACTGCGCCAGCCGAATGTGAAGCTCCATTAACTTGGCAAAGACCTTCCCCGGGTTGCGGAGGTGCTTGATCTGCGTCAAAGGGTAGGCGTCTACCAGCGACATCACCACACAGTGTCGGTTCTGGTCGATCGGCTCGGGCACGGGAAAGCCCGCATCGCGGAGGACGCGCATGAAAGCGAACTCCTTCTGTGCTGCCAACCTTGAGAGGTACAACCAGTTTGCGAACTTGCGGTGCTGATGGTAGTCTCGCTTCTCCTTGATCTTGCGGAAAGAGGTTCGCCCCAGCCTGTGCATCTTCACCACTACTTCTCTCTCTTCCGAGTCGTCAAGGGCGATGAAAACGTCCGACTCCTTTCCAACACCAATCTGACGGCCAACTGCGCGAACGATGTTCCTCTTCGACAGCGTACTGAAGGCCAGGTAGTCATAGCCGAGGTAGTTCAAGCTGTAGCCATCGTAGTGCTTGCGATCATGCTTGATGAGCTTCGATCGAAGGAGAGAACTAAGACACTTGAATGCTCCTCCGTGCTTGAGGTTTGCGATGCTCGAGATCAGCTCCACAGGAACGAGCTCGTGGTTCTTCATGCCTTGCTCCACAGCCTGCAGTGTGCGCATTTCGTCTCTGCTGAGATAGCGAAGCGCAGAAACATCCATGCGCCCCATGGCTGCGACTGAGGAGAGAAGCGAGAGAAGAAGAAGAGCTAGGAAGAGCACAATGCTTGCTGCTACGGAGCAGGGAGGTCGACCGAGTCACGCGGACACCTCACCACGTGAGCGAGGGGAAGCAGAGGCTTCAAACAAGACGATAGGCTAGCAACAGAGCGAGCGAGCGATCACGGTCAAAGGGATGCGGGAGCGACTTGGAAGACAAGCAGCATGCACGTGCGCCGCCCAGCAAATAGCCTGTTTGTGAGTAAAGGCCCGGCCTTTAAGTTTCAAGTTTTTCCGGGCCGTTGAACACCCGGTGGCTCGGACCCGGACCGGCGTGACGGTTCCGGCTGAGTCCAGACGGTTCAGCCCGCCGGGCTCGGACGGCCCGGCCCGACCGTACCGTGAGGAACCCGGCCGGCCGCACGGTCTGACTCGCGGTCTCACCCCCCGGGCCCCGGCAACCGGACCGGCGGCGGCCGGGCGCGGCTCAACGGCCCGGGCCCTCGGGCCCCGCTGCCGTCACGCGCCGGCGGCAGCGTGAGTGGACGGGTCGGAGCCGCTGAGGGCCTGGCTTGACGGGACTGAGTCACACGGCCGGCGGTCACGGGGTGGCAGGCTCAGAGTAATCAATGCTAGCGGCTGGCAGTACTTACCGTACAGTACGCGGTACCGGCGTACGGTAGTGATTGACGCCGTACTACGGTACCGTCAAGTACGGTACGTAAATTAATCAAACTGAAATACTTACTTACAGTCACTGAGTACTGTGCGGCCGTCCTCGGAGCGCTCCAGGACTCCGGGGGGCCGGGGCCGGGACTCATCAGCCTGCCAGGTTGGGCGGCGCGCCGCTTCAATCAATGTGAAGCATCCAGGGCAGCATCCAGGGGGCTGGCTGAGTTGCCACCGTGACAGCCACTTAAAAGGCGAGTCACGAGGTGAACTCAGAAATGAAATTATAGAGAACAATCAACTTAGACACTCGGACATGATCACGCCGTGCCGGGTCCGGTCGGAGCGGCGAGTCTGTCAGGGAGCTGTCACGTGCGCTCAATTGACCCTGATGATTCTTTCATTTCAAGTTTGTCTCTTGTCAGCCGCTGCCGTGTCTTAAAAAAAAAACGGCAGGACAAGGACATGACTCCATGACTCCGATGGAAGGGTACCACCCTAGTCACTACCTGACCCCCCTCTTGCACCGGCAATGACACCCCCCCGAGCCCGACGGTCCATCGTTGTCAACCTTCAGCTATCACCGACGGCCCTTTAAGTGTGCCGCTTCCAATCTTTAACTCAGTCCACCCCTCCCTCTGACCTCCAGGACCCCCGTCCTGTAAGACCCGAACGAGCTCCCTAAAACCTCCTTTTACCATCGTTTTGGCAAAGGTAACCCTCACCCTACCCCTTGCGCTACCATTGCAAAAGTTTTCATGACCCCACCCTATACTTCATGCATTCTTGCCATCCAAGGACCCTCTCTCACAGTTCGTAGATCTACCCCCACCCCCTCCAACCACGGAAAGCTTGTTTGATGTACCCGTGACCAGTTGCCCTCTTCCTGCCACCCTCCACCCCCTCTTTGTCGTTGTAATGTACCCCACCCCCACGTGACGTCCGGACTGGGGATCAACGGCTCCTTCATGCAAACAGGTAAAATGCATTTTATCAATTTTTTTTGAGTTACCAGCAATAAATAATTTAAATCTCCGGTAGCGAAGGTTTATAAACTTAAATTTGTTTTAGTCAGCCCCACCTACACCCCTCAACTTCTTCAAAATCTTCTTTTTTCGCATACTTTTGTTACCCCACCCCTCTACATCACGTACTACCCACCTTTTTATCTTGATTGACCCCTTGTTTTACGGGTACTGGAGTTACAATCATGCTGTTGAGTAGGGTGGGTGATCATTGGCACACCACCCCTGGTTGACCGACATGGCCGCCCAATTGATGAGTAAAACATGAGTGCACTTATAAAAATTTACATACACCACCCCCATCGACCCCTTCCCGGCTTCGTCCCCACTCAACAACTCCTGCTTGCCCGCTCGCTCCCTGCTCCCTGCTCCCTGCTCCCTGCTCCTCTCCCTTGTACTGCACGTTGTCCTACCTCCATCTCGATTTTCTCTTTCCATCCTTCTGTCTGATTGCAAGCAGTACGTCGTTCGGCCCGCCGAAACGCGTGTTGATACGAATCGTGGGAGGTGATGTACTGATTGTGACAGTCAACGATGAGCCAGCATGAAGGGGCTGGTGCTGTAGATATCATCTAAGTGGATCTAGACAAGTCTACATCACATTCTTGGCGCTAGGTGAAGTTTGAATAGTTCAACCACAGAGCCCGACAGTCTTAAATGTTTGGATCTGCCCTCTATTTTCAGGATGACACCTGCTGCCTGATGTTGTGAGAAGAAATCGCACAGAGCGCGGCACAGGTTCACTCCAGCCTCCATGTCAGACAAGGCGCTCAGGGCAAAGTTGAGGAAGATCGAGGAAAGAGAGAGGAGCCGGCAGCTCCACCTTGCCCTCGATCCCCTCGTCCCGTGCACAGGTGAGTCACGATGTCCAGAAGGATGGAGGGAGCAGCAGCGGGTGACGTTGATCTCAGAGCGACCTGACGCCCCCCAGGGTGGGAGGAAACGAATCCTTCCCTCCGACCGATCCATCCCTGACCTGTACCAAGACACCATCGTGCACGTCAAAAGGATTCTTGCAAGACAGCAGAGCCTGGAAGGTTGCCGTACTCTCTTGAGCTGCTCCTGGGGTGCTGACCGTTCTCACAGCGCGCAAGTGCAGCTCTGCCAGCGCGTTGCAGCCAAGGCCGGATGAGGCAGGGGAGGGCCCCGAAGGCCTGTTGACTCCGGATATCCTGAGGCAGGGCCTCCTGTCCTGCAGACTGCGGGGGTTCGTGCAAGTCAGGCTGCCGGACTACGTTGTAGTCTGCATGAGCTATCAGATGCTGCAGTACTTCGAGCACTGTCCCTTCAAGGGACCTGTTGGGCAGCCTCTCTTTCACTTCATCCATCCTTGCGACGCTCCTTACATCGCAGCATGCGCGGAGGAACGTGGAGAGCAGCGGCATACGAGTGCGGACAAGGGAGTGGAGGAAGAAAATGTGATGGAAAAGGATATTGCGCATGCTTGTGTGCGAATGTTTACCTTCGGCAGCTCGGGCATCCGATGCCTCCCGTTTGCTGTCTCGTTCGATCGTTCCTGCTACCAGAACTGCTCCTCGTGCGTGCTGGAGTTCGAGCCGCTGGAGGAGGGGAGGGGGGACTGCGTGGTGGGCGGCAACAGACCATTCCAGGAGTTCGGGGGCGTCTTTGCCTTTGACGAGCTGAGATCGCATGATGGCGGCCGTCACGGGGCTCGAGCGGCGTGTGTTGAAGTCGAGGACGCGGTCTATGGGGCAGGAGGGGAGATGAAGAGCCTGGAGGCGCTGGACCTGGCCCGGCAGCTGTCCAGCTGCTTCGGGGTGAACGAGAAGAAGCTCCTGGTGCGCATGCTGCAGTTGACGCTCTCGATCGTGCGGGGGGAGAAGTTCCCCAAGTGGAACTTCCTGCGGTTTCGCCTCAGTCTCCCTTGCATCCTCGGACAACTCAAGACGGATTGGCAGCGGGGCCGACACAGCGAGCAAGTGGAGATGAACGGGAGGGACTCTTCATCACCTTCCTCCTCGTGCTCGTCAAAAGTCATCTTCCTCGTGCACGAGAGCGATGGATCTGCGAGCCTCTGCTTCTCGGAGTTCACCCTGGATGAGAGGAGGGAGCAAGGCAGTCTGCACGGCAGCAGGTTGTACAGGGTGAGCAAGGAGGAGCTCTACTGCTGTGGGATAGACCAACGGCGGAGGAGCTCCCAGCGGCTACCCGTGTACGAGCACTGGTGGAACGTAATGGAGGGCGAGACGTAAGGGGCGAATGAACAAGAACAAAAGGACACCCTTCCTTTGATATTAGATCAGGACTTCCTCCTCATCATCCGACTCGCTTGACAGCAGCTGCGCCCTCCGCGCTACCGCCCCGTCACATCCTGTCTCATCCAAATCCGCAAGATGCTCCTCCTCCTCCTCCTCCTCTCGGCTGCAAGCCTCAGCCATCCGCCGCCCCACCTCCACCAGCGCATCTCGCTCGGCCGATGATTCAGCAGCCACCCGGACAGTCTGAGAGCAAGTGAGCCAATGGAGTAGTTGACGGTGATGGGATGAGGGACAAGGAGCGGCAGCAGAGTAGGGGGTACGGAGAGGAAGGGAAGCGGGAGCAGGAGACGAGCGAAAGGAGGAGAGAGTCTGACCTTGAAGCAAGCGGTAACAGTGAATTCACAACTTCCATGCGGCTCAAACTTGGCGTCACGAAGGGACAGGAGCTGCTCCAACGGCGCCATGCCCATTATCTGCTGGACAGGGCTGAAGCCCAGGATGTAGTGACCCTCGTCCACCCTCTCCAGCACAAGAATCTGAGGGGAAGGTGAGCAAGGGAGAAGGTGAGCAAGGGAGTGAGGGAGAAGGAAGCGGAAGGAGAGCAGCAGCAACAACAGGAGAACACAAGGGCAGGATTCGAAACGATGCTCTGCGGGTAATTGACAGCAGCAAAGGGATCAGAGGGGCCGAGAAACCAACCTTGAGGTTCCACATCTTGTTGTGGAGGACTTCAACCACCGCTGAGACGCACTCCGAGGATGCCTCGTAGCTCCTCGTTCGCTCGTACGCATCCTTCCTCTCTCCAACCTTCCTCCCCCACCGCGCCTTCGGTTGACCCTCCCCGCCCTCCCTTGCTACCTGCTCCTCAACCTGATTTCTCTTGAGCTCCTCTTGCACGACTTCCTCCCCGGACAACGTCCCCGCGCTTCCTCCATCCTCCTCGCTCCGATGCAAGTCCTCTTGGTGTCTTTCCTTCATCGCCATGATCTTAGAGGTCGTGTTCGATTGCGACAGCAGGCGTTCGAGCAGGAACGGAGAGGTCAAGTCATCCCTGCGCGTCTCCGGGGGCTCGAAGAGCACGTCTCCCCAGCGATCGGGGAGCTCGTGCCAGGTCCGCACGTCCGAGTGGTGTCGAGCAAGGAGGAGCTCCTGCTCCAGGAAGAAGAGCTGCCGGGTGAAGTTGGGGTGCCGGACGATGAGCCTCGAGGGGCCGCGCAGCTGGAGGAGGTCGAAGGCATCGCGCGCGGCCATCTTGTGGTAGATCATGAGGTAACAGAGCGCGACGGTCGGGGAGCGGTTCATGCCCATGTTGCAGTGCACCAGCACGCTCTCCCCTCTCTCGACCCCCTCGTGCATGAAGCTCAGCACTGCCTTCAGCTCCGCTCGCCTCCTCCTCGCCTTGTCCAGGCAATGAGCCTCTGCCCTGACGCAGGCATACCCGAGGATGGGCTCCTCCAAGTTGTCTTCTACCTCGTAGAACATGCTGTTCATTGCGGGGAAGTCGTCGGGAGGGTCACGGGAGGAGGAGGGGAGGCACCGGACTGCCCGTCCATACAGGATCTTGTGATGAGCCAGCCATTCCTTGGAGGTGGCCCTCGCCCTGTCGGAGACGAAGAGCTTCCCTCCACCTGGCTCGAAGCGCATGATCAGCCCGATGGAGTCGGGTTTCCCCAGCTGAGAATCCAGCAGGCGCCTGAGGATGCTCTTGTTCTCCTCGGCCCCGAGGGGCTCGAGGGAGCTGATGGCGCAGGAGGAGGTGGAGCAGCCCATGAGGCGGCTGCTGACAGGGAGCGAGGCATCCATCGACTTGACTGCCTCCAGGGGCTGCATGCCGCACATGCTGATGCCGGCAAAGTCGGTCAAGTAGTCCGACGCCTCGGCAACTCTCTCCTCCGCCTGACGCAGCGTCTGCGACTGCCAGGAGGAGTCCCATGCCGGTCGCTCGCTGGCCATCTTTGCCATGGCCTTGTGCTTCGAGGCCTCGATCATCGACTGGGCGACATCTGCCACCGTCGCATTCTCACCCCCTACGAGCTGAACCCCGCAGACAGGCACCACGAGAGGAGTGTACTTCTCTGGGGTGCTGGGAGGGTTGTCGGCGACGAACCTTCGGAGTCCCTCGTCCTCAGCCTCCTCGCCATCATCTGCAGGAGGATGAAACCTTTCTGGAGCGCCATGATCGGGATTGTATCGCTTTGCTCTTCGGGATATGCATCTTGTCGCAGGAGGAATCGCAGCTTGCCGCATATCCTGCACAACAGACCTGGCAGATAATGAGTAGCAGGTCTCTCTCTCCTCATCAACTCTCTGTCTGCCTGTCTGTCTGTCTGTCTGTCTGTCTGTCTGTCTGTCTGTCTGCCTGCCTGCCTGCCTGCCTGCCTGCCTGCCTGCCTGCCTGCCTGCCTGCCTGCCTGCCTGCCTGCCTGCCTGCCTGCCTGCCTGCCTGCCTGCCTGCCTGCCTGCCTGCCTGCCTGCCTGCCTGCCTGCCTGCCTGCCTGCCTGCCTGCCTGCCTGCCTGCCTGCCTGCCTGTCTGTCTGTCTGTCTGTCTGTCTGTCTGTCTGTCTGGCTGGCTGGCTGGCTGTCTGTCTGTCTGTCTGTCTGTCTGTCTGTCTGTCTGTCTGTCTGTCTGTCTGTCTGTCTGTCTGTCTGTCTGTCTGTCTGTCTGTCTGTCTGTCTCCTCTTCCGCCTCTTCTCCTCCTCTTCTCTTCTTCTTCTTCTCCTCCTCTCCTCCTCTCCTCCTCTCTGCTCACCTCATCACCTCCCACTGCTCGTTGAGGGAGGACGAGAAGTTGGTGGACACGAACGAAGCCAAGGACATGACGACACCTCAAACTTTGAACTTTGAAAGTTTGAAGGTTGAAAGTTTGAAGATTGAAAGTTTCAAAACACGGAGAGGATGGATACTTCCACGGATACTTCTACGGATACTTCTACGGATACTTCTACGGATACTTCTACGGATACTGCATTTGTTTCAGAGGCGCGTGATGCTACGTTGCAGTCGGCGATGGCTGTCGGCTGCTCCGCCCTCGCGCGGCCTCTGCCTCCTCCTCCCTCCCTCCTCCTCTCTCTCTCCTACAGGCTCATCTCTTTCGCGCTCCTCCTCCTTCTACTCTACCTTGGCCCCGCTCCGGGTAACCGTCACCTCTCATCCCCGCTTGATGCACGGTGGAGCCCCGAGATGGTCAGGGTTCCATGCTCCCTCCTCCCTTGGCATTCGTGAGATGTGTTCCATGCCCAAAGAGACCGAGAAGTCGAGCCTGGGGGTCTCTGGCATCGACGTGGTGGCGGATTCGAACCCCTTCAACCATCAGGTGTCGGACGTCGGCCGAGTCTATCCTTTCGACAAGAAGGGGATCCTCAAGGTGATACCGGAGGGGCTGGCAGGCTATCTCCACAAGATCCTGTACGGGAAGCGAAGGAGAAATCCCCCTCCAGTCCCAGTCCGAGCCTGGTACGACAGGGTTCTCAAGGAGAAGCCCGGCATCGTGATCCGCAAGGAGTCGATGCAGATCATCAGCGCCCTCAAGTCCCTGGCCAAGTCCGGCATCCCCAAGGGCAACCCCCACATCGTGACTCCTGGATTCTTGTTGGACGGGGTCCCGGGCATAGGAAAGAGTGCAATCATCAACCACTGTGTGCACTGGGCGAGGGCGAGCAAAGAGTGGATTGTTGTGTTCATCCCTGAGGGGTCGCGATTGGTACGCGGCCTTGGGAAGTTCGAGAGGGGCGGCGATGACGATGAGCTTGGGAGCATCATCGTTCAACCAGAGTTTGGGAAGGAGATTCTGCAGCACCTCATTGCAGCCCACAGACCGATGCTCGACGAGTTGCCGTTGAAAGAAGACGCAAACGTGAAATGTTCCGAGGCCATCGACAAAGCCTTGGCATCGAAAGTTGCCAGGGATTCAGTGAAGGCGCTTTTTCAAGTGACATGCGTTCTATACCCATCTTTCCGCTCAGGTTTTCCTCACAGGTGATGGAAACTCTGAAGGAGCAAACAAAGTTCCCTGTCCTTGTTGCAGGTACTTGCTCTTGTCTTTCTCTCCTGGCTAAATTGCTTGCAAGTGGACGAGATCAATGCTCTTCAAGGGATCAGTTTTTACTATGACCATAACATGAAGCAGGCAAGACTTTGGTCTTGCTACTTCATACTTGCGCTGAATGTCGTGACAGATCCCGGCCAAGAATGTTGTGATCGCAGAGTTCTTTGGGAGGTTTTTGGATGCAGGGTACAAGGTGAGCATTTGCACAAGATTTTTGCTTGCGGCTCAAAGATGTTGCAGAGAGGGTTGGTGCTTGGTGCTGCCACTCGAACAGGTATCTTTCAGCACGTTCGCCTGCCGCCTTTCCACAAGAAGCCGATTCAGGTCTTTCTTTCTGGAGGAGGCTGGCGGTCAGCCTGAAGTAGATGTTGATAGGTTCCTGGCATGACACGAGATGAGATCAGAAACATGCTTACCTTCCAGCAGAATCAGAAGGAATTCTTCACTAAGGTGACTTGGAAGTGTTTCAGGCTTCTTAGCAGGCCGACTAATCCATCGTCCCCTCATGATAGATAACGGACGAACTTCTTGACTACCTTGTTTTCGTCACGTGCGTATCTTTGGGTGGGATTTCAGCTGGGGGTAACATGCGGGTTCCTCAGGGAAGGAAGGCCTTACGAAGTAGAGAAAATGGCTGCTTCCGAGTTATTTAATGTCGGGTTGAAGAACCTGCCTAAGAAGAAGCGAGTTGGTAAGTTCTTTGGAGAGTCGCCGGTCACACAGATCATCGGAGCAGACGTTGATTGAAAGCCCATCGGCTGTCGGGCTGAGCCCACCCTGTTCTCGGGCATAGTTTACCAGTGAAGTAAAACAGTATCCTCGATGCAAGAGTGTGGTTAAAATGACATCGAGATCTATTGACCGCCCGATGCCATCGATGTAATGTTGCTAATCTACTCTAGAGACAAGAACATCCCCCGCCATGTTTGTATCTCTGGCCCAAGGCCAGTAGCACGCTGCAAGGCGCCACCACCAACGAGTACAAAACCCATGTCAGAGAGTACTGTCTCGGCTTGGTGCAGAGTTCTCCATCTGGCAATGACTGGGTTTACTTCTGTGGAGCTCGTCCCTGGAAATCTGTTAGCAGCAGAAAGAGCATGAAAAAGCATTTCAGACCAGAGAACGAGAGATTTTCTTCTTCAGGCTCCTCCACCTGAGCACGTGTCAGCCTTCACTGAGGGACTTTCGGTTAAGTACGGGTGGTTTGTCCAAGACTTCTTCTTTGCTCCCAGTTGAAAAGTGCTCTCAACTTGTTGAATTTGTGCCTATCACCACGTCTCACTATCGCACGAATCTTGACCGATTCGACTTGACCTCTAGTGGTATGCAATCGTGAAAAAGATCCGAAGTGTTGGGAAACAAACTGTCCAAATATGGACACGCCTGGAAAACAGATTGGTCACGTAGAGAGATTTCTCAACCTTCTCAACCTTCTTCGTATGGTTTGGATCCAAATCGCAAATGTGTTTGTGCAACTTAGCCGCTTCCTCTCTTTCGTCCGTTTTGACGAGAAGCGAGCACTGATAACGAACATCAGATAAATACAGGAGTGGATGATAGAGACCTTGTGGTCTAAGGTTAAGATATGCTCTGGATCTGACTTCAGAACCTGTTTCGAACAAGTCAATCAGAAGGGCGTAGAGGAAGCATGAAAATCATACAGTGCTGTATAATATTCTTGCCTTTTCAAAGTCATTTAAAACCTGTGACTTGATAAGATCCATGATGATAAGACAGATAGGACAGATAGGATGACTCATACATTCTGATGAATCAATCCAAGCATCGCAATGCAGTTGTGGTATGTGCTTTTGTCACATTTCTCCCATTCGCTCTCTTCATTGTACCCATGCACCACCTCCTCGAAAAGAGCCTTTGATCTCTCGTAGTTGCGCATATCGTACAGAACAATGGCCAGATGGTAGACTGTCTTGTCATGCTGAGGGCGAACAACGATTGCTCGTTCAAACAACTCGCTCGCTTTCTCGAGATCCCCCCTTGAGTATGAAATCTTGGCCAAGTTAGTGAGGCACTCGTAATTCACCGGGTCCTTCTCCAGCACTTGAGAGTATATTCTTTCAGCTCCTTTGTCGTCTCTGCTCGTGTGCATAGCATGAGCCTTCTCCACAAGCGCATCAAGGTTCGCTAGCTCCTCCTCCGTCAGCTTGTCGTGCGGTTCAAAATCCGACCTGACTCTGTCCACCGTAGCCTGATCCACAGCCTTCGACTCGATGCGCTTTCTCAAAGTTGGCTCGTTAATCCCATGAGCAATCAGCCTTCTGAGGTCATTGCTGTCCTTCCCCTTCTTGTGCTTCGCCTTCTCCCTGGCAAGGTTGATAAACTCCGGCGGTCGGGCAGAGCTGTCAACTCGAGTTCTGCCCCTGATTGCGGCCGAGCCGGCACGGCTCGTCCGAGTGGGAGACGAGGTTCCACCTGCAGGCCCATGATCTGTGCCCTCATCTCCTAGAAGATGGCCCAGATTCTCAAGCGCCAGAGCGACTTGGTCCGGGCGCAACTGCCCGCTTTCCTCGGATGGCATGGCGTCTGGTTCCGATCGATGGTGGTCGCAACGGGGTTACGATGGGCCCTTTAACCAGTGAAGTGGGCAAGGATGCAAGGTTTGAATGCTATGACGCCCAATCAATTGAGTTCGCAGGAAAAACAAAGACGGGGTGAGCAATCCCTTCACACGGGAACGAACAGACCTAAACCTGAACCTGCGAGGACTTCCTCCTTTCCAGGTGTCTGAGCATGAACCAGCTCAGAAGCTCTCCTGTTGTCTTCCAACAACAGAGGTTTTGACTGTCGTCAGGCTACACTCACTTGTTTCTCATCGCTTCCTCGCCCTTCTTTTCCCCACAGCCTCGTGCTCCTGCCATCCCTGCCGAAGCTTGGGAGCCCGACTCCCACCCCCTCCCCAACCATGCCATTACTACCCCCCTCCCTTCTCGTCCTCAATTACCCTACCCTCCGTTTGTATTTGAACCTCCGCTAGCCATAACCCCTCCATTACCATTAACCAAGGACCCCACCAGTCAGAACTCGCTTGACCCCATGACCCACCTTACCGTCCCCATGATCATCATATGATTTGTACCCTACCTGTTTCGATACTTTACCACCCACCCACATAAATCTTCTACCCCACCCTTGCTTCCACCCCTCATTTCCCTATTGAATACCCCACAATCGCTATCTCCATTACACCCTCTTCCAACACCCACCCTCTAGTTGTACCCACCATGTGGTTGTCCACGCACAGGCAGACTACCCATGTTGGAATCACCCGAGGGTACCCCCTGTTTGTGTTTATATATACCCCTACCTCCTGCTTTTGTTCCTCCCCATCTCCACCACCCTGCATGTTCCAATACATTACCCATCCCTCAAATGTACCCCATTCACCCCTATCTCCTTCAGCCTTTACCCCCTCCCCCTTTTCCTGTTTGTACTCCCCTGGTGAGATTCCCAGGATTTTTACTCAAGTGTGTCCGGATCACCCCACCCCTACCCCCATTCCACCCCACCCTTACACCCAATGACTTGATGGCAAACCCTATGGTGCCACCCCTGTGTCTCGAGACAAGAACCCCACCTCAGGTCTCACGGACCCCTATTGACGAAAACGCTATACTAAGCAACTGGACCCGGTGGTACATCACCCCCACCCCTTTTTTCGGGGACGTGAACAGGCGACGACCCACGGGAAATCTGGGGAGCATCTCGAGGCTGTGGAGGGAGGGGTCAAATACCATAGGTAGGTAGGGGTAGAACATTGTGGGAGGCAACCGGGTGGTAGCGAGATCAAATTGTGGTATGAAGGAGGGGTGGTAAAAGGTGAAGGTTGAGATTTGATGATCGACCTCGCCGGTGGCACAGATTTGAATGTCGAGGAGGGTAGGGTACTTGAGGGGAAGGACCAAAACTGGGTAGGTGTGGGATGTTTTGGGGTAGTGTGATGAGAGAGGGACGGGTAGGAGGGAAGACTAGTCCCCAGACATTTGGAGGGTGGGTGGTTGAAACTAAGGGGGTACAGTCCTACAAAAGACAAGGAAATTTGGAGGTGAGGCTGAAAATAAAGGTTGGCTGCCAAGGGGTGGGGTACATTCATAGTGTTTGGGAGGGTGGACTGGGGCGGGGGTACTGATTGAGTGGCACGAAGAGCCGAGAATGCAGAGGAACCTGTGAAGGGGAAGAGGAAGGGGCAGGGGGGGCGACAGAGGAAGAGAACAACAGGAAGGATGAAGAAAACTTAGAGATAACGAGAAGACATGCAGTCGGCGGGGGGATAGTGGTGGTGGTGGGGGGTGGGGGGTAGGAATTCATCGAGGGAAACAGATTGGATGAAGGGCTTGGGTGAGGGTAGGAGCGAACGAGGATGAGGTACGTGAAGCTGGGATCGAAAGAATGAGGCAATCATTACTGTTGTGCAGCATGTGACTTGGACAGTTAACAAGAAGTAGAATTGAAGTTAACAAATAGTGCAGTTGATCCTGACTATTGATTAGATATCTTTAAGAACGTAGATGAGAATGTTTCGAGGGAGACACAGTTGAAGGGGCAAGCTTGAATAGTGTTGGGATCAAACAAGAAACCACGTCCTGTGAGTGTTGATATCTGAACAACAGGCCGAGGTTGCTATCGTGGTGATATGCTGAGCGCTCTTCTTCTCCAAGATCTGCAGGTTATGATCATGCGCTGAACGATTGAAGGGGCTGAATCTTGGCCTGTGTGCAGGAATCCACGACACCCCAACAGCCCACCACTTTCTGGAGCCTCCTCGGCGACGTCGATCGATCCTACTATATCCATTATCCTTGCGAACTTGGACCAGTTGCGACACCTCTTGGATATCGTCAACAGACCTGCCACGCTTACAACTCGCCTACAATCTCGTCTTGGACAGTACCTGAGGAGAACTAGACAGTTGCCCTGAGTGTCCTGACAACTATGAGAAAATACAATCTGTCTGAACTCCTTAGTTACACTGCGGACGTGATCGTTGGGCAGAGGAAAGCTCTCGATGTCAAGTCTGCACAACCTGTCGGACCCAAGGACGATCTTTCTAGTTTCAGTCAACTCATTCAGTTGTCGTTGTTCATGCTCGTTGCCCTCCTGCTGGCGGAATATATTGGCAAGCTCGTTGGCTCTATGGCAGGTCTTAAGAGGGGAAAGCTGAAACGATTTGCTTCTACTTTTTCTGAGCTGGTTTATTACACATTCTCAGTGTTCTGTCTCTCAAAGATCTGTTGGAGCAGCAAGTGGTTTTGGCCGTCTGGCTGGTCGGAGGTCATGTACGACGGACGGGTGCAGAACATCCCTGATTTGGAGGCATACACAGTACCTGCGGATCTCAAGTGCTTCTATCTCTTTGAGACTTCATATTATTTCAGCAGCTTCATGTTGTTGCTCGTGAGGAAGAAGAAGAAGGACTTCTTGCAGATGGCCTTCCATCACATCGTCACATCTTTGCTTCTTCTCCTGTCGTACAGCACTGGTTACATCAGGATTGGTGCCGTGGTTATGATCCTCCACAATGTTTTTGATCCATTCATGCTTGTTGCCAAGTGCACGCATTACATGAATGTTCCACTGGTCCCTGACATCGCCTTCGCATGCTGTACCATCACGTTTGCCGTGTCAAGGTTGTATTACTATCCCCTTTCAATCTACTTTGCTTGGATCGGGGTCTGTACGGGGAATACAACCTGTCCTGGAGGAGTGTGGGACAAGACCCCAGTGGAGTTTTCTTTGATTGGTCTCTTGGCGGCGCTGTTGCCTGTGCACTTGATCTGGTTCAAGATGATTTTGAAAGTGCTGCAAAGTGCGCTGCTGCAGGCGGGAGTAAAAGGAGATGTGAGGAGTGATTCGGAGGACGAGGACGAGCCAGCGCACAGCAAAGAGCACACCAAGGTCAAGAAGCGGCAATGAAGGATCCTTGAGACCGTATCTATATCATATTCGCAGGCAGTTGGGTTTTGTTGCCATGATTCATTGGCACGCGGATCGACAGTTTGGACAGTTTGGCTTGCTTTGAGGTCAACGAATAAAGCAGAGGCATCGGTCGTTTAGTCTGATTTCTCCCACTTGTCAAACTTGTCGAGCAGAGGGTCCCTGATGGTTCCGTCCAGCGTTCCTGCAAGCTCTCAACATCGCTGAAGAGGGAGAAACCACTTCCCCTCCTCCCCATTCCCTCCTTCCCTTCCCCTCCTTATCCTCCCCTCTCCGCATCCCTCACTATCCTTACCTCCTGAGAAGGCATCTTGTCCCGAGCTGGAAGAGAGCAGACGCCTGCGGGACAATGAGAAGGGAGCAAGCAAGTCCTTCCCCACTTGCGCAAGCCTTCGAAGTTGTTGATCCTGTCCTCCAGCTGTAGCTCAGGGTCAACAGGGCCTCAAGGTCAAGAGGGCAGGGCATCCGCTTACCGCATCCTTGTTGATCTTGACCTGCTGCTCACGGGCCTCCAGGTCCAGCAGGTCGCCCTGCAGCGCCTGCATCGCATCACGAGTGGTTTGCAGAGCTCTAGGGCAGCCAGAGGACCTGCAGCTTCTCTTGATCTCTCAGCTTTTCTGCCAAGTGGACTCTTGCCTGGTCCTCGTTGCCCTGCAGCCGGATGAGCGGAGGGAACCAGCACACGTCTCGTAACCTGCTCCAGCTGCTGGCGAGCTCGAGCCATGCTGGTGTCGATAGAGGCCTTCAGCGATCGAACTTGAGACTCTTGGGCAGGGGTGAGGAAGCAGCAGCCGTGTCATAGGGGGAACCTTTGCTGTCTCGAGCATCTACGATGATCCGAAGGGAGTCTTCGGTGTCACGTAGATCGATGATCTGACGACCCGCAAGAATGTCACTGAGTAACTTGAAGTTTGTCGTGAAGCACGATTCTCATTCCCAGCACTTCCACATCTCCATCATTATCATCATCATTCCTTCAACTCCTTCATCTCCATCATCATCTCCATCATCATCTCCATCATCATCTCCATCATCATCTCCATCATCCCCATCCTTCTCCTCTTCATCATCATCATCTCATTCACCAGCTGCTTGAGCAGCATGGCGCTTTCTTTGGTGAGCCCCAGCCCTGCATCGCATGCATCATCAAACTGCTGCTACACGAGCAGCAAGACTACTCTTGAGCTCCTCAGCTTGCGCGGCATCAGAGAGTCCTGTGCCTTTACCCAGCCAACCCCCGATCTGCCCGCCCAGCTCGTCAGTGTCTCCCTCCACCGTCACAGCATACCAGGGCCCCGAACGGCCCGGCCACCAGGGCCCCCACGAGAGCTCCGCCTGAAGGTCGAGAGGGTGAGTGTAGAACCCTCAGCAGCAGCCCAGCAGACCTGCCGCGCCTCGGAGGTTCGTCCCTGACCTGACGTCTGCTCCAGAGTCCACCCACCCCTTGGCGTCTCCCAGCTGAGGCATGTCAGAGGAGGTATCATCGTGCGGTGCCCCAACCTTGTCTCTTGCCAGCCTCCCGGCTCTCTTCCACATGTCGTCTACTTGCATTCGCAGCCTGCAGATCTCGGCCCTTGGAGCAGGCAATGATCATCATGGTGGATCGCCCCCCCCCCCCCCTTCAGGCTCGCTCCTCCCCACTTTCTCCCTCCATCCCTCGCTCTCCCCCCTCCAGCATCTTGCTGAATATCCTTCGTCTCCCTTGCCCTCTCTGGTACTGTCAGCCTAGTTGGCATTAAGAACCTCCCGTCCCTCCTCCTCCATCGCACTCCTCCTCCTCTCATCCTCCTCCTCTCATCCTCCTCCTCTCCTTCTCCTCTCCTTCTCCATCGCGTCCTCACCTTCTGCTCGTCTTGATCCCTGCATGCGCTCCAACATGAAAGCCGTCACATCTTCCTAAGAGCACCGCCGCCATGGCGACCACCAGGGCCACCCGCGGCTGAACCATGGCGAACTTTACGGCAAGGTCAGCAAAGACCGGCCCGCCTCAATTTCATTGGCCGCAGAAGATGCTTCGAACCAGGATGCGCTTCTGCGTGGCCATGGCAGTTCCGATGATCATGGCGACAGAAGGTGAGGATGGAGGAGGATACAGAGACCATGGAGACGAGCAGAAGGGAGGAGGAGACGAGCAGCCTGAGTAGTAGTAGTAGTACTAGGATGAGGAGGAGGAGGCGGAATGGGGGGCTGGGATCTGGAGGCTGCTTATGAGTCCTGGGGCATGGGGGCAGGGGATCAGAGGAGCGGTGAGAGGAGATAGTAGCGAGCTCTATGCTTAGATGTCTTACTCCTGATATCCAGGCTTCATGTTGTCGAGCCCAACCAACTGGAGCGTGCGGAGGCATCACGGCGTCAGGGCAATGTCGGGCATGGCAGGAGGAGGTTCGGAAAGCAAACGAGCTCTGTGCATCCTGGCAGAGGTGAGGGAGGAGGAGGGAGGGAGAGGTGAACGAGGAGGAGGGAGGGAGAGGTGAACGAGGAGGAGGGAGGGAGAGGTGAACGAGGAGGAGGGAGGGAGAGGTGAGGGAGGAGGAGCTGGGGATAGTCTGATGCTGGTCGAAGGGGTTCGAAGAGCTGGAGGCCGTCGCTCCCATCGACATCCTTCGGCGGGCGAACATCGAGGTCACCGTTGCTTCCCTCTCGCAAGATCGCCTGGTCAAGGGCCGCAATGGCATCTCAGGTGGAACAACTGACGTCTTGTCCTGCTCTCCTCACCTCCTCCTCAGTCATGGCGGACGTCGACCTGGACGCGGCGCTCAGCACCTCCTCCTACGACGCCATCATCGTCCCCGGTGGCCCCCCGGCCGTCCCCTCGATCGGAACCCTCAAGAAGGACAAGCGTGTGCTTGAGCTCTTGCAGCAGCAAATGAGCGCTGGCCGCGTCGTCAGCGCCATCTGCGCTGCTCCCTCCGTCCTCCACGAGGCCGGCGTGCTCGAGGGCAAGAAGTACACCGCCCACTTCTCCGTGGTGCGTTCTCCTTCCCCTCCCCACCCCGCCTCTGCTTGCTGCCCAGCTCACTGTAGTGTGTCGCAGGAGAGCGTCGTGCCCAAGCTGGACAAGAGCTCGGCTGTGGTGGTGGATGGGAACTTGATCACGTCACAGGGAGCAGGGACAGGAACGCAGTTCGGGTTGGCGCTCGTGGAGAAGCTCAAGGACAAGGTGTGGAGGGGAGGAGGGGGAGAAGGAGGGAGAGGCGATGACTTGCTACTCACAGGCTACAGCGGACGAGATCGCCGCTTCAATCTGCTGGAAGGGATAAGAATGGAGGGAGGAGGAGGAGGAGGAGGAGAAGGAGGAGGAGGAGGAGGACTAGAAGGGAAGCGTCTTCTTGGGGAAGAACTTCTGCTTGAGGTTCACGTAGTAGAATTTCCAGTGTGTCCATCCCATCTGTCTTGGGTGTCAGCGCTACCTGCCCCTTACACTCTCCTCCTCCTCCTCCTCCTCCTTCCCTTCAACCCCTCACTCGCATTGTTGTGCTCTCACCTGCTCAGCAATGGCCTCGAGCTCGGACACAATCTTCTTCGACGGAGGCCCCTCGTTGCTCTTCATCACCTGCCCTCCTGGTCATCACTCCCTCCTTCTGCTCCTCCCTCAACGCCCCTTCCTCTCCGAGTCTCCTGCCCCAACTCCCTCCCTGTCTCCGTCTCCCTCCTCCCCAACCTTCAGCAGGTCCTCTAGGGCTCCTCCCGCGCGTCCTTGTCGCCGCTTGACAGCTGACGTGATACTCGTGTACCGCACCTGCGCACGTTCTCGGTGAGGGGAAGGGGAACGGGAGCGGAGGAGAACGAGAGGAGTGAAGGGAGGAGGAGAGAGGAGAAGAAAGAGAAGCAGGGGTTGTGGGGGGAGGGTCGAACCAGCTGCTCGAACTTCTGATCGCTAGCCGTCCACTGGTTCAGGTTCTCAAGGTTCTCCTGCATGAGGCTCAGAGGCCTGAAGGGATCAGGTCAACCACCTTGAGAAAGTCGGCAGGGGACTTGTCTTGACATCCCGCAAGCGCAAGGTCGACGTCCTTGGATGAGCGTGAGTGTGCCGAGAGTAGCAGTTGAGGGGAAGGGAGCAGGAGCAGGAAGATCAGGGGGAAGCAGGAGGAGAACGGGCAGCCCAGAAGGAGCTAGCTGGAGCTGAAGCAGTCCGGAAGCAGGCGGCAGGAAGAGGTGTTTGAGGATTGTTGGAGAGGGTTGAGGACACGGAGAAGTTTGACGAGACGAAGAGGGTTGAGGAGACGAAGAGGGTTGAGGAGAAGGGCGGGGAGGGGCGGAGGAATTCACCGGCATGAGCTCCGCAGAAGGAGCAGGAAGCAGAAGCTCTTGAAACCTCTCGAGGCGACACAGAAGAGCATCGATCAAGATCTCCTTCAGCTTGTCCATCTCCTTGCACTTCTCCTACATCCCCTCCCTTCAGCCCAGCACACAGCAGGGTAGCGGCAGGGTGAGGAAAGGGGAAGGGAAGATGACGGGGTGGGTTGAGGGTTCAAACGATTCGAGTGAGAGCAGCTGCTGAAAGTAGAACGAGCGAACAAGGGGAGGAAACAAAGGAGGAGGAGGAGGAGGAGGAGGAGGAGGAGGAGGAGGAGGAGAAAGAGGAGGGAGCAAGGAAGAGGAGGCAGGAGGAGACCTTGCTCTCAGGGTCGTCCTTGACTTGCTTCAGCCCATAGTGCGCCGCCAACTCCTTCTGGTCGACCGAGTCCAGGACCCAGTTGGTGGCCTCGATGGCTTCAAGGCACCTTGACTTTCTCTGCTGCTCTGCCTCGGCACTGTCTCCCTCCACATCCCTCTTGGAGAGGATCTCCTTCAGAACCTGCACGTTCTTGGGGTTCTGCAAGTGACAGTGAGGAGGGGAGGGAGAGGGTGAAGAGGCAGAAGAGATATTTCACCTCAGCTCGGAGCTCCTTGGCCAGGGCCTCGAACTCGCTCGGCATCTTGTCCTCCCTGAGGGACTTGAGAACCTTGATCTTGGCCTCCAGCATCTGCTCGGCCTGCCGCTCCTCCGGCGTCTTCTTCTTGGAGCTTTCGTCCTTGTCCTGCTCCTCCTTGCTCTCTTCGGGGGGCAGCAGGACCTGGACCCTGCACGCGTTCTTCACCTCCCCGCACGCGATCGAGCCCAGCAGGACGTCGCCTGGCTTTCCTCCTGCGACCTTGTCGGAGGGGCCCGTGAAGAAGACCCTAACTCGCTCCCCGCGCGTCAGGGTCTTCTTGCTCAACTTTTCCCCGTTGGTGATGGCGGCGCCGTAGGAGGCGAAGGCTCTGCACGAGAGCTCTTTGGCGAGCGCGAAGTCCAGGCAGAGGACGAGGCTCTTGAGGCTGTCGAGCAAGGACTTGCTGTCGTGCCGCAGCTGCAGGCGCAGGGAGTACTTGCCCTTGGGCAACGAGACGTCGTAGGTGTGCAGGCCATCCCCGGACCCCATGAGCTGAGAGTTGGAGTCGAAGATCATCCAGAGCTGCGAGTCCAGGGGGGAGTCGTAGAGGACCTCGAACATGCTCGCGCGGGGGGTGACCTTGACCGCCTCCTTCTCCGTCTGCTCGAAGCTGTAGGAGAGCTCCATCTCGTAGATCTGCCGGTTGTTGGGCAGAAGGTCCCTCTCCGGCGACCGGACGTTGATGGAGGACTTGGTGGGCCGGAGGAGCTTGCGGAGGTGCGTGAGCTTGGAGGAGAGGGAGATCGTCTCGCTCCTCAGAGGGGCAGACAGGAAGAGACTGACGGGCTCGGCCGACCCGATGGCGAGCACCTCGGACGAGACCTCGACGCCGTGGAAGACGATCTCGATGTCCACCTCCACCTCCCCGATGCTCGCCCACCACTTGCACATGCAGACCTCCAGCGTCACTCCGCCCCGCACGCTCACCCGCTCCGTCACGTTGGTGAAGGGCTTCAGCCGCAGGTACTTGTCGAGCTCCGATGGGTTGCGAGAGGTGACGGGGGAGGAAGGGAGAACCTGGAGGCAGTGGAGGACGAGCATGTGGTTGCCTTCCAGCTGCTTCGGCTTCACGGTGAACTCTGCCCACGTAGCCCCACGGGGAACGGAGAGGAAGTGACGGTCAAGAGTTCCAGGCAGGTAGCGCTGAGCAGGCAGGGAGAGCGAGAAGTCGCCAGGAGGGATGGTCATCGGCTTGATCACCGTCACGGGGAAGCGGAAGATCGGTCCCAGGGAAGGACATTCAGAGTCGAAGCCGAGGATCTCGCAGAAGTGAGCTCCGGTGGGGAGGGAGGAGGGGTCGACTCGAGCCTCGAAGCCCTTCCCCGAAGCGTTGAGCATCAAGAAGTTGGGGACCTCGCACCATGAGGCGGTCGACTTGACCGAGACCTTGACCTCAAAGGCGACCTTCTGCCTGTTGTCGCACTCGTCGTGGAACTTTGGGCTGGCAAAGAGGTTGGCCGCAAAGACCTCGGAGACTTCGGAGAGGTCTCGGAGGTACAAACCCCTCGCGTCATCCCTTGCAGGCACTACCACGTCGATAGGAACGTCAAATGCAACCGAACGATTCTGATGTGCCTTGAAGTGCTGGAATGCCTTGTCGACCTGGAGCAGACCAGGTCCAAGAGCCCAGGGCTCGATCCCCTCCACCTTGAGGGCTGAGTTCTGGATGACCCGCCGGATGCTCGCCGGCGTCCACGATGCCGCACCCGAGAGCAGGGCGGAGAGGATGAGAGCGAGGCCTCCACAGCAGTTGGGCGAGGACATGGACGTGCCGTTCATGAGCTGCTTCCCTTGCAGCGTCCACGTCGGCACTGGTGCGATCGCTCCTCCTGGAGCACAGATGGTGACGCCAAGGTTTCCGTCGGGGGAGGGGCCGCGGGAGGACCAGGTGTAGTTGGTGGAAGCGAGAGTCTCCCGCAGCGAGTACTCCACCTCCATCATCCCGGGTGAAACGAAGGCCCCGACGCTGATGAAGGAGGAGGACATGCAGGCTGGAGCCCCGACGGTCGACAGGGCTGGGCCGTTGTTGCCCGCGGAGCAGACGAAGATGATGCCATGCTTGTTCACGAACTCGTTGATCAGCTCCGGCACGCGCCCGCTCTTGTCGTGCACGAAGCTCTCCCCATAGCTCAGGTTGATCAGTTGACACCCGTTGTCCTTGGCCACCTTCAACGCGCGGATCAGGCTGGTTCCAGTCTCCATCGATCCCAGGCGCGAGTCTCCGATCTTGCACGACACGATCTGAGCGCCGGGAGCGATGCCGTTGAGTTTCGGGTCATCAGGGAAGTTGGCGGCCACGATGCCTGGGAGAATGAAGAGACGGGTGGTCAGAAGGACGGAGGGAGGGCGAGACATCAAGGCTCAGAAGGGAAGGGCGAACGGCTCACCTGCGACGTGCGTGCCGTGGGAGCCAGCTTCGCAGACGATGGACAGGAGGTCGCCCTCTTGGAAGATGCCAACACAGACGTTGAGCAGGACAGAATGGTCCCTTACCCCCCTCACTGAGGACAGGGTGACAAACTCCCGCTCCTCCCTGAAGGTGGCCAGCGCCTTCACCTCCTGCAGATCCCCGCTCTCCTGGAAGTCGATGAGCGCTCGCCACCTCTCGCCGTCTGAGTAGACGACGCAGTCGAAGGCAGGCCCCGGATCCGAATACTGCTCCATCGCCTCCTTGAGCGCGTCCACCACCTGCTCCAGGTCCTTGCGCTCCTTCTTCTCCTTGTCATTGGGTGACTTGTGGCTCTTCTCCCACTCTCTGAGCGCCGCCTGGGCCGCCGCGACGGCCTCCTGCTGCTTCACCAGGAAGGACTCCTTCCTCTCCTCCTTGACCCTCTTGACCAGAGGGCGCGGGAACAACTCGTACGCCCTCTTCAACCCAAGATGAAACTTCCCTGACGGGCATGTCCGGCTCCCCAAGTTGAGCGTCCTCCCTGAAAGGCCCGTGATCGTGGTCTCGCCCTCCTTCAGCTCGACGACCTCGCTGGTGTCGACGTCTCCGCTCCCCGTGCAGTCCACCACGTCAATCATTTTGGGTCTCCTGCCGCACTCCAGTCAACCACCCCAACTAGCTCTCGTCTGCGCACCCGTCGGAGGTGACGAGCAGGCCTGCGGCGCCGGGGTCGACCCCCGTGTCGAAGATCGCCACCTTGATGCCTCTCCCGTCCCATTCGGCTGCACTCACCCGCTCAGCTCCGATTCACACCAGCACAGGGTCACTCACGATGCTCCTCGATGAACTTGGAGGCCTCTGTCTCAGCCTTGGGGAGGATTCCTTCCTTGGGGAAGGGAAGCGCTTCGACGTCCATCACTGCCAGCCACGAGGTCAATATGTCCTGCTGCAAGGAGCTCGCTTCCAACAGAATGGACCAAGTGAGCTATGGTTTTGTCTGAGTGAAATGAACGTGCATAGTCTGGAAATCACATGTTCTTCCTACCCACCTAATCCATGTATCATTCTTCAGCTTCGTCTACCCTGCTCGAATCATTGATTTTGCCTCTGAGTCTCCTCCCCCTCCCCTCTCCCCTCCTCTCTTCTCTCTTCTCTCTTCCCCCCCCTCTCTCTCCCTCCTTTCACTTCTCTCTCACACGCTCCCTCCCTCCCTCCCTCCTCCCTCCTCCCTCTCCCCTCTCTCCTCCTCTCTCCTCCTCTTCCCTCCCCTCCTCCCATTATCTCTTCTATTTCCCTCCCTCTCTCCTCTCCCTCCATCCTATTCCCAGCATTACTATCCCTGTGACGAATCGGCCTTGAGTCTCGTCAGTTACCCACCGTTGCGTGCAGGTTCGATCCGTAACCGTTGTAACTGTTCCCCTTTGCGGCCCAACCAGATTCTTGATGGCTCAACTAGCGGGGGACGTGAAGAGGAGTCGAGGGGTGGACATGGCAGAGGGAGGGAGGGAAAGAAGAGACGCGAGGAAGAGCAGGCGGAGTGGAGGAGGAGCAGACAAGATGAGGAGAAGGGATGAAGGAGACGGGAGGAGCAGGGGAGGAAGCCGAGGGCGGGAGGAGGAGGAACCGACCAGGACTACGGGGAGAGTAGCAAGAGATCTAGATTGAGGTCAGGGATACGAAGCCAAGAGAGTTGGGAATGTGAAGTTTTCCATGTGTTCTGACAGAGGAAGGAAAGTTCAAGGTTAGTAGACACGAGTAGTGTCGAGGTTCCTTCAGCGCCACTTCGCCTTGGCATGCTAGGGTGGTCCCATGACCTGGGCCCAAGTTCAACGGTAGAGTCTGACGGCAGGACATGAACAGCACGAGTCTGTGACCGACCCTTGATCGTGACACGCTCCTTCCTCTCAGGTGCATCTGCCAGCATGAGGATAGTGAGCCTGCTGCCTTCCGCCACTGAGATCCTGGCCCTCATCGGCGCCAAGGACATGCTGGTGGGCCGCAGCCATGAGTGCGACTTCCCTCCAGAGATCCTGAAGCTGCCGACCGTGACCAACTCCCAGCTTGTCTTCCAGAGCTCTGCTCAGATCGACCAGGCCGTGCGGGAGTCCTCCAAGGCGGGGATAGACCTCTACGCTGTGGACGCGGACCTGCTGACGGCACTGAAGCCGGACCTGATCATAACCCAGGGCCTGTGCAGTGTGTGCTCCATCGATGGGACCAAGGTCCATCAGATCGTGAGGCGCATGGAGGTCCGTCCCAAGATCCTCGAGCTCAGTCCCAACACGCTGGAAGACGTTTTGCAGAACGTGGAGCAGGTCGGGGAGGCTGTGGGGCTGACAGATCGCGCTGCCGACGTGAAGCTCTACCTCAAGAAGCGAATAGAACTGGCGACGAAGACAGCAGAAGAAGGGAGGAAGAAGAGTGTCCATCCAGTCAACGTCGCCTTCCTTGAGTGGCTGAACCCCTTGTATATTGGGGGGCACTGGACACCGCAGCTGATAGAGATGGCAGGAGGCGAGCAGAAGCTGCACAACACAGCGAGGCAGAAGGAGGTGGGATTCAAGTCCTATGCCATCTCGCAGGAGGCAGTCACTCAGTCCGATCCTGACGCGATCATCATCGCCCCTTGCGGCCTAGACCTCGGTGCGACTGAGACTGAGATCGCGAACCTGGTGCATGACCAAGACTCCGAGTGGTCGCGATGGTTCTGCGAGCTCAGAGCTGTGAAGGGGAAGCGCGTGGCTCTGGTGGACGGCAGTCAAATGTTCAACCGTCCCGGCCCGCGACTTGTCGATGCTCTCGAGTGGTTGTCCTCCTTCCTCTACCCCGACGCTCAGCAGCTCAATCCCATCCGAAGCAGGTGAGGAATCTGCTGCCTCTCCTCTCTCAGATTCCGTGCAGTCGCTTTCCCTGGAAGGTGATGGAGCTCGCCAACCTGCCCAAGAAAGCTTGTCTCGCAACCTCGTCAGGCGACAAGGAGCAGCGAGATTCGCGTTCAGATCGGTACTCCTCGCCAGGTGTTGGGCACGCACAAGGTTGGAGCTTTCCTCTCGAGTGACTGTCTTGCAGTTGGAGGGTTTGGGCAGGACATTGAAGACTGTCACCGGCTGGCGATGGAGGTCTGAAGTTCAGTTCCCTGCTCAGGATGAGTGAGACGGCAGGCGGGGGAGGATATGTACACAGATCCTCGAACAGGCTTCATGGTCTTCACTGAGATGGCGGCTCTCAAGCGAGGAAGCTGCTGTGGCCGAGGGTGTCGACACTGCCCGTACGGGCATTGGAACGTGCAGGTACCCGGAGGAGGAAGCTGTCGCTCTTTGACTTCCGGCATGCAGAAGTTTCAAGACAGGAAGAACGTCGTTCGCAGGCCCACCCTCCTCCCACCTGTGCAGGCGAAGAGCAAGACGTTCTCGAGCTTGACCTTTGTCTTCTGGAGTGGCGGGAAGGACTCGTACATGGCGTACCTCTCGCATTGCTCTGCCATCGCTTCCACTTCGTCCGAAGCTCACGTGAGTGCTGCTCTTGCTTGCCATGGATGGCCGCTGAGTCGTGACAGGACAACGAAGTCATCCTCCTCACCACCTTTAACTCCTCCACGGGCATCATTCCCGAGCAGGATCTGCCGATTCAGAAGATCATGGATCAGGCCAAGGCTCTCGGAGTGAAGCTGCTGCTGGTCCCCCTGCCGGAGAACTGCGACAACGGTCTGCCCTCCTACCTCCCTGCATCGTCTCCCCTCCTCTTCTCACCATTCCTGATGCACTCTCATCTCCCTCTCTTTCCTCATGCAACTTGGGTTCAGACGTGTACGTCACGCACATCCTCGAAGCCGTGGATCACGTTCTCGACACTCTCGGCATCTCGACAAGCAAGCGGTCATGACAGACGAGTACTAAGGCGCTTCTGATTACTGCACCAGGTCTCAAGCTGTTCAGTTTGTGTTTGGCGATTTGCATCTTCAAGACATCCAGCAATGGCGGAGGCAGAAGTTTGAAGGTGACCTCGCGTCGCCATGTAACCTTGTGACCGCCCGCATAGCAAGCGAAGGCATCCCGTGCAAGTTCCCACTGTTCGACAAGGACTACAATGACCTGATGGACTTGCTCTGGCAGAAGCCCGTGAGCTCAAGTACCCTCGAGGAACCAGAACGCTGAGGTGTCTTGCCAGGTCACAGTGAAGATCAGCAGCGTCTGCTCCTCCCAGAGCTCCTTGAAAGTCGGCCAGACGTTCGACCGCGAGCTTGCGGAGCAGCTTCATGCCCGTGGAGAAGTCGATGCGTTTGGGGAGAAGGGCGAGTTCCACACGGAAGTCGTGCTGTGAGAGCCAACGACAGGGTTCTCCTGCGCGATCTCAGTCATTTATTCCACAATCAATTCATCCCTCCTTGTTATTCATTCTTTCACACTAGTGTTACAGCGGTTTTCCGTTTAGAAGTCCGACTCGCGAGACCCCGATCGATCTCTCCTCTCCCTCTGCCCGTTGGCGTTGTCATGTCTCTCCTTGGCCTTCTGGTATGCCATCTTCGCTCGCTCGAGATACGCTCCCTGCTCAACAACGGTAAGAAGCTGTGGGGGAGTGCGCAAGTCTGCTCACGTCATCCTCGTCTTCGCTATTGTACATGTGAGGCTGGCTGTTGAGCGGGGGAATGGCCTGCTGTGTCCGATTCAGTCCCAGCACGACCAACTCTTCCTCAACAGACCTTCTTCGGCAGGCTCTGGCAGAACTCGCTGAACTCCTCGTCGTCATGGTCACCCACAGGTCCCTCACGCTCCTGTCAGACATTCAGCTCAAGGCAAGAGAACCTCCGACATGCTCACGTTCTCCCACGAATGGGCAGACGCCTGCAGACTGCCCCACGCGGGATGATCATTGAGGTGCATGCCAGGGCTCTTGCGGGTCGAGTAGGCCGTCCTTGGGGTCATGGGCGAGCGGCTGGGAGATCCAGGAGTCTTATCCTTCCTAGATAGAGACTTGCGGATCTTGGACTGAAGGTTTGACTCGACCTCGCCGTCCTGGTAAGCCGCTTCATCGTAGTACATCTTGGGAGACTGCTGGAGTGCATCAAGTTCAGACACTGGGAGGCGGAGAGCGATCTATCACTCACGCTTACGGCGGGCTTGCGCTTTTGCTTCTCTTCAGATCGATGTGTGGTGACAACCTTGCTAAACTTTGCGAAATCATCCTCGTCGATACCAGATTCAATTAGCTTCTTGTCGAAGTACATCTTGAAGTAGAGCAGAGCAAAGCCGTACACTGTACAACAACCACGTCTCAGCGCACGAGAGTAGAATGTCAACTCGACAAACGAGGAAGCTGCACTCACCAGATTTCGCAATCACATCCAAGATGCAGTGGAAAATGTGATTGATGTCGTTTGAGATGACATTGGCCGCTCTGTATGAGAGAAGCCACAGCAGGGGGAACAGGAGCCAGATTCCTAAGGCGACGTCAGCGGCTGATTCAGAGACTCTCTCAGGACGTGACTCACCGAAGTAGATGAAGACTGCCGTCTTCAAGTGCCTGCGAGCCATGGTCAGCCGCCCGTCAGCCGCCCGTCCAATTGCTTACTTGAGACTCTGCTTGGCGTTGCTGTCACGGGCGCACAGCGTGAAGAAGTCGAGTCTCTGCCTGACGATGGACAAGATGAAGACGTACGTGAAGGTGAACAGGACCATTCCCATGGCGAACCAGCAGTAGGAGAACGGAGCTACTGCCAAACTGCAAGCCACCGCGATCACGAGGCACGTGAACACCAGGACCGCGCTAGAAATCTTGTACGGGGCATCAAGACACCAGAGCAGGTCCAAGGTAAGGAGGGGGCAGGTGGTGCAGTAGTCGACGTAAGGGATGACTGTCAAAGGAGCGAAACCATTGTCGTTGGAGTGCGATTGCAATACCTTGGCGAAATAGGCAAGCGCACACCTGGCAGGAAAAATGTTACCCACCTTCGTCTCACTCGTTCCCGCCAATCTCACCAGAGATTGATAAAGACTGTAAGCATGTTCTGTTCCTTGAAACCATTGTAGAAGGACTCTGTACCACTGCAGGGACGGGTGTAAGAACAGCAGCAGCAGTTTGCACAAGAAAGGATCACCCGGGGCCCTTGTATCGGAGAGAAATCACCAGCAAAATAATAAACGAGGCCGAGATGGCAAGAAAGGAGATCCAGTTGGCGGTGATAACAGCGCTGCTCGCAACCATCGTGTGCAGACTTTGCCAACGACGACTGGGCACTTACAAACTGAGGGTAAAACCGAGACGAGCAGACACGGCTGGGGAGAGGGAAGGGCAAGAGCTGAGACGGCAGGGAGGAGGTTGAAGTACGAGAGCAGTAGGTCGGAGAGACTGCTGGAAGAGAGGAGGAGGAGGAGGAGCAGGCAAGCGAGTGGGTGCCGTCGACGAGGACGAAGCAGACGGGTGGACGTGGGACCAAATAATGGAATTGGGCCAGAGGGGACAATGACTAGAGGGTCCTAGGAGAAGTAGGACCAGAAGTCTATCTTTAAAAATCTACCTCTGCTATGACCCAGTGGGTAGGGGTCCTCTAAGAGTCGTAACGAGAGAATGGGGCAGTGATACCTCCACCCCCTCATAATCCTAAAAGAGAGAGAGATTAAAGGGGTAGGGTCAGTGTGAATGACACTAAGAAAGGGGCAATCTTAGGTCAACGGGGGTGGGATGTCACGTCACGGGTACTCAGATGCTAGAAACCTGTGGTAGGGATGAGGTGGGGTCTGTGGCATGGGAGCCACAATGGGGGGTAGGGTATAGTTTTGACTGGAAGGGCTGAGGGGAAAAAAAGTCCTGGAGGCGGAGGGGGAGGGGGAGGGGTAGTTGCCGTTGTAGGAGGAGAAAGGCTGAAACGGTCGGGTCAACAATTATTGAAAGAGGGGTGGGGTGAAAGACGACTGGCAGTCAAGTGCTCACTTAATAGTTGCTAGGACCTGAAATGGTAGGGGGGTGCCTAGCAGAATGCAAAATTGGGGGGCCATGATTTTCAGATCAAATCGCCCCCTTCCGAGTAAAGAGATCTGGAACGTTGCGTTCTCAACCGTGATGTGATCTGAATCGATGTACTCAACAGGGTGTACCCCACCCATCAAATCCTTAGGGGTCAAAAGTGGGTTTATGGCGCTGAAGGGGCTCAAACGCAGCGATTCTGGGGGGCCCGAGAGCTCACTATTATGAGGGGTACTGCCTGCCTCAGTCGGTGAGGGGTGGGGTCTGTGGGGTTGTCCTCGTACTGATTCTTTAACTTAACTTTGGCCCAGTGAGTCCGTGACCGCGCATCGTGGGACCCCGCAACTCCGAGGGGCTAAACACTGAGAACTCGGAGGCTCGGAACTCGGGCCGCTGGCCGGGCCCGGCCGGGCCCGTTCACTGGTGGCCCGGTCGGCCCGGCACCGCCGGGCACTGACCGGGGTAAAACGAGGCACCGCGGCCCGCCGCACAGCCGGTAGCAAACGGGTAGGAGAAGAGTATTAATTGACTTCTGCCTTCATAATATTCAATAGAAAGATACTGAGGCGGACTGGTGTACCTAATTAAAGGGTGTGATCACGGGGCAGCATTTGAAGTTTCGTCCACCATGCTGAAGATTGTGATTGTGGTGGCGCTGTTGGCGACGGGGACGGGGAAGACATGGAGCGAAGGAGAGCGGATACACGAGAACCACCTGAGATCTCGCACATCACCTGCCCTCTCATGCTGCATCCTGCTACAGCCAACCTCGCTGTTCGTCTCGTACTCACCTGCGGTGAACGTGGAGGTCGGGGTATCGGAGCAGTGCGCAAGCGGGAAGAGGGAGTCAAGGCTGGATGTCAACGGACAGACTGTCAGCCAGGTTGTGTGCCCCTCTCGCTTCACTGTGAACTTGGAGCAGCATGGCCTGTACAACCTCACGCTCAGTGAGGCCAGCGGGGCAAAGAGCTCAGTGAGTTTCTTTGTGGCCCACAAGGATTTCTCTAATGAGCGGATATGGAGCCCTGCCAGCCTGTCCCTTCACTCTGATCAGAACAGGCCGCACGATGACGGGAAGGAGTGCGTAGAGGGGGCTGATACAAAGTTCTGGGTGTTCGTAGCTGCATGGAATGCAGCAAGATGGGTGAACACGACACTGTCAAGTCTTCGCCAACAGACCCACTGTAACTTCTTCTGTGTTGTTGTGGACGACGCGTCAACAGACAGTACGAGCTCGGTCGTGCAGGAGATGATACGGGGGGACGAGAGGTTTCTGCTGCTGGGGAGGTAGTGCTCCTTGACTTGATTCAGGTTCACCTTAATGAACAACAACAAGAGGCTCGGGGCGGCTCGGAACTTCTTCCAGCACATCTCCGAGCACACAAGCCGCATGAGCGATGAAGATGTGATCGTGTTCCTCGACGGAGATGACTGGCTCGCCGACCAGAACGTCCTTCTCCACCTGGCTGAAGACTACTACCGAAACACGAGCTGCTGGATGACCTACGGAAGCCTAGGTCGAAGGAGGGGGTGGGTGGGGGGGGGGCATGAGGAGGAGGAAGAGGTGGTGGTAGTGGTGGTGGTGGTGGTGTGGTGGTGGTGGTGGATGAGCAGGAGCAGGAGCAGGAGGAGCAGGAGCAGGAGGATGCTCACCGTGCTCTCAGTCTACTTCCCGCATGGCATCGCCTCTATCTCTCCTCCTTTCCCACCGAGTGTTGTGCAGTCCTCCTCCTACCGGGCAAACTTGCAGGCTCGTGCTTTTCTCCCCACTGACTTGCTAGCAGAAGTTCGAGTGGATCAGCACGCACCTCCGAACCGTCAAGTTCAAGGTCTGGAGGAACCTACGAGAAGAAGACTTCAGGTGCTCGCCGGCCCCTGTCCCCTGCTACTCCCCCTGCTGACGCCCCAGCAGGGGGCCCGAAGGGCGCTTCCTTGACATGACTGTCGACATGGCCATAATGTTCCCGTCCCTCGAGATGGTGCGTGTCCCATGGCTCTGTGCGGCAACGCTGAGGAGCGACAGGCGGCAGGACGAGCTTGTGCTGTGCAACGCGTGATGTACGTGTACAACATGGCGAACGAGCACAATGACTTCCGCGTCAGTGAGAAGCGACAGCTGGTAGATACCAGCTCCTCCATCCCTGGACCTCACTCCCCTTGCTACCCTCCCGCCTCCTCCCTCCCTCTCCCTCCCTCTCCCTCCCTCTCCCTCCCTCTCTTGTTTCCTTCCGCCATTGGGATTTCAAGACCATCTTCACGTGTAATGCATTCCACAGCAGCTCGAACACTTCATTCGCAACAAGCCCAGCTACAAGCCGCTGTTATGGTGGTAGATTTCAGCCTACAGGAGAGGGGGCAGGGATCATCCGCTGCCATACTCCCCTGCCAACTTGGGCTCGTCTATCACGATCTCAGCCTCCCCCTCCTGGGTTACTTCCACTCTCTGAACGGTAGATTGGAACGATAGCTCCTGATCTTCCACTAGAGTCGTCGGTTTGTCTTCCAGCGCTGGACCCAGCACAGGCCCGAAGTATCCCAAGAAGACAGGCAAGAAAACCACAGCATGAATCCCGCCAAGAAACAGAACGGTGAAGAGAATCTGGAGAAGCCAGACGGGTTAACGATCTCCCAGCTATACGCCTCCTCAGCACAAAACTCACGGAGAAGAAGGAGGCGAAGATTCTGCTCTTGGATCCCACCAGAGGGAGCAGTGCGATCATGGTTGAAAGATCAGCTGCTAGGATTGGCATCCCGATCCTCTCCAGCGCGTCAATGGCCTGACAAGCATAAGTGAGCGGTTTTGAGGACGGTCAGGCCAACCATCAGCTTCCGCCGCGTGCTTGCGCTCGTGTCTCCCCCTGCACCGGCTCGGCTTGACATGAAGGCGTGGATGTAGTGTGCCACGTTGTCGATGGAAAAGCCGATGGCCAAAACCTGCCGTCTTTCAGTGGAGCCGCAAGCAGAGAGGGGAGGAGGGGAAGGAGCTCTGATCGCGGAGAGAGCAGAGAGAGGAGATTCATGGGGAAGGTGGGTAGGGGGGTGGGAGGAGGGCAAGCATCGTTACGAGGTCTATCATGGAGATCGTCTCTATCCTCAGGTTGGAGATCAGGGTCATGCTCGCCAAAGTGCCGACCTAACGAACGTCAGCAAAGGAGCAGCAGCAGCAGCAGCAGCAGGAAGGGGCCCACCAGAATCATGGAAACGACGATCATGGCAACAACACAGAGGATCTGCCACCAAGGAACGAGTGAGACGACCAGGATCGGCGATGCTTCTGTCACCGGATGAGGAATGATGATGACGGTAACCAAGAAGCAGGCAGCGGCCTGCACCAGACCGTGAGCAGCAGCGAATAGCAGCAGCTTCCGTCAGCACAGCAGCAGCAATAGCGGGCATCAGGGCGTTACCGCATAGACAAGGTTCAAGATGGTCTGTGTCACAATGATGGCTGAGGCTTCGAAGAAGACGAACGTGTTGTCCACATCGACAGTGAGCGGGCGGTCGTGCAAGTCGTGCGGGAAGTTGTCGTCAAGAATGCTTCTGATCTTCTTGAGACAAGGGACGCCAGTCTTGTCCCCGCTCGTGGTCTTGGGAGGTATCTGCCTCACCCTGAAGCGACTCATCAGCATCCTCCACTCCGACGGCTTGTCCTTGTCAATCACGAAGTCTGGCTGAAATATTTCTCCGGCACCCTCCAGCCACGTTCGCAGCTCCTCCTTGAAGGCTGGTCCGTTCAGATCCTCCGGCCTCACTCCTTTATTGGTCTCGTACTGGTTGAAATCTCGCAGCCATAGCCCGTTGCGTTCGCGGAGGAAGCAGGCATCGTCTTCGATCGTGGCTACCACGCGCAGGAGCTTATCCCTTTCTGCCCGAACGCTCAGGTCGGAGGAGTGAGCAGGAACAGCAACGGTGTACAAAGGACCGACACTGTTGAACAGCCTGAAGTTCTGCGTCACAAACGTCGTCCAGTAAGAGTCCGAGGAGGCCAGGTCTCGCAGGTCCAGCCCGGTCCCGACATTCGCTGCCCCGTACAGTGCGATCCCGAGGTAACCCGCGAAACCGAGGAGAACCAGGGCTGCGACTTTGGGTTGGAGGAGGAACGCGCCGTAGCCCGCCGCGAACCGTGTCACGTACGCCGTCTCAGGCTGAGTCCTGCAGTCCCCCTCGGCATTGAGGTAGCTGGTGCTGGCGGGGCTTGCCTGGCTGTCGTAGCGCGGGGACCAGAGGACGCCCCTCCCTAGCAGCAGCCACCACCAGGAGAGCTGGCAGTACTCGCGATGAGCATCGAGGGCCATGAAGGCTCCGAAGAAGAGGAGCTGGTGGACGAAGAGGAGGATAACCCCGGAAGCCGCGTACGCACAGAAGCCTTGCACAGCAGGGAAGCTGCTGGAGGCTCCCACGGCGAAGGCAATGAAGTCGGTGATGGAGGTGAAGAAGATTGACGTGCCAGCGGTCTTGAAGGTCAGGAACATCCGCTGCTGCACGCTCGCATCGGCTGGGAGGTGCGCAGCAGAGTAGTGGTACGCCTGCACGAGCACGAACGAGTCGTCCACTCCAAGCCCCAGCAGCAGGAAGGAGACGAAGGCAACGACGGGGTTGTACTTGACCCTGCAGTACCCCATGAGCCCGAAAGCGCTTCCGATGGCCAGGAAGACGGACAGGCAGGCGCAGAGGCCAAGAGCGCCCTTGGACGCGACCCTGTCCATGAAGGAGTGCATGACGACGAAGGCGAAGAGGGATACGGCGACGAAGGAGATTACCAGGAGGATCGTGTCGCCGCTGGTGCTCTTGGACAACTCCATCTGGCTCGATCTCGATATCTCGTACGCGATCTTGAAGCGACAGGAGGGAGGCAAGCTCTGGCTGGCCGACTCGATCAGATCCAAGAAGGAGTTCTCCCACAGATTCGAAACCTCAGCTGACACCTCTGTGCTGAGTTGATAGTAAAGCTTCCACCCCTCAACCCGCTGCAACCTGCTACCATTCGCAGAGGTCTCCCGTCCTCCCGCAAACGTGGCTACAGGGATGTCCCCGTAAGGGGTCAAGGAGAGCCACGTAGGAGGCAAGTTGAAGATCTCTGAGTCCTTGAGCTCCACGACTCCGACGAACTTGCAAGAGTCTGGATACCCAGGCAACTTGAACCGTTGGCACACGTCCTTGAAGGCAACCTTGCCCTCCCCATCTGCCGATGAGGCGTTTCGAACCTCCATCCTCACGATAGCCTCGTGGATGCTCCTTATCTGCCCGATCGTCTCCGCGTCCAGCAGGTTTCCTCCCTCCTCCTTTGAGTAGAGCACCACCTGACTGCCATGCTCCGGCTCAGCAACAAGTTGAGGTAAAGAAGCAATGGTTTCACCTGTATCGGGCTGCCTTGCGACTAGTTGGGAAATATTTTCGGTACAGGTCTCTCTCTTCTCTTGCTCTGTTGCCTTTGGAAGGCGAGTACAGCACCTCCGCTGAGTTCTCTGCCTCGATCATCTTTGTCCCGTACAGCAGGCTGAAGCATATGGCGAGAGAGAGCAATATCGACCGAGCAGGGTAGACTGCAACGTAGAGCCCGACCCCTCCAAAGAAATCAGAGAGTTTCTCCTCCATGTAGATCACAGCGGAGTTCATCTCGGTTTCCCACTACGTTGTCCCGATATACATCTGTGACTCTTTGCTTGGAACTGGTTATCTTGCTCTTTCTTTCGTCGCCTCGCGCATTCTTACCCCTTCCTCATCCTGCCCTGCCTCAAATGGCCAGTCCTGATACCTCACCCCCTCTCCCCCTCTTCTCCCCTCATCTCACTTCCAAACTCTGTTCCTCTTCCATCGTCTGTTTCCTGTTCATCCTTTCTTCCTCTTCCATCGTCTGTTTCCTGTTCATCCTTTCTTGCTCTTCCATACTCTCTCCGTCTCTCACTCCTCCATATTCGCCTTCCTCGCTCCCTCGCCTTTCCACATGTTCACAGACTGTACCGCACCATTCTGACTATAATAGCCCAGGAGTCCCGCCGCTGGTACTAATGTTTACTCAAAACAGCCATTTAAAACCTTGTTGCCAACGGTGTGCACATGTAGTAAAGTCAAGTTCTTAAAGCACATGGCTATATTGGAGCTAAACTATAGCAGAGGCACTAATATAAAATCGCAAGGTGTGTACCCTTCAGCCTCCCTAGGTCGGTGCCGGCAACAGCCCGTGACTCATATCAACAGGCCCGCCTCGGTGGCAACAGGAAATTGAAAGGTATCGTACGGTATGAGGGGCAAATTGACGAGCGTTGGCGAGTTGGGCATGTCGGAGGAAGCAGAAGAGGTAAGGGGGGGATGCGGCTGTCGCGCTATGGCCTGCGACTTGCTCTCGTCCCATGTGCTCACCATGAGCTAGAGGGGTCCCGTGCCGGCCACGATGCCATGCAACACTAGTTGCTCATCGTTGCTTCATACTCCCTCTCCGCTTGGAGAGCTGATGTTGTTACCTTTCGGTGCCCGGTGTTGAAGTGCGATGAGTTCGTGTGCCGATTCGTTCACTGGGAACCGATATCGTGTTATTCACTTGCGTGCTATGTGCAATTCATTGCATTATTCTCCGCCTGTCTTCTGTGTATACTCCATTGTTCTAGCATTTGCTCTTCAACCGTTACTGCTGCATGTTGTCGGAACTGACGATGGGTTTTGAAGGAGTCCAACGTGTGGGCCGAGGAGGCACGGAAGCTCCTCGAGATGCCTGGAGAAAAGCTCCTTCGTCGGCAGTCAGGGTCATACAATGAAGGAAGATCGGTGGGTTTCAACAGGTTCCCAGCAGGGGAGGGAGAAGGAGAAGAAGTCCCGCAGGACGCACAAGAAGGCAAGGTAGATGATCTCGAGAGCAGGCGCGTCGGGTCTGCTCGACCATGGGGATCCGTTGCCGAGAAGTATGATGAGGATGATCTCAAGAGGTTCCTCGATGCTCATGGTGCAAGCTTGCCGAAGCCAGAGGTGCTCGCTGGGGATTCCTTCGAGGAGGAGCAAGACGTGGGGATGGCGGAGAGTGACGGCGAGCTTGATGGAGCCCTGCAGAGAGGGGAGGAGGAGGAAGAAGGCGTCTACTATGAGGCGAGCGGGGATGGGGCGGTGCCCGGGTCATTGGTCAACAGCTCGTGGGAGTCGTCGGAGAGCCACGAGGTGAGAGGGTCGAGGAGTCTGCGACAGACCGTCCGACAGAAACGAGTGGTGGGCGGTGTGATCAGCACGTACAAGGACAAGAAGGAGATGCAGGAAGTGCTGGAGCGACGAGCGGCGCTGTCGTACATCCAGACGACAAGGGAGGGCGTACAGAGGAAGGAGACGGTGCTGAGGGAGGCAGAGGGCAGGGTGGCGTCGAAGCGGCAGAACATAGATGAGATGAGTAGCAAGATCAATCTGATGCGAGATGAGAGCTCGAAGCTTGACGCTGAAGATCATTTCGGGAACCTCAACAAGATCAAGAGCATCCAGAGCAAGATTCAGTCGTTGGAGCTGAAGCGCGATGACGAGATGCGAAGTCTGAAGGAAGAGGAGGACATAGAGTATGTGGCAAGAACAGAGTTCAACCGAGCTCAGATTCAACTCCGGAAGGTGGAGGAGGTGGAGCAGGATCTGATCGAGGAGGAAAACTTGCACAATGACGAGCTCAAGGTCGCGGCAGAGATGCGAGCAGAGAAAGAGGTTCAAGCCGCGATGAGGATGGGTCAACGGAGGGAAGGGAGGAGAATCGCAGCTGCAGAGCAGCACATTCGGAACCTTGAGAAGACGAACAATGCGATCGAGTACGCCAAGGCAGGAAGAGTCGCAGCGTTGAGGAGGGTGAGGGAGGCGCGGGCCCAACAGGCAGCGGCCGAGCAGCAGTTCGAGGAGAAGAAGGAGCAGGATCACTTGAAGAGGGCGGAGGCTCTGCTGGAGCTGAAGGGAAATATGGAGTCAGCCTTCGATAAGATCCGAGGAGCCAACGAGAAGCAGAGGAAGCGCCTGCGCATGATCGCAGCAAAGCGAGCAGCTGAGAAGTCCGAAATCCTCGCTGCCGGTGGAAACCCATACGCTGTGTGGAGGCAGCAGGATCACGCGCTGCAGAAGGAGCAGGAGAAGAGGAAGCGAGAGCAGCAAGCGAAGGAGCAGGAGACAAGATTGCTGAAACAGCTGATGGAGGAGGAGTCTCGTCGGCTGGAAAAGGAGGCGCAAGAGAGGAAGCACAGGGCTGTCTTGAAGCAGTTTCAAGCGGAGATGGGAGGGCAGGCAAAGCAGGACCGAGTGATCGAGTACATGAGGACGAGGACGGTAGGAAGCGTCGACGTGTTGGACCCCACGGGGCGGGAGGCGAGGATCTATCCCTCCAAGGCCACCGTCCTCATGGACTGGAAGTTCGGCCTTGGGATCAAGCCTCACCCTAAAGGAGCTCAGCCTGGGGAGGAGGTTCCTCCAGGGTTCCCTCGAGGGTACGAGGAGGGAGATCCTGCGGCAGTGAAGGAGGAGGGCTGGAGGGTGACGCAGAAGTCGCGGCTCATTGACAAGGTACAGGATCTGTACCCCGAGGAAAGTTTCAACGCCACCCTGGTGGGCTCGAGGGCCTTGGACGATACGGTGAGGGCCAAGACGACCAAGTCCGCGAAGAAGGAGGAGGTGGAGATGGTGAAGAAGCTGGACCAGACCGGCGGAAAGGCGGAGGAGGAGCAGGAGATTCAACAAGCCAAGGGCAGCCAAACGGCCGGGCAGGAGGAGGAGAAGAAGGAGGTGTTCGCCGTCCCCGAATTCCAAGGGATATGGGACTCGTCAAAGAGTGTGGCAGTAGACAAGGAGAGGAGGTGGGGGAACGGCCTGTCGAAGCTGGAGCAGGAGTACTTGAAGCAGGCAATGGAGCGGAAGAAGGAAGGGTACGGGTGGATCGAGAAGCAGGTGGTCTGGGGGAGAGAGTTCAAGGGGACGGCGTTCGTGCCCTCGGAGAAGGGGCGAGACGTGACGGCGGTGGAGTTTGTCGACTTCGAGCCGGGGAAGACGTACAAGAAGAAGGTCACCCTGACTAACGCGTCGTTCGCGTTCAACACGTTCAAGCTGCTGGAGCTCACGGACTCGGTCAAGGACTTCTTCGTCATCTCGTACAACCACCCGGGGTCGCTCTCTCCTGGCATGACGTGTGACCTGCTGATCCGCTTCGAGCCCAAGATCAACGAGGACATCGAAGAGGCCATCCCCCTCCTCTGCCAGACCGGCCCGCAGGACATCCCCCTCCGCTGCTACACCAAGAAGGTCAACATCTCCACCTCCACTCCTGAGATCGAGCTGGACGCAGTGCTGGGGGAGGTGGTGCACGGGGAGATCGTGCTGGTAAACAGGGGGGCGCTGTCCTGCCCGGTCAAGATCCGGCAGCTGCGGGAGCGGCCGAGGGAGGGTTGTCTGGTGGAGGACCTGGCGCGGGCGGAGGAGGAGGAGGGCTACGAGGAGAGGGAGAGCTCGTTGTCGTACGAGGAGGAGGCGATCGTGGCAGGATACTCGACGACCAAGATCCGCATCACCCTCACTCCCCAGCAGCCGTCGAGCAAGGAGGTCCTGCTGCACCTGTGCTTCCAGAAGAACCTCTCCAAGCCGCAGTCGGACGACATCGTCGTCTCCGTGCGAGCCAACGTGCATGACGTGCCGATCTACGTGGAGGAGGAGATCATCGACCTGCGATGCTGCTGCTTCGACGTCGTCTACTCGCAAGTCCTCCAGGTTCGCAACCGAGGCAAAGTCGCGCTCAAGGCGCTGCCCACGGTCCCTCCCGCCCTCCGCAGCTCGATTAAGTTCTCTCCGGACATGGCATACGTGCAGGCGAGGAGCAGGGAGGGGGTCGACGGGGTGTTCAACTTCCAGATGAAGTTCGAGCCGACGAGCGCGTTCCTGCAGCTCGCGAGAGATTTCATCATGGAGGGCCCGACGGGCAAGCTGGACGCCTTCGCCATCCCCCTCACCGTCTCAGTCCCCGACCAGAAGCTGCCCGTCAACTTCGAGCTACGCGTGCAGCTCACGGACGCCGGGGTGCAGCTGGACAAGCAGGAGCTCGACTTCGGGGAGTGCTCTACCTCCGACGCTGTCTCCATCCCCCTCAGCATACACAACCCCTCCGAGCTCCCCACCCGAGTCGGATTCCTCAGCCTTCCCCGCGGGCTCTCCATCAACCCGGACATGGGGCTGTGCTCGCTGCTGCCGGGGGAGACAAGGACGCTGCAGGTGGTCTTCGCTCCCTTCACCGACACGGACTTCGACTTGAGGATCGTCTGCTCGACCTCTGCCAACAAGAAGTACCCCATCCGTTGCCGGGGGAGGGGCGTCAAGAACCCCCTCAAGCTCAGCTGCTCCAACTTCGTCCTCAGGCCCTGCGCGTACGGCGATCGGGTCACCGAGTCGCTCTCCCTCGCCAACGTCTCCTCCTCCGAGCAGACGATCGAGGTTGTCGTCCCCCGGGCCAGCGGGCTCAAGATCAGCCCCCTCGTCGCGAAGCTCCAGCCCGGCCACTCCATCCGCGTCCAGCTAGACTTCAGCCCTCCCTTCCCTCCGCCAAAGGTCCTTGAACTGCTCAAGGCTACGAGGAAGGGCAAGCGAGCAGTTGCTGAGGGGGAGGAGCAGGAGGGAGAACAGGAAGGGGAGCAGGAGCAGGAGCAGGAGCAGGAGCAGGAGCAGGAGGAGGAGGGAGGAGAGAGAGATGCTCCTGAGGGAGAAGAAGGGCAAGAAGGCAAAGCTGCAGATAAGTCGGAGGAGGAGGCGAACGAGATGCTGAACGGGCTGAACGAGTCGGAGAGGAGGATACGTGGAGCGCTGTTGATCGATCAGATGCGATCGGTAGAGGGAGAGGAGTGGTCCCGGCACGAGACATGGCAGGTCCGCCCTCGAAACCTTTGAACTTGCCCCGCACTGTGAAGTAGCTCTCCCTCCTGCTCCTCTTCCTTCACCTCCTCCCAGTCCTCTTTTGTCCCACTGACTCCTGTTATGCAGCTTCCCATCTTCGTCAAGAACGGGCCCGTCTCCTTTCTCCAGGTCTTTCCACCTCCTCCTCCTCCTCCTCCTCCTCCTCCTCCTCCTCCTCCTCCTCCTCCTCCTCCTCCTCCTCCTCCTCCTCCTCCTCCTCCTCCTCCTCCTCCTCCTCCTCCTCCTCTTCCTCTTCCTCTTCCTCTTCCTTGTATGCGCCCTCCTCTTCCTCTTCCTCTTCCT